GTACGGCCTTCCCTGGATCTCATCAGTAGTGTGGGAAGGCCGTATGAAAAGCAAACACAAAATGAAAAAACATAAAAAGACTAACCTAGGCTTCCTTGGGAGTGTGGGGGGGGGGAGGGTGGAGGTGCTTAGTTGTACCAAGTTTTGTTCTGAAAGGAAGAGAATATTGGCGTGAAGTGCGACAAACCAAAAGTCTATCATACGAAGAAATATTTTGGACTGATATTGGTTGTGAAATGATGGACCTTACAAAGCTGGAAATTTCTAGAACAGAACGATTGGGTCATCATAGAAGTGATCGTAATTGGAGCATAAAAACTTGGTTTGTATGTGTGCGTGTGTATGTGGTGTGTGTTATGTATGTTGTATGTGTGCGTGTGTTGGGGTGTGTGTTGTGTGTGTTGTGTTGTGTGTTGTGTGTTGTGTGTTAGTGTTGTATGTTGTGTGTTGTTGTGTGTAGTGTGTTGTGTGTTGTGTGTTGTGTGTTTGTTGTTTGTTGTGTGTTTTGTGTTGTGTGTTGCGTGTAGTGTGCTATGTGTGTATGTGTAGTGTATAGTGTGTTGTATGTTGTGTGTTGTGTATTGTTTGTTGTGTGTTGTTGTTTGTTGTTGTGTGTGGTGTGTTGTATGTTGTGTGTTGTTGTGTGTAGTGTGTTGTGTGTTGTGTGATGTGTGTTGTTTGTTGTGTGATGTTGTTTGTTGTTTGTTGTGTGTTGTGTGATGTGTGTTATTTGTTGTGTGTTGTTGTTTGTAGTTTGTTGTGTGTTGTGTGTTGCGTGTTGTGTGTAGTATGTTGCATGTTGTGTGCTGTGTGTTGTGTGTTGTGTGTTTTGTGTAATGTGTTGTGTGCTATGTATGTGTGTGTTGTGTGTTGTGTGTTGTTGTAAGTTATTCAGGAGCAATTTACGGGGAGTCTTCTCTGCGCCTTCTCTTTTCCACACTATTTGCATTCCTCCAACATCAGTTCAGGTTCGGCTCACCTGAACGTGAACTGATGTGCAACAGTTGACTGCAGCAGGTGGACGTATAGCCATTCGTCATCACTTGCCATGCTTATAGCATGGAAAGATGGGCGGTCATCGTTCACCTGACGTAAGCTCAACTGATGGGTTAAGTTCAGTTCACCTGAACTGACCGAGCTTTACTATGGGCCAGAATCTCAGTTTCCTAACTTTTATATTGACTTTTATATTTATGCTGACTTGAATATTTGAAAGACATAAATAAATTAAATTAGTACATGTTACAGAATGTTTGTTCATAAACGTGTAAGAAAAGTAAGGTGATATTTTATAGGACGTGATCGGGAAGATGACTGACGCTTCACCGAGTGACTACCTCAAGGTATGTAGGATGTATGGTTGTAAGGAGTGCGAACAATTGCAGCTGAGAAGATACAAGCCTCCACAGTACATTATAGGCTAGCTTATTGAAATAAAAGTCATTTATTTTATTGCATTCATAGAGATAGACTTGATCTCTACAATATGCACTCTATTTGAACGCATACCGATAATGACAGTCATGGCAATCGATTTCAAATCTGGTAGATATATGTATATTAATAACATATAGTCTTCATCGTATTGTAGCTTGTCAATAATTTCATGATCATACTAAGCTAGAAAAGGGCTTGAATGACCGCTCAAGATCTAGAAAGGAACGATTGTATGGTTCCTGCCGATTACGTATATGTAAGACGGAGTCTCAAAGTGCAACGAAGCGTTTCCTGTGTTCAGCCTCAAATCGTGAATAAGTATTTGCAACAGCATTCCGATCGGACTGCTGAATAGAGTTAATCTCCTCCTGCTTTCGCATAAGTGAGTTTACATCAACCATTATTATACAGTCGAGTAGATTTCCTGCTTAATATAGTGTCCCTGCAGAGACAACGCTGGGGCGTCAATAAATGCCTTGCGAGTTCCCGAGCTAGTGTTTTCCAGTGTTTTCTTTGCTTATTCTATGCTTTTTAGCTGATTCGTTGCTGATAAAGAGGAAAAGGGTAAGTTAAAGAGTAGTTTCTGTTTTCTGAGAAGTTCTATCATCGCATATTCACAGATACACACGTGGAAGCATTTCGCGTTAGCTTCTTGTCTATTTTTTTGTCATTTCCTTTTCTTCTGTCACTTTTTCTCTCAAACCTCCTCCTTCTTGTGAGGCGTTTCTTTGAACGCTAGTTGGCTTGTCTTTCAGCAACTTCGGCTTTCATCCATAGGAAATAGCATTTCAATCAAGTACTTCATGTGATAAGGACAATAAGTCAATCGTAAAAACCCACTAGCGTTCAAAGAAGTACCTCAGAAGAAGAAAGAGACATGAAGTGACAAAAAAATAGACAAGAAGCTGACGCGAAATGCTTCCACGTGGATATCTGTGAATATGCGTTGATAAAACTTCTCAGAAAACAGGAACTACTCTCTAACTTACCCTTTTCTTCTTTATCAGCAACGAATCACCTAAAAAGCATGAAATAAGCAAAGAAAACACTGGAAAACACTAGCTCGGGAACTCGCAAGGCATTTATTGACGCTCCAGCGTTGTCGCGTCTGCAGGGACACTATATTAAGCAGGAAATCTACTCGACTGTATATCATCGTGAAACGCGAAAGTGTCAAAAAGCTGTGCTAATTTTTTTTTGATAAAAACAAAATTCAAATGCGAATGGGTGCTGATTAGTTGTGTTGTTTGATGCGAGATAGTACCAGCCTATGAAACCGCTAACTAGTTTGGTTGTTTTACTTCAAGCCAGACAATAACACTATGAAGCAAAAGAGGGTCGCAAAAAGCTTTTTCTGCAGATGATAGGCCTGCAGAAATTGCAGAAGCTTGGTTGGAAAACTATGTCATAAACTATGCCATTTTTCACATAAAGCGACAACTGAGAACACTTGCACTAATTCTGGATTTCGTTCTAGTAGTTATCAACGATCAAGTAGTGCCTGGGTCCGCACATTCAGTTGGACTGGGCCTCTAGTGGAGACCTTGATGGAAAAACCCAAAATCTTCATGTATAGAGTGAGCCTGTAGTATCGGCAAAACGGAGCCACTGCTGATGCATACAGACCTTGACTTTACATATAACTATTTATCAGTGGCGTACCCAGGATTTCGGCTCGGGGGGGGGGGGGGCGCGACAAAAATTTTTTTCTAAAGAAGGTGCGTGGCGTTAGCCACGCACTCCGAAAAATTTTTTGAGGTGCTTCTCAAATTTTTTCCGGGCCCCGACCCCTAAAATCTGGAAAAAGGGGGCGTGGCGTCAGCCACGCCCCCGAAAAAAAATTTTTTATAAGGCTAAAATGAATTTTTAAAAAATTTAAAAAATTATTTTAATTATTTACAAGTAAAAACAAGTCACTTGCACATTTTTATAACCCATGTAAGTAACTTTCAAAAATTTCGCGACCCGTTCTCGGGGGGGGGGGCGCGCGCCCCCCCGCCCCCCCTCGGTACGCCACTGCTATTTATAGCTATTATGTGCCTAGCTAGTGAAAGTCTAGGAAAAACTTACTTCTGCTGCTCCCACCTGCAAAGTACAGTGATACTATTCATTGAATAGTCTGCAGGTGTCATTTGTCAGCAGCTGGAAAACCAGGAGTATAACAAATAAAAGCTAAAACGGATGCAACATTAACGTCATTGACCAACATCTACTTTTGATAATTGAAAGCAATCTTCAGTTGCTCTATTATGCTTCACTCTTTCTTTGCATGGACGAATTGTTTCGGTAGACAATTTGAGCAATTTTGCCAAATCATAACTTTTTGAAATTTTGAATTTTTCTCAAGTTTTTGTTTCACAGTTCTCTGAATATGTGATTATTGCATGTAACTGGCAGCAGTCATCTAAAGAAAACTTCAACTTCACATCCTTGTTTGCTACAACTGCGAGAATATCAGAAATAATGCTCATCTATAAAATAGATGCGAGTAACTAATCATGCAGTGTGAAACGTTACCATCTAACTTACGGTAAAAAAGATTTTGCTTCTGCTGTGAATTCGTGTGCTTTCACATAAATCAACTTCGTAGCTTCAAAAGGATGATATGCATAAGATATGGCACCTCCACAACTTCTTCAAATCGTTGTAACTGTATTTTGTTCCATGAATGTAAGACTTTCCCTAGATGATTTTTAGAATCATAATGGACCGACCAATCCTCAAATTTTGATAAGCTATTCGTTATTAAATCAACCTGAATGCTTTTCGAACCATTGAGTGTTTGTTAGGATCGCCTGGTTTGGAGACTGCTTTGCACCATAATGAAAGTAGAGAAAACGTCGACCAAATTGCTAAAGATCATCCGTCCTGTAGTTTTCAGAAGTTGTAAATCTTCTGACGCTGGTGCATGTCAAAGGGATGATAACTTCTTTATATAGACTGAAGATCAACAAAAACGTTTATGTAAGTGAGTCGCCGACGACGGACGGTTGCTTGAGTTGGTGCAAGCGCAGTGGCAAAGCACCTGCACCATCAATACATCGCATACGCGTCGCATCGTAGACACAACCGCCCTTGTCTGGGACTCGCATCTAGGTGTAGCACACAATGTAGACAAAAACTTCACAACAGAGCGAGAGAAGTCTGAAATTTGCCGAGTTTTTCGCTTACGTTTCGTGCTCTTCACGCTTTAGACTGTGGTCATGGAGTTGAAGATGAATCTTCGAAAATGCTCTGAGATGCGCAATAGTGACCTTTGCAGACAACGAATTCACCTGGCATACGTGTATTAAATGAGCGACTTAAAGTGATTCATACTGTAGGCAGATTTTGAGAATATTGCATAATCTATTCTATTTTCACCATTTTCAGAATGCAAGTCTTACACGTAACTTGGTTGATAATTCTGCTTGATATGAGTTCAGTCCAGGAAATTTCATCGAAAGTGAGCCTTGGTTGTTGTATTTCTTGAACGGAATTTAGAGATTGATTATTCATTAGTAACAAGTCAATCAAAAGTTAAAACCAAAGAACATAGACGAGACTAGTATTTTTGTCAGCCCATGGTTATTGATATCGCCAACCAAGATGGCGGGGACATCGCTGATCTGTGGGAAGTGGCACAATACAATTGGAATGAAGATGAAGAATTTATTCAGTTTTCAGAAGAGTGAGTAGTTTACGCTCCACTAAAAGAGATGAAGTCTTACATCTTCCAGTTTCTCAAACAACGGGACCTGGTACATCCGCAAATTGTACAATGCAGTAGGTTTCAACTCAAAAAAGAAATGGAGATATAGAGATAGGCAAGGGCATGTCATCATTCCATTTGTTATAAAGGGACCATACAGTGAGTGCTTACTTTTATATAGAAATCGCTAAAGAGTCACGCTGTAAATCAAAAATTTTTGTTAAGAGAAATGGCAGAAAAAGAGAATCAGGAAAGCAATGAACCGTATCGAAGCCAATACATGTATCCGTTTCCGAAGGAAAACTCGAAAACAAAAAGATCATATTGTAATAAGAAACAGATTCAATGCAGGGTGAGCACGAGGTCAACAGAAGTTCTGTCATGATTGTATGCAGTAATGTTGCAGATGCTATTCGACGGTCGGACGTCCCGGAGGCGCAAGTCTCCTCTCCCTTGAAGCGAACCACAAACGAACGTAGGGACATTAGATTCAGATCTAAAAATTGGTTAAGAGGAAAAGAGAAGTTGCAGTGGCCACTGAAAAGAGAGACTTTAGCAGAATACTTGACTGGAAAAAGTTTGAGCGCTTGAAACTGTGAACTTGCTAAAGTTCTGATTCACCCCACTAGACAAACGGTGGTCATTTGAATTTGAACTAGATCAAACATTAGCGCAACCAGCACTCAAGAGGGAAGGATACTTGATCGCAGTGGCGTTTTTATATAAAATGGGTACTATCTTATAGGGCATAAAATGAACGTTGATTCCGAGTCTGCTTTCGTTATCTGCAAAGCGTTCCGGAGTTATGGAAATTTTTTCGCATAAATTCGAATGCGCATTTACAATTTGAGCAATATAACCACTCACACTGTACTTTGTGAGCTCAGATGGGGCCGTAAAAACGGCCAGAATTTTATGCAGTCGAGACCTTCAGTCTAATAAACTCATGCTAGTCATTACTCCTTTCAAGGGCCGGGAAGACCTCAATCCTGTTTTCACCTAAGCCAAACTCATAATTCATGCCTCAAAAAATTGTCGTAGCTCTACTCTCAAAAGTGCTTTGCAGATACAGAAGGCAGATTTGGAATTAGCGTTCCATGCTCTTTGAGACCGTATACATTTCGTACGGAAATCCGCTTCGACCAAGTAGCCTTCTCTTGTCAGTTCAGGCTGACATAACGTAACGAAACACAAAAAACATAATGAAACACGAAAAATCGCATGCAACGACGAAGAAAATAGAAAATACTTGCGTAGATTTGGTCTCGGCCTCTCTGATTTAAATTCGAATTTGATAACCGAGCGTTTAGTGGAACGACAACGACTATATCAAGTACATTCACCGTAAGGAAAGAGAACATACCTATTAAAGATTACTACTTCTGTGCAGCTTTTCGTTGAACCTGTGCCATTTAAAGCTTGGCAAATTCTGGCCCTCAAGCGGACAAAACTTTTTACAGAAAGTTTTTTGCGAAAAAAGGAAAGCCCTTTCGTGGTGCATCACTTTTCAGTTTGCCATTGCGACCTGATATCCTTTCATTGAATGATTGGCAAGATGTTGACCATTTTAGTCGCATGAGGAACTCGGAAATTTCAGTGACCTCCGCTATTAAGTAATAGCAAAAGTTTCTGTTTTTTTTTTTAACTTGACATTATCTCTGTTAGCTTGCTTAATATGAAAGTCACATGAAAGGTACTTTTTGTTATCTTGCTGTCTTCAATCTTCGTATTGACTTCAGATGCATGACTGACTACATCGTTCTACATGAACTGTTACATGTCGTTGGACTATGGCATGAGCATCAACGAGCTGATCGTGACAGGTTCATCAAAGTCGTAAGAAAGAACGTCGCGAAAGGTGCGTTTGCTGTCTTATCGTTTGAATGGCACGTCGTGGACAGCGAGTACATCATGAGAAGAAAATAGAAAATGGGTCACAGAAAAGCGGGGTGGAAATATCTTTTTTACAATCGCAAACTTTCCACCTACCTAGTTGCGCCTACAGTCCACGACGTGGACAGTCTACAGTTGCGCCTCATTTCCAACCAGGTCAAAACTGGCATGGCAGGATTCCGCGTCGCAAATGTCTTGCGTCACGTCTACGGCTAACTAGTCTGCTCTCTCCTCAATCTCTTCGCTCTCCGCGACAGCGCGCGTATGCAACACAAACCCCTAGCTCAGCGAGCGTGCAAATTCATCGACGATTCGGCCTGATCCCGATTGGGGCAGACTGTATCTCACATTTATGCAACATTTTGAAGTGAGTAAATTTTATAGTCTTCTTTGCACAGAATGAGCCGAATTCGTGACTTGCAAATGTTGCTTGGGCAATGCCTTGCGCTCCTTCTGAACATCATCTGACAAGCAGCAACAGCATAACTTGTAAGCAATCTCTAGGGAAGGGGGAGGGGCGGCCCTCATGGAATCGAAGCGTGCTGCTAAAAAGTGCGGTGGAATACATGACAGCACGTGTTTTTTTGTGCGTAACGCAAAACTCGGGGACGAGTAGCGTAGTGGTATGAGGCGCCGCTATGATCAAGTCGGACCCAGGTTCGGTCCCACCAGTGGGATAATCAACCCTTGTCGGGGCCGGTACGTTGGTACCAGAGTAATCTAAGAGGATGAAAGCACTGAATTGTGATGGCTGGTTCCGCAAGTCACTGTAATGGGCACGCACGTAGCATATTCGACTATGAAGTAGAGTGCGTTTGGATGCCTGCAGAGGATTTTGAAGACGTCGAATCCTTTATACTTTATCCTATAATGCAAAAATCTGCAGCACAAGTTGCAATTGAATAATCCTTATTTAGATCATATGAGATCTGGATTGCTTTCTTTGTTCAGTGCTAAACTGCCAGGATGAAAAAAAAAGTGTGAACCCTTCATCTTTGAAAAGAATATTTCTTTGATGTATGTATTGAATACTCTTTGCGTCAGAAAACGGAGTTTTAGTTGCACGGAAACTTTTTTACTATTTAGTATAGATACCCCAACTAAATTATATTCAGATGTACTTTAAGGAATGAAACTTCAGTTCAAGAAGGTGAAGCCGCCACAAGCATACACGTACAATGTTCAATACGACTACATGTCTATCATGCACTACAATAAGCATACGTTCGCCATTGGAAAGAGAATTACCATGAGAACAAGGGATCCCAGATATCAGGTTGGCATGTGGTGAATTTTCAAAGCAGCTGCAGAAGTAGCACTGTGGAGATAGTAACCAGGGTCAAGCGTGGGGTGTGGATCGCCACACCTGGGGGGGAGGGGGTCGTATTGAGGAGTCAAAAGGGGAGGAGGTCGTAGTTGGGTAATCTGATAATAGTGGTAACATGATATTCGTAACAGATCCATAATTAGCATGTCAATTAACCCCTGTAGACAAAGTTTGAGCCAATTTCGAAGATTCCAGATACTAGGCTACCCAGTTGAAATGGTCATATTCCAACATGGTTAACTTTGTTTCAAAGGTGAATTAGCTTTCCGCTTTTGCACTCAAGACAAAGCACTACTCCTTCTTTGTCCACTTCAGAAATCCCGCTTTAAAAGACCTCCAAACTGTGAAATTAGAGGTCATCCAAAACCACGTTCTTTCCATTTTCCTCTTCTAATGGCTGTGCTTTCACCAAATATTACTCAGAGCTAAGAAGACGAATCAGGCTTAAAACATTCCTATGGAATCTACGAGGTTTAAGCTTTCGATTCATATATAAATACTGTTCGCTAAAAAATGTTTTTTTGATATAGTTAATGGGGTGCGGCACACCCCATTAACTATGTCATAAAAACATTTTTAGCAAACCGTATTTATATGGGTCGATAGCCTAGATCTCCTAGCTTTCACAGGAGCGATTTGAGCCTGATTCGTCTTCTTTGCTCTGAGTAATAGTTGGTAAAGCTCAGCCATTAGAAGAGGAAAATGGAAAGAACGTGGTTTTGGATGACCTCTAATTTCACAGTTTGGAGGTCTTTTGAAGCGGGATTTCTGAGATGGACAAAGAAGGAGTAGTGCTTTGTCTTGAGTGCAAAAACGGATAGATAATTCACCGCTGAAACAAAGCTAATCATGTTGGAAAATGAGCATTTCACACTCAGGTGGCCTAGTGTTTTGAATCTTCAGAATTCGCTCAACTTTGTCTACAGGGGTTAATTGACATGCTCATTATGGATATGTTGCCCATTATGTTTGACAGGGCCTTCAGGTAATGCTATCTTAGGTATATAATTTAGGGGGGTCTTATTAAGACAGCAATCAGGGGGGGGGGGGGTCGTAACCAGCGATCGTGTGCCACACCCCCTTCTTGACCCTGATTATGAGACAACCTAATAGCTTAAAGAGCTCTCTAGTGGGTCACTTGCTGGAAGATTTCCGAAAACTCGTCCAAATTTGCGCAACTTTGAATTGTGGGAAGCTAAGGTCTTTTATAGTAGCGTTTGAATTGCTGTCTGATTTTTGTCGAAACAAAAAAGTTTCAGAAATTAAGATGTCCCACATTGCTTTCAAAATCACCCCAATAAATTAGGTTAAACCGAAATTCGTTTTTTCAACCAAAATTTCAAAAGTTCATAATCTCCTTCTCTGTCAAAGATATTGCACACTTTTATATATCTAAAACGGAAATCATACGCTTGGCAGTGGCATTTGAGGGACTTGCTAACACGTAAGCACCGCAGAAATAGAAGCTGTAGAAGAGTATTACTCAAATTTTGACTTCTGTGTAGTTTTGCCAAAAATATGGAACTCACTTCAAAAATCGGAACAGCTGCTATGATAGGTTTAAGTCCTCGATTGAGCTTTCTATAAAAAAAAGTTGTGAAACAGTAGTAATTAGCAAATTTGATTATTTTGGCATATTAGAAAGCTATAACTTTTGATAAAATTTGCCAATTAGCTATTCTGCACGGGTGAAGAGAGCAAGTCGTGAGACCTACCAACTTTTCTGAATCTAAGTGCAAGTTTCAGTTTTTTGGCAACCCTACACAGAGAAATCGTAATGGCTACTTCTTTTCTCCAGCTTCCTTCTCTGTAGCGTTTGCTGTTCGAAAGTCTTTCAAATGCCATTGTAAAACGCATGATTTCCATTTTGGATAAAATTCAGAAATTTGCAGATAATTGAGAAGATAAGAATTCACCAATTACAGAAATAGTGCAAACGAACCATCGGGCCAACCTGATAGGTTGGTGCAAAAGTTCGGTTGCACCAATTCTAAGTCATACGTTTTTGTTTTCAAGACGGATTGACACAGGCCTGACCTCAGTAGTTAAAGGAAATCATGTATCGGGTTGTTCCATAACTTCGTAGCGATTTTGTAAACCAACAAAACCATTAATTTACAGTATGAGTCAATTAAAATCTTCTTCCTCGTTGTAGCTCATGACCTTTTGGCACATTCTTGTTAGTTCTAAATCTTAATTTTTCGAACGGCAGCGCCAAGAAAGCCATCTAACGAGCGCTCAACTGCATACTAAAATCGAAACATGCACTATTTAGAGGCTTGTTAGAGAGCTGAACAAATGATAATCTGATAGTGCGAAATTTGGAGAGTACGTTTGGCACTGAAGTATCTTCCAGTCAAATCGTGCAGGACACTTTCGACTACGTCGCCGTACTCAGATAATCGCGGAGGGGGGGAGGGGGCAAGCGGCCATGCGATTTATGGGCAAGCGGCACCGGAAAAATAATTCGCTGATTTCTTGCGGTCGCTTGCAGATATTTGGAAGAATGTTGGACAAGTTCTAGACGAATGCTCGAGAGACAATTTTTCATAAATTAGTTGCGGCGCAATGGCCGCATTCTCGCGGACTTTCCGCGAGGATATGCAAAATTGTTGAGGGCCGCACGGTCCTTTGTGAAGCACCGCACAGCCCGTAAGTGCCTTCCGTTTGAAGAAAGCCCCCAAACTCGGGTAATTAAACCATCGATGACACCTGTATGTGGAGTTTACCTTGCTCGGCGTAACTCCGGAACTGTGTAAAAAGAGTCAGAGCGCTCGTGAAAATTTGGTTAGCGCTCGTTGAGGGAAATCATTTGAGGAAATCATTTCTCGCAAAAAATTCTGTATTGCTACCCGCTGGCAGAACAAGCGACAGCAAAGGAGGTACCGCTCGCTGGAGGTTTGGCCACGCCACAAAATTTTGCTGACCGCCTGCAAAAAAGCGCGAGTTTGCGGACCGCTTGCCCCAGGGCCATAGTCTGAGATGAGGTTATGCTTCATCATGCAGAAAAACTACTGGATCCGTCTATTAGGCTTTTTCTGCAGTAGAACCTGGTTCCGGTGCAGTTTGCTTACGGAATGATTGACCATGGCCTACTTGTAGAGCAATGTTCAGTGCAGGACGTCCTGTCCGTCCCATAGAAGTCCTGTTCAGGGACACCCTGCTCAGCCCCTGGTCTTTTGTAACAACCCAATCCTTTTTGTCTCATATTGATGTGCGAACCCCATATTCCATAATCGGCAAAAAATCTGCGCAAGAGCACTTCTTTTCATAAGAAAAAGTGCGCAAATGTCGAAATTGCTCTTTTTTGCCCTTCAAGATTCCATCTTTGTAAGTTACTAGATCCGAGTTAATCAGGTTTCTATAATTAGTAGACATTGAAGAGTACAATCAGCCGTTCCCTGATATACGCACTTTTCCGCAAATCAACCGCTCCTCAAAGTTATGAGGACGAAAAGGAACTTAAGAACTTATGGAACGACCTAATATTTTATTATAGTACCTTTTCTGTTCAATATGTGGTAGCTTTGAATAGGAGAATAACAACTCAATTTCGAAAATCAGCCAAAAACGTTTACCCAAAAATCATAGCACATTCACAAAGAGCTTATAATACAAAATCAGCACATTTGGAAAGGGTGGACCAAAAAACTTACTGCAGTATTTGCTTTGGACTTCATCGCAAGTGCCAGATTTTTAGCAGCCTAACTTAAAGTGACCAAAGCTGACGTGATTTTGCTTTCCTGCTTCCATCTCCACTGTTAGAAAGAAAACACTTTCCTCTGATTAGCAAAATTAAGTTTGTGCAAACTCGTCGAATGTGCTCTTCCGTCGAATGAGCAAGAAGTTAAGGTTTTTCAAAAATGATGCAAACGAACTTTTGCACCAAGCTGATACTAGGGGCATTATAGTTATTGCAAGTTTTCTGAAGTTCGTCTTTGCTTTACGGTAAGAAACACTCTTGCTGAATGCATTAAAAACTACTGCAAACCAAGCCTTTGGCTATAAATAATACAAATACTCTTGTATACTGTAGCTATTATGAGATATATTTCCTAGCCCGAAAAATGCCAGAAGATTTTCCAAGAAATTTCTAGTTTGTTGAAGCATAGTTGACTCCCAGGCTTGCTCAAGTGGTCCAAACCATTGTATAACTAATTCTCAGTTGGTCCTTGCAGTAAAGCTTGGATTCTACGGAGTATTGCAAAAAACAGCTATAACATAATGAGATTCTAGCTTCCCATATAATCATTTTTTATGATAAAGTAAGTTATATTTCAGAACCTGATCGGAAAAGTGAACGACGCCTCTCCGAGTGATTACCTCAAAGTATGTAGGATGTATGGTTGTAAGGGGTGCGAGGCATTCCAGCTGACAAGATTTAAGCCTCCGCGGTACATTATGGGCTAGTTTATCAGAGTAAAAGATGCGTACGTTAGTACTTCAAAATAACAAATTCTGATTTCTGAATCCTGTGTTTATTTGAACACAGACCGATAGTCACAACAAGCTATGTCAAGTGCGCAGCAGACCGTATGTGAACACAATGTGACAAATCGCACATCGTACCAGTTTAATGATTTCATAACAAAAGGAAAGCAAGTGAACGAAATGATCGTCCTACTTACGAAAGCCGTGTGTTAAGAAAAAATACAGAAATGTGAACTATGGGCAAATGCGTTGCTGGTGCTGATTAGGTGGACTTGATCGAGTCGCAAATCCCAAGCGCTTCGTGTTTTTGATGAAATTTTGAAGTTGCGAAAGTTGTCGTAAAGAGATTCCCATTTGATATTTGAGAACCAGGAAGTGAGTGGCGCACTGGTGTGAGGTGCCGCTATGATCAGGTCAGATTCAAGATTCAATCCCTCTTGCGTCAATCAAGCCCCCTACTCAGAGGACGGTAAATTGGTACCATAAGACCAAGTACAGACGTGTTAGGGTCGAACTAAACGTTGATTAGGGTCAGATAGCAAAAAGACCATTAAAAGCCTGTTCAACATACATACACCTGACGTCAGACATGCTCACCTGCTATCAATGTGACTGACTTGCTCAAAGGGTTTTCGCCACAACGAATAAACAAATGACCTGTCTTCACCGCACAGTTGATCGTTACCAAATTTGGACCATGGATATACATTTTTATCAATATATTACGCAAAAAAAATGCAAACTCAAGTGTCGTGGTACCATCGGAATTTGATGGTCCTGAGCATTGCCAAACCAACCGAGTTGGTCTGGAGCATAAAGATCGGAGAGTTCATACAAGTTTATCCTTTTGGCTTGGACTATTTGTGTATACCATACCTCAGTGACCGAGGGGGGGGGGCGGGAGGGGAGGGGGCCCCGTAGGGTCGCAAAGTGTTTGAAAACTTATAAGGGTTATAAAAATGTGCAAGTGACTTGTTCATACTTGTAAACAATTCAAATATTTTTTAAAACTTTTTTAAAAATTCAAATTAGCCTTGTAGAGAATTTTTTTCGGGGGAATTTTTGAAGAAGTTTTTTCCTCTTTTTCTAATATTTTGGGATCATGGGCCCACAAAAATTTTGGGAAGCACCCCACCCCCCCCCGGGTCCGAAATCCTGGGACCGCCACTGGTAGATCTATCATACACTGAAGAGACAAATCAAAATTTGCCCTAATTAATCTCACAAGGAATGCGTGTTTAGTCGAAGTGGCCTTTCTAGATGGGATGTATACCATATTGTAGGACACAAGATGCTAATTCCAAATCTGCCTTCCTTATCTGCAGAACATTTATGGACGAGGAAGTATGAGCGCTTAATGGAGCAAAAAATTGAATGCGGTAGTAGGACAAAAATAACCGTAATACTATTTCTAGTTTGAAGAAACAATGATAATATCAGAGCTCTTTATTTGACAAATACTCGAAAACGAAGAATATACCATACTTGGTTGCTTTATTTGAGGGCTAGTAAGATTTTGACAACTCATTTTATCCTAAATGCACATTTGATTTTTGCCTCCAAAAAACGCTCATAACTCCTCGTTCATAAGCGTTCTGCAGATAAGGAAGGTAGAATTGGAATCGCTTTTTATGCCCTTTAATATGGAAGAAGCTTTACTTGTCAGATTATTATAAAAAGCTAAGTAGACGCACGGTCCAACTCACAATTGAGCAAATGTTCGGAAACGCTAAGAGTGAATAAGAGTTGTAGTTATCTCTCTTCTTTTTGGAAGATTTGCTGTTCCACACGTAAAGGCGTGAATATTAGTTTGTAAGAAATGTTATTACTTCTTCCTATAATTACCAAAATTGAATGCGAATACAAGGGGCTAATGTGGCGTGTATTCTTGATGCGCGATGGCGCCAGCTACCAAATATTAGGTCGTTCTGAAAGTAATGTCGCTTTTTTCGAATGAACGCCACTATTCGTGGAATCAACATTTCCAAAAGATCTTAGGAGCATTCGATGCAGCATTTCATCCTCTTTCTAATGGTTTCGATTTCACTGCAAACGTTTAAAAGCTCTCGAAAAATACTATAGAACACAGAGTAATTTTTTCTTTTCCTTAGCTTGCTTCTCAGAGTTTCTACAATCAATTTCTCAATGCCATCAAATTCCACATTTAGTCAAGTCAAACCCACAGAACAATAACCGGCAAGCGACTCGGGTGCCATTCGATGCAGCTTTTTCTCCTCTTTCTAGAGGTCGTTTTTTGTTTCCGATTCATCAAGTTTTCCGGGATAAAATCTCATAAATCAACTTTTCCAAGGGACCCCAAGGTGTACCCGAAATTTTCGAAAGCTGCTAAACCGAAGCGGTGAATGCTCGTTTGGTTTGTAAAATTGTTGCCAAACCATTATCCATCTTTGTAAGTTTTAAAATCCGAAGACTTGTTGGCGTTTGATGCACTTGTGTCTGAGACGAGCTTGCTAAAAATCGGTGGTTCCATCAAAAAGTCTGTACAAAAATTATGACGAGCTGGAAAGTAGAAAAAACTTGTGCTGTTTCCTGTGGGATTTGCTCCATCCATCCATTACTTGGACTCCTTCTGAGGTTTGTCATAAAATTTTAGAAAAATTGTGAAACTTGGCCATCTCAAAAAGCATAGGTCGCAGATTCTGACTCTTTTCTGGAAGCTCATTGACTGTGTTGCAACAACTTCATAACCATTAGGAAGAGAATGAAATGCTGCATCAAATGATACCAGAATCTCTTATACATCTTTGTTACGCGAGATGTGGCATACGTTTGAAAAAAGCGACATTACTTTCTGAACGACCTAATACTATCCGGCTTGAAAGAACTGTAAACCAGGAAGAAATGAAGGAGTAATCTGTTGCGCTTGGGACCCCAAAAAGGCACATATTTCAGATTGTAGACGCGCAGATATTGCAGAAGCTTGATCTAGAATTCTGTATACATTTCATATTGGTCAAATAAAGCGACATTCGACTATTGCTTGCTCCGGTACCTGGGCCTTTCTCTAAAAAATGGATTATTATAGCTCAATTCAGCGCTCAAAAAATAGACTTTTTACCTGTTACAAAAAGCAACCAGCGCGTTTTTGGAGAAGAGCATATCATGATATACTTAATCAGTCAGCCTAAGGTTCTTAGTATACATGACCAAAAATCGTTGTTGATAGCAGCTTATGATGAAGGTATAAATGAAACAAGTTAGTTTGACCTCCATTTCCTCCTTTATAACTTTCGTTGCAACCTATAATTGAGTACTGCCGTTGTGAAAACTGCTTGTTTTTCATTTATGTTACAGTGGTTTTCAATTTCTTCTTGCTAAAATTTTGTACATTGAATGCGGCTTTGGAACGAAAGTTTATGTTCTTTTTGTAAGTAATTTTGTAGCTCTAACCCATTTCATAATTCGTAGAGGATCTCAAAATAATTGGAAATTAAGGGGCTTTGTTTTTAGAAAAATTTGGGAAGCCAACGCGTGCCGGGTTCAGGAACACAGTCGTTGTAATCGACTGATCTCCGCAATTCATTCTAAAGATCTCTGCTTTCAGTAGCCTCTTACCGTTTATCTATTTAGTTATTTAATTACAAGTACATACAAGGTGCATCGAAGAGGAAGAACATCCAAGAGAAAAATCAAAAAGAGATACGAGGCCAGCCAGTCCTCATCTTCAAGGCAAAAGTAGAATAAAATAAGAGGTAGATAAAAGACACGAAGCTCTAGGCTCCTAAAATAGAAAAAAATAAACGTGTACTATGTCAGAAAACATCTCAGGAATCTCACCCTCGAAACTCATGATGAACCCGTTTTTGGGTGCTAGCCACCCCAGAAATAATTTGTTTGAAGAATAACAAGATTCTATTGTGAAACTGTTTGAAGTAGATTGCAGACAGCGTATGCCCGCACAGCGAATCAAAGATATCAAATCTCTCATTTTATAATCGAAACTAACTCTTCCGCTATCCAGCAACCATCTTGAACTTTTCTGTGAAGTTGTTCTTTTGCCACAAACCATCATTAATGGTCCTGATTCGCAAGATAGTATTCCACGAAAAAAATCATGCCTTGTAAACATAGAAATTCATTGAAGGGAATATACAATCTCGCATTTGGTGTAAATCTATGTCGCTAAATTTTGTTGTCTATTTCTTCTATTCTTTTCAATCGTAAATCTGCAATAATGCGGGCGGAAACGGAGCCATTTCACAATTGACCATCAGTTTAACGACTTTTTCTTCCGATTCTATGCACTGAGCAATCTCTGCAATCAATATAGCATGTTCGCCTTTTACTAAAATTAAGCCTCTTTTAGTTTCTGACTCACCTCTGTAAACGTGCCGATTTTGGCTCCTCTATGAAGTGGTTATCTGGAAGATGTTATTACATTTTGTCTGATGTATCATGTTTCATCAAATATGACTCACGCAAATGCTTAACGTGTTCTAAGAGCTTTATATTCAAGCCGTTGACGGTGTAATGTGGCACGTGTGTCAAAGCTTTCATTTCTTTGAATTTTCATGTCAGATTCACCTTCAGAATCTGAACACAGAACTGTACTCGAAAATGTTATTTTGTGTTAGATTTATTTGAGTCTAATGACATTTCTGATGTATTAACAGTGCGATGGACAAGAGCACTACTTTTTTGTAATTCATCTTTGATGGTTGCAGGATGAGCACTGTGCGCCTCCTACAATTAGCCCATCTCCTGATAAGTTTACAAGTGCGGATGACATCAGCAAGAGTACGTATTTACCTCCCTTGGAACAAGCGACGTTATGGAAACATGAGAAGGCGATGACTGCTAAGGGATCGGACACAAGTACGCATGATGTATACGAATGCTCAGGATCGCAAATGACGCTTTTATTGGGCCGCACGGGTGGGCCCCGCCCTACCTGACAGCTGCAGAAGCGCTCCTCTGAAAGTTTTAGAACTTCAGTTTGCCCTGGGAGTCATCTGCTATTGTCTGAGTACGATTATTGCGACAAAGCGCGCTTGCCTCCGGTCCATTTGAAAAGTTCCGATCCATATAAGTGGCTTTGGGTAGATAAACGTTAGCTATCCTATGCCACCGGGTGGAGCAGGAACACAAATCATCAAAAACATTTCCGCGAAAGTGCATTTTGCTTTCTCTTACTGAAAGTGCCGAACACAGTTACTTCCTACAATCGTTGTTAGTTTATTTCAAGTCACGGTTCTTTTATAACAAAACAGGATTCTGCAGATGAGCATCGAGTTATATCTTAAATTATACTTTATAGGGTGTACCCATCGATATCTTCAATCAAGATGGGAGTGACATGGCACTACCGCACGAAGAGTACCTCTTTTTCTCCCACAGTTTAAATTTGACCAGGTAGTGAGCACATTAATTTCAGTAACTTCAACGCTCTGGAAGGCTTCACTGGAATTATGTACAATGCTATTCCTAGCACATCGAACTCTAAGTGGAGGTTGCAAGCTGGAAACGACTACATAATTCCGTATACCATTACTGGGCAGTATGGTACTCATGTAATTACAGGGTATTTTTAGTCTGTGCCAGTAAGTGACAAAATCTTGTTCAAGAACCAAATGAATTAGAGATGCTCAAGAAGGTGATGGAGCATGTTCATGATACAACATGCATACGTTTTAAGCAAAGAAAAGACGAGAAGGATTATGTGGAGATACAAAACAACTTTAAAGGAGGGTGAGTACTAAGTTTGCCTAAAGGGTGCGAGCATTTTTCATTATTGGAGTTCATATACTCTTCCACCCCCTTGCTTCTTATATGTATGTATCGCCTTTCCCTGCACTGACTTTCAGCACTCAACCGCTCGCAACCTGTAAATCCTACTCTATTTTCAGGTATATGAGCCGCACCCTTTTCGCTCTGAAGGCGAAACGCCAAAAGACTGACTGTCATCATGGAGAGCGTTAAGTGAGAGCAGTATGCAATAAGGCGACCGCTTCGCGAGACATATGCGCGGCGGCACGCCTGGGTCTGCTCGAGTTTAGAGCAAAAAGGGTGCAGCTTATACACCTGAAAACAGGGTAATTTGGGTTTATTTAAAAATTTTGGGAGAAAAAAATCAGCGTTTTCAAATATGCAATAAACTTTTGGAACCTTATATTACACCAAGAGCTACAAGCGTTTTCTCAGGTGCTACTCTCCTGTTGGACGGCACAGCGGAAAACGAGTCATGAACCTTGAGGCCAATTACGCAGCCACGTAAGTTTGCCTAAGTAGACTTCTTGAAACAAAACCTTCATCGGGCCAATTTCTTAATTTCTTAATTTTTTACTGATGCGTGCTCACCACTCCAACACAATAAAAATAGGCCACATAAAAAAAATGCAATTTTAACTCGTTTTGGAGTAATTTACGGCTTTTGCGACTTGTCGGCACTCCTTGCCTCTTGTCCTCAATTAATTTGATATTTGATGTGTTCGGTGAGGAACTGTGGAGATCTTTATCCAAGCAAAATTTGCTGTAGTCTCTACTGTTTTTCGTCTGCGTCTTTACTCTTCGCACACTGCCTCGCTACCCCTTGCGCTTTCCCCTTGTACAGAGTGTCCCAAAAAAATGTGAACACTGTTTGATCGTTAAACTCCCTTGCTTTTATGTCTTCCGCCGAGCTTGAGGCACCATTCTATAGAGCGAGGCCTAAATTAGATCTACAGTATGGAGCGAGTCGTCGATCACTCTTCGTTACTGTAGGATTACGATAGGAACTTTGACAAGGATTTTAAGCCGTTGAAAGCCATAGGAAGCCGTTGAGTTCGAATATGAGATTTCCACTTCACTGTGACGCTTCCTTTTAAGGTTATCCCAGGTAAACCTTAATAACCGAATTTCCAGCATTTGTCAGAAATGTGATTACACCGTCAAAAAAGCTAAAAACACCCATAAAAAGGTGCGTTATGGAATCAGCGTGCGCGATACCCTTAGTACACAACTTTTCAGATTTTTCGAAAAAATTTTTGTCAAATGGCATATTTCACAATAGATCCACATGCCAGAAGTTCATACCGTAATCCTACAGTAATAAAGACCGATCGGTGATTCGCTCCATGCCGCAAATCTAAGTTGAACCTCGCTTTACAGAATGGTGCTTCAAGCTCGGCGGAAGACATAGAAGCAACGGAGTTATTAACGATCAAACAGTGTTCACATTTTTTTGGGACACCCTGTATATGGCTCTGAATCTTTTCATGTTTCAAGTCCAATCCTGGCAAGCTTTATGTCAGTTCTTGAAGTCTCACCACAAACGACGACGACTCTCACCCAGTTTTATATTTGAACGAGAAGTTTGTTAAAGCGCTGCTTCGCAATTCTTCCACTTTGCCACTTTAATTTTTCTTATGTGGCTTTTCGTCATTCAAAGCACCTTGCTTTTGATTACGATTTGGACAGCGTCGCCCGCAAACTTTTTGGTTTTTAGCGAAAACTCGGTAAAAGGGGGAAAAGTCTTTTCGAACTAACGAAAAAAAACGAACGAACTAAGTTCTTAATCATCTTTTCGTGCTTGGAATTCTTGCTTGAAATGGTGAGCAAACCACTCCTGGTTTTAAAAACACAGGTCCAAGGAAGAAATTGAAAGGACCCTCAAATAATTAGATTAGCCTTGGCCTGCAGTTGAATTCTCAGTTATTCCCAAATCCGGACAGTTAACGTTTTAGCCACCTATCAACCAAATTTTCAGTGCACATTGAAAAGCCAGTATTATAGATGCTTTACACCGAGGATATTGCTTCACGAATTATTTCATGTGATCGGTCTATTTCATGAACATATGCGTTTTGATCGTGACAACTACGTCACGGTCCACTATGATAATGTTGAAAGAAGTGAGCGCAGCAGAATGTTGACTTCATATTCGCGCTTGGAAAGGGTTTGCTGTACTTACTTTTGTGCACTTTGTTTTGCATCTTACAGGATACTGGAGTCAATTTCAAAAACTTACACTATGGCAAGCGACTACATATAATATTCCGTACGACTATAAGTCCATCATGCATTATTCTAAGACCTCATTTGCAAAACCTGGAACAATTAGCATGGAAACAAAGGATCCGCGATATCAGTTGAGTGAATTTTTTTTTGTCAAGTGTGCAAGGTGCTCTTAATTGTACGAATGCTTCTTATTTGAATTTGAAAAATATTGCAGAAACTTCAAAAACATTAATACTGCGTGAAATATAGGCGGTAACGGTACGCGGCGCATGTGTTAGTGCGATTTTTAAGTTCATTATAATTTAATTTACACATTTCAAGAGTTTGCACATAATAGTGCTTACCTGGCGTACCCAGAAGTTCCGTTCGCAGGGGAAGGGAGCGGAACTTCGCAAATATTTTTGGCATGAAAATTTTGCGGGTCGAAAATCCCGAAATTTTAAAAGGAAAAGGGGTGTGGTTGCTGTAGGCTATTCTGATTCTAAAAAGTATAAGCATTTCAGTTGCACAATTACTTCAACTGATGTAATTAACTTCTAAATATTCACCCAGCTGTCTGCGGGCAGAAGCCAGCATCAAGACTCGGCTTTACTTCTCCGCATAGTCCTAATGTAGAGTGGCATACTACGTAAAGCGAGGCTCAAAACTGATAATTCTGAGCCAAACTGACATTCGAATGAAAAACGCAACGAGTACGGAGTATACAGGAGTCAAACAACAGCTATCGAGAAAGCTTGTACAGCTTGTCCCAGAAGTCTTGAAGCTTAATCTTTCTTTTCTGATAAAAACAGAACCGAACAACGTAAAGATATAAAATTTGGTGCACACGTTACTCATACAATAGCAATTATGACACAGCATTCAATTTTTGTACAGCATCTTTTTACGTTGACACATGCCTTCAAACTGTTGGCTTTTGTCACTGCCTGGCGCACAGGTAATCATATTGAATCTCGTCTAATGCATCTGCGGAATTAGCTTCTATTACTTGAAAATTATGCTGTATGATAGAGCAAGTTTCCAGCTACAACTCATTACAAAGTAAATTTTTTGCGAAATTTAAGAGCGAAATTATCGGAATTTGACCGCAGGCATGCGTGCTGAAATCTTAAACTATAATGGCCGGAAGGAAAAATTGAAATTTGGCTTCAACGAGGTTGTGAGAGTGACTTCATCAACCCGGTTAGAAAAGATCTCATATACAAAACATATAAAAAGAAATTACTTTGGATTCAGTGAGTGCTACACTTTTACACATTTGAACTCGATTTCAGAGACGTAGCTTTTTTGGCAGGCATTTGGAATTTCCAGATTTTTTCGGCTTTTTGATAGAATAGTTGTAAGGCCTGCTCTATATTGTGATAATGAGTACCAGAATGTTCCAAATACTTAAAGTTACGAAATAAAGAATATTGTGAGAATAGATTTTCGCGCTCTTAAAAGATGATAGTTTAACAGTTCTTCTTCCCAAGTGCAAATGAAATTACTTCAGACTTGCAAACATGTATTTGTAAAAAATGGCTGCAGCATTCTGTTGCATGAGTGTGAAATCGAAACTGCCGGCTGTCTATAAGTTATTGCAGTGCAAACTTAGGCTACAACTTTTAGGACATCTTTGGTATAACCTTGATACAAGGTAGGGTTAAACAACAGAAGAACACTTTTTGGTGTGCTTTAATCCTGAAGCATTTTGAGCTGGTCGAGAAAAGCGCTCTCTCTTTTTAACTGCATTTTTTTTTTCAGCGTAGCAGATATCACAGTCGTTATTAAATTCTAAAACCAGTCCTATGCATAATATTGCGGCTTAGAGTGAAAAAAGGAGCTTTGCTTGTATTTTCGACCAATACTGATTCTTGTCTTATTCTGCATACAGTCTTCGGCTATGCTGTTCCACATAATACCACCAATTCTTCACGCCTCTTGCAGAATTTCTGGAACTCTCCATGTAAGGGAGCTTTGAGAAGCTCCATATATGAGCCTCACTTCAGTTCTTCGATGGTGATGATGCGTGAAATCCCTTCGCGGACAATCTTATGAGAACTGCTCTTGGCATGCGCTTTCGACGCTCAAAGTTTCCGTGAAACGTGCTAGAATTTAGCATTTTGGCCACGTAGATTCAGACATTGCTGTTGCGCGCGCCTCCGTGAATCACCTTCCCTTTCGCACGTGCTGTAGCATATGTTTGAGAAGCAGTAGTCGAGCAGGCGGTACTTATCGGCGCTATTCGTTCCTTCATCCGCTTCGGCCTATGGCCCGTAGTAAACCCCCTCTCAGCTCAGATGATCTGCGTTGACCCTTTCAGAAGAGACCGTAAGATAATCTTACGATCCCCTTGATACAGTGAATTAAATATGGACGACGAACTGACAGCCAAGGGACCGGTCAGCTGCCGCAATGAGCTGCGCTGCCTGCCCTAAGCTAAGCCGTCGCCGACCTGGCTTACGAAGATAGCGTGTCTGCAAGGAGGCGCAGACACAAATCTCGTAAGTTGCTCGTGAGTAACTTACGGGACACGTCAGCTAGCTAATTCTGCGGACGATAGTGCCCGAAATTGCACAAATAGGGTGGCGTACGGATGGGGATGATTAATGAACAGTTGATCGCAGCGAAAATTAGATATCAAGTTTTTTCTACATATTTCGTTAGACTTACTTACTTTCTTAGATACTTACATGGGCCCGGTTTTACGTGACGTGCGGGCCCCGCACAGAAGTTTCCATTTTTCCCTGTCCTTCGCTTCAGATATCCACGATCTTCTTGGCTGACGTCGGTGGCTGCGTCCACGAGTTCCAGGTGCAAAAATCGTATCTAGCTGATTTTACAACGGTCCATCCGTTCCACGAACACGTCTTCCCATCCCCGGTGGTCTTCCTCGAGGACGTTTGGCTTCGCGAGGAATCCCCTCAAATGTTCTTAGTGTCCAACCGTCGTCTGTTCTTCTCATGATGTGATCGGCCCATCGATGTTTCGCTTTCGCAACGTATTCCGCTGGGTCACGAAGACGGGGCATTTTTCTTAAATCCGTAATGCGAAGTCCTACAAGGTGTTGTTTGCGTTGGCTCATTTTCAGAAGACTGCGCTCAAGCACTCTGTGGGTGGCCCGTAGAGCTTTCGACATGGCTATAGTGTTGGACCAAGTCTCAGCTGCGTAACAGAGCGTCGGGAGAACGTTTGAGTCGAACAAGTGGGCACGAAGTTTCGGACGTCAGTTGTTCGGGGTGGCTTCCTCCAGAGGCCGAAGGCGGCCCAGGCTGCTCTTCTTCTCCTGTTAAGTTCTTTCCTCAAGTCATTCTCCATGTTCATCGAACGTCCGAAATACACGTAAAAGGAGGTCTCCATAATAGGAGTGCCTTCCAGTTCCACTTCCGCATTTTCGAAAGAGCGTTTCTCATGAACTGAGTCTTCTTCCGATTTATTTGCAATCCGATCTTCTTCCCCACTTCGTTTACTTCCTTCAACTTCGTCTCTGCTTTAGCGATACTGCTCGAGAAGAGAACAATGTTGTCCGCAAAACGAAGGTTCGACAGGAATCTCTCATCATTCGTATGCTTCTCTCGTTCCAGTCCAGTGACCTCATCACGCACTGCAAGGCCGTGGTGAACAGCTTCGGCGAGATTGTGTCCCCTTGTCGGACCCCCTTTCTAACTGGGATGGTCGGGGGCGATGGAATAGCTGCATCGTCGTTGTACAGTCCTTGTAACAGTCAGTTAACGTCCTCACATAAGCTGAGTCTATTCACTGATCCACTAGCGCTGACAGGATGGAGTTGGTTTTGACGCTGTCAAAGGCTTTCTCTTAGTCGACGAAGGTTAGGACGAGAGGCAGTCGATACTCCCGGCAGACTTCTATGACCCTTGAGGCCGTCTGAATATGGTCCATGTAGCTGAATCCTTTGCGAAATCCAGCTTGTTTTGGGGTTGGGCTTCATTCAGTGTCCTACATATGCGAGCAAGGATAATCTTCGTAAAGAGTTTGCACACTCAGCAGGCATATTGGATGGTAGTCCCGAAGGTTCTCCCTTCACCCTTTTTGCAAAGAAGAACGGTTCTTGACGTTCTCCACTGGTCGGGAATCCTTTCCTTCTGAAGGTAAGAAGTTAGGTGCGACGCGGAATCTCGTGTAGACGTTGTCCTCCGGCTCGCAGAAATTCGACGGAAAAATGGTCTGGTCCTGGAGCCGTGAACGTCTTCATGGTCTGAATTGCCGTGCACACTTCAGCAGGTAGAATTCGTGGTGGTACTTCTCCAGTGGGAACAACGGGCATCGGCACGGGTGTTGATGAGCGGAAGGGTTGGTGTAGAAGTTCTTCGCGATAGATTCCATCTTGTATCGGGAAGAAGTCGGAGTCCCGTCTTCGTTCATTAGTGCAGCCAGCTATGTGATATTACATAGGTCCTTTTGGCACTTCTTGAGACTTCGTCTTCCTTAGACTGCTTCCAGTGTCTTGGCTTCTGTATACTTCCTGAGATCCTCCTGCAAAGCTGTTCTGCAATTGGCGTTGGCTATCAGTCCATCGAGATGGGTTGTTTTCGGATCCTGCCTCAGAAATCTTCTTCTTTCGAACAATTCCTTGGTGGTCTTCGAAATACGTTCCAAGTTCTTCCAGAAGTCGCTGAGGCGCACTCTCCGCAGGCTCGCAATCCTTTCAGAAGCCGGTCGTAGTCGTACGTAGGGTCCTCCTCGATGGGCCAGTCACAACTTGATATGAGCTCCTCCAGCCTGTTACCGTCATAAACGACATTCTTCCTTCTTGCGGCACTGTGGCAGACCTTCTTTTCCAGATTTCAGCTAATCGTACCCTCGCTCGAAGGAGGCGGTGATCGGAGCCACTGCAGGAGGATGGAACTTCTAAAACATTGAGCAAGCTCCACCTTTGGTCGGCGGGAATTTGATCGATCTTCGCGTGAGTCGTTCCGTTGGACGATTCCCATGTCCACCGGCGATGTTCTCTCCTCATGGAGATGGAATTCCATGAAAGAGTCGTGCGGCGGAGAGAAGCTCAACAAGACGGTTGCCGTTTTCGTTTCGGAGCCCATATCCAAACTTCCCAATCCTATATTCCTTCTCTACTGGCATTCCGATTTTCGCTTTGAAGTCGCCTACAACATACTTGTAGAAGGGCTTTTCGTTGCGGACGACCTCCTCCACATGTTCGTAAAGAGCATCTAGTTCTGATTCGTCAGCTGCTGATGTTGGAGAATAGCAGTTGATGATGCTGTTGGTCTTCTGACGTAGAGGCGCAGTCATAGGATGGCTAGTCGAAGTGATAGGATCTCGAGCGAATCGACAAGATGGACGATAGATGGGTGGACGACAAAGCCAGCGCCTCCAACGTTTCATGATGGAACCTTTTCACCACGAATGATGAGGGTCCCATCACTCATCTATCGCACGTACTTCTTAGTGGATTTCGTTTAATGCAGTGCGATGGTGTGGTATTTGATGTGCTCTGCAGCGTCGAGAAGAGCGTGGAGGTCGGCGTTTGTGGAGACTGTCCTGGCATTGTAGGTGCAGAGCATGAGGCAGTCTCCATGGCATGTGGTCCGGGCAGACGTGTCGTTTTTGTCCAATCCAAAAGGCACCCTAAGCACCCTAACATCGTTCTTGACCCGGCGCTGTAGGCGGGATCCGATGTACAGGGTTTTTTCTATATCTTCTTGCTAATGAAGTAATAAGACTTGTTCCCCTACAAGAGTAGACTTACTAAGCCTACTCTTGATTTCCACGGGGCGAGCACTGACCCCGGATCTTGGAGCGGGGAGAACCGCCTAGCGACCAGAGAGCCAGACGGCGGTTGATCTGGCCTGGCCGGCTCTTAGCTAGGCATTCGGCCGAGACCGGAAACGTCGAACTCCTTCCCAGCTTGGGAGGCCCTGGCAGAGTATACTCGGCTGTGCATCGTAGTTCGACACCCAGTGTCACCCCACGCCACCTTGAGGGAGCCGGCCATTGTGGGGGTTTCGTTAGACTATGTCGATCTTCATATTTTTCGAAGAATGCTTGAAGTAAAAAACTCTCTCTTTATCATGATTTTTTATGGATGTTAATGCTACGTTATTGTATTTGGTTTATGTCCTATGTCAGCAAAGACAGCTTCACCTGCGAAGCGAAATACATGCTGGCATCGTGCACAGACCTCGGAAAGTTCCAAGTATGTAGACAAACCGTCCGTGGGCATCTACAGCAGCCAGTACATTCAGGGTCGTGAAGCCCTTGCGGCAGTAGTACTGCCAGGCGGAATGTGGTGGCTTCTGTAGTGGTATGCAGCTTCCGTCGACGGCGCCGATGATGTTTGGAAACGGTCCTGTCCGAGCGAACGCGGCGGCGCACGATCGCCAATACTTTTCGTCCCCTAATCGGCAGCGGATGAAGTGCCGCACGATTAGGGGGTTGTTCAGCGCGTGCACATCTTCTCGCACGGCATTAAATGGTTGGTGGTGGTCACCCATGGTGCCAACCAGAACCTCCTGGTGGGCGTTGATTGCGAGATACCGGAAAGCGATCACCACCTGCAAGCATAAACATTAAGAATGCGAAATTTTTGCATTATAGTCAACATCCATATGATAAATTTTATGCCAAAGCTGTTTGCAACTTCTTGCAAAAAGAGTCACCAAACAGGATCGATCCCCCACTGACACTGACACTACTTCCGCGTACAGTCACTGTGCTATTGAGACGCAAGTGTGCAAGTCTTCAGTGCCATATGTATTGCTGGGGTATGCAACAGCAATACACCATTATATTTAGTAATCGAAGTAATAACAACTTAAATAAAAGGGTTGTAGCCTTACCTTGTTCTCTAAGTCGACGGACCAATTTGAAGTCTGAGAACCTTTCATAATCGGCGCGATGACGCGGCAAATCTTCTTAATGTGGCGTTCTTCATTCGAAATTTCCGCACCAACATCCGCTGATTCTGGTGGAAAAGTCTCAATGGATGAAGCCGACTATAGTGGATGTTGGAGCTCCTCCTGCTGCTTCCTTCCACAAACACGAGCATGGCTCTGCAAAATGAGATGAAGAGTTTTTTGACTGCTCGTTTTCGTAGAACAAGGAAATGCACAGAGAGGGAACAACATGACGCGCGCAATATGATGACAGACTTGTATAGGTTTTTATTGATTGCCTGTATCACTTAGTTGCTTAGATATGCGTTCTCATCTTGAAAAGGCCTGTAACGGATTCAATGATCATAGCGCAGTGGCAGCGTGCGCGATCGACGATCACTGAAGGGTTCGACCGCACGTGATCGCCCAAGTTTTGCGGCCTTGCGAGGCTCCATCTAGGTTTGCGATTTACGCTGAGCTGTCGCGACCCTAGCGTGTTCTTGTTGTGACGCTTCCGGGGGGGGGGGGGGGATTACTACAGGCCCATATCTCGATGAGCGTTTCGTAGCACAAGTCTCCAGCAAACATTGTGTTTGTTTTGAAATTTTTTCTTTTGGCTCTCACGGCGATAGAGCAAAGAAAAATTTTTTTCGCATCTGTATTTTCAAAGTATGCAACCAGACATCAAATAGAGATCTATGAAGACGAAAATAGGCTTGAAAAACTAGAAGAAAAGAGCTATTGATTGATCTAAGCATTGTTTATGAAAAATGGTTTCTTCCTCCAAAATCGGCAGTTCAAAAAAAGCTATTAAAAACGGATAAAACTTTTGAAACAACCTAATAATATACAAATTAACCTTTTATCTATCTAAAAAGGTTACTGAGAGATTATTACAAGAATTCTACCGCAACGATTCTAGACCTTTTATATATGTTGTCAAGGTTGCTACTGTTTTTCGAAGTAATATTTGAATTTTAGAATGTAATAGGCACTGCAAAAGCCGCTACTCCTAGTGACTATCTGAAAGTTTGCAAAATCTACGAATGTAAGAGATGCTTGGGAGACAGTACTGGTAACAGCGACCAAGATTTGGATTGGCTGCTAACCGGAAGTTCGTTGCCGAGCACGAGTGGAGGTAAGATTACTCTATACATATAAAGCAGAAAATATGTGTGTTTGTGTGTTTGTGCACATTTCCCATAGTTATGAAGGATGAGCGATGAAGATCATTTTGATCTGCTGATCATCAATATACAGTGTCCCAAAAAATGTGAACACTGTTTGATCGTTAATAACTCTCTTGCTTTCATGTCTTTCACCGAGCTTGAGGCACCATTCTGTAGAGCGAGGTTCAACTTAGATTTATAGTATGAAGCGAATCATCGATCTCTCTTCGTTACTGTAGGATTACGGTATGAACTTTCAGCATGTGCATCCATTGTGAAATATGCCTTGTGACGAAATTTTTTTCAAAAAATCTGAAAAATCATGTACTAGGGTTTTCAAGCATGCTGATTCTGCTACACAACTTTTTACGAGTGTTTTTAGCTTTTTTAACGGTGTAATCACATTTCTAGGCTGGAAATTCAGTTGTTACGGTCTACGTGGGATAACCTTGGAAAGAAGCATCACAGTAAAGTGAAAATTTCATATTCGAAATCAGGGGCTGCCATTAACGTAGTATAAGAGGTTCTTGGCTTCTTTGGTTTTGTTTCGAGGCAGAATATGGCCTCCAATGGCCTAAAATCCTTGTCGAAGTTCCTACCGTAATCCTACAGTCGAAGAGCGATCGATGATTGGCTCCATAGTGTGAATCTAAGTTGAACCTCGCTCTACAGAATGGTTCCTCAAGCTCGGCGAAAGACATGATAATAAGGGAGTTATTAACGATCAAACAGTGTTCACATTTTTTTTGGGCCCTGTATGGTAAGGACGGTAGAAAGCGAACCCAAGACGAGTCGGAATTAGAAAAGGGTAAATTTTGCTACATGAGAGATCAAGCACGATGGGTTGGCTCCCGAACGGGGTGGAACCCGAGATGCCGGCTCCTTCAATAATTGGAAATTTTGGCCTCATCTTGAGGCCTGTTGCATTGGACTATGTATGTAGCCGCGTACGTGGGCTACAAATTTTTGCTCATATAGGTCGACTCCCTCTTTTGATTTTCGAAAGAAGATTTGATTCACAGCCGCTCTCAATCCATTATAGTGGCATAGCAGAAATAGAACCTGAAACCATCTCATTATTGTGGCTCAGAAGGTGGAATCTAGAGTTTATGCGGGGTAAGAAAGAAATTGTTGAATGCATTCGCGACAGCGACTGAGAATAACGACCCGTTATTTGTCGATGTAAGATCATCATGCACAATATGAACAATTTACGTCGTAGGCAGTTTCTGAGATCAATCTCAAAGCGTCATGCTTGGAGAGCCCTCCAGAGATGTAGATTTATAAGATACTCTTTCTCACATCCTGGCCACTTTAAGGTTTTGTATTTTCTCTTACCTATCCATCTTCGAAATATCCATAGGTTGGCTTACGAATGACTTTATTTGACATTTATACGCTATAACAACTTATTCAAGTAAGTGTACATACATGGTAACCGAGTGCAAAGCTTTGGATATCTGGCGAACCACAATGAATTTGTAATCTGCAGTTTGCGAATTTTTGTGGACAAAAATGAATTTCTATTCTCTGTCATTTCCTTATGCGGAAAAATCCCTAATGTTGTGCGCGAAAGTCAAGTTTGGGCAGTCCAGAGAATATGTCTGACCATCTATGACTATGATTCATAAACCAGAATCGTAATTTATCGCAAATTTGGTGAAATCTTGGGTTTTCTAAAGTTTGGGTTTTACACTTCCCTAAACCTTTTCGTCATCAAAAAAAATCTCTGCTTATGTGACAGATGTTTGATTCTTATTGAATTACTCTTTTCAGTGATAACAATCAGTCACACAGAATGTCAGAAACATTTCTACAATCATCAAATACGACCGAAGTCAATTAGACGACCGTATTCTTTACCGGTCTTTTCCATTATTCGAACCCATTTTTTTTTTCAAGATGCTCTCATGAAGTACCTTTTTCAAGCGGGAAAATTTCTGTCATGGATCTCAAAAGGACTATCTTCCTGCCAGTGTCAGGATAAGAATTAACACGTTTAGTCTTAGTTTGATATGTCTTTCAAATAATTTCCAGTGAGGTATGAGAGCGTTTGAAACCACTCGGAAGCCGTTTAGAGGTTCAGAAGCAAAGCAATTTGAAGCGTCATGAGTATCTTGCTCGCTTTCAGTGATTCAATAAAATCTTCCTCTCTAAGTTGATTCCTCCATACGAATTTAGCCAGAAAAGACTATAAATGTTGGTTTGAAGTACCAAACTGCCGCTTGTTTCCCGCTTAAATAATGAAACAAAAGTCCACTCTCTCTTTTGGGCAAATTTACTGAATTCATTTAACACAGGATATTATTCTTATAATGTTGGTGTTCACTTTTTGAACTGTTGAATAAACATGGGGTCAAATTGACTCTAAATCAGATTGAATCTACCTTAATTTCACGCGTACAAGACGCGAGGGAACTTTTTCCAAAATTGGCCATGCCAGACACGCTAAAGGACTTTGCCCAAGAGACGCTATACCGTGCTATCTACTGCAATCGTAGGGCTTATAGATTGCTTTCCGACACAAAGCGGAGCGGTTGAGCTGCTCGCTTAAAAATTCGAAAAAGGGGCGCCTTAACGCGTGAAATTAGGGTACATTGGTGGGTAGGCTAAACAAACTCTTGGTAAAACTTGTTAGACAAAGGCATGTCAAATCTTCTTGACACATGGCAGGAGATTGACGCCTTTTCCTGTTAAGCTATGAGCAAATTTAGCACGACGAAAAAAGATATAGGCCCTTAGCAAAGCTCGATCGATTTAGTTTAATTCAATTACTAAACTTAACCCATCAGTTGAGCTTACGTTAGGTGAAATGATTACCGCCCACGCTGAACCTTTTCGTCAAAAAATCTCTGCTTATGTGACAGATGTTTGATTCTTATTGAATTACTCTTTCCAGTGATAACAATCAGTCACACAGAATGTCAGAAACATTTTTACAATCATCAAATGCGACCGAAGTCATTTAGACGACCGTATTCTTTACCGGTATTTTCCATTATTCAAACCCATTTTTTTTTCAAAATGTCTATAAGCATGCCAAGTGAACTGACAGTTAGTCATCTTTTCACATGCTGCAGTCAACTGATCCATTTGCATCAGTTCACGATCAGTTAAGACGTGAACGAATGCAAATAGTGTAAAAGAGGCGACGCAGAGAAGGTCCCCGTAAGTTGCTTCTGAATAACTTACGATACACATCAGTTCGCCTAAGGGTTGTTTCATACTACCGCACTGACTGCACTGACCGCACTGACCACAACGGCCGTACAATCGCTGCATCCTTTCGTAAAAAAGAAAATAGTTGCGAATACATCAAAACACCGTGATTTACGCCTAGAAAGTTCATAGGTTCTAACTTACTCTTCTCAATCAAATTTTGGCGATTGTTTTTCTTTAATATGCTCATATTTGTTCAGATTCCTTTTTTCATTGCATATACCTATTTTACTCCCGCTCGTGTTGTCTATTGGGGCATATATTGTTAAGAGACTGTTTGAGCTACAACTATTTACTCTCCACCTTCACAAAAGGATGTCGCGATCTGTGCGGCCCCGCGGTCAGTGCGGCAGTCTGAAACATCCCTAACACTGCGGACAAAATCCGCGCAAAACTATAAACATTTCCTCGGGGAGTGCTTGCTAAAGTTTTGAGGCATTTGTGTTTTGATTTGTTATTCTGTTTTGGTCTTGTGTCTTTCATCCCTGCGTATGCAGGAACAGTTAGCGGCTAATCAGATAGAGTAAACTACTTCGATCGTTCTTCTTCAAATCTTCATTTTTTTGAGTTTCATCTCGAAAGCAGGACCCTGCAAGCACTGAGCGGTACTGTTTATCTCCCTTTTACCCATATTTTATTTGGCGAGACAGAAATTCTTGGTAGCAATGTGGGCACAAGTTCATGGGCAGAATGTTAAGAATAGTATAGCTCTTCTGTTGAATAGCAAGGCCTTGTTCAAACTCGGCAGCTGCTTGCGAATGCTGCCGAGTTGAGTGAGTATGAATGAGTCGTGGTGCCTGCCCGCGAATCCGCAGTTGATGTACATGAATGGCATCCACTACCGCAATCATATTGACTGCGCAACATGCCTTCCGGCAGTAGTAGTGGTTGCCGAAGTTGATGGGCCGCTGGTTAGGGATCAGACATCCATCAATACATCCAATGACATCTAAACAAAGCATTTCGTCGATTAAAAAAATTTTATGAAATTCTTACTTGTGAATCTCGAGATTCTAGCGATTTCGGGACCTTGGCAAGCACCTGCGCTCGTCCGACGGCCAGAAGTGGAGAAAGCGGGCCTCTATTGTCAAATGGTTGAGAGCATCCACTACCCGGTTGATGATATCACTCACTGCCTTCTGGCACACTCCGAAACAGTCAGCTATGACAATCTGGACTGTTGGTGGCCGGGTAGCGGAGTGTGTTGAGGACTTGAAGGGAACACAGAATAATTATAGTAGACCTTCCAAATATATCCAAACCTGTTTCCTCTCTGCCATTCTCGCAAGGCTCCAGCCCTGCATCCGGCATCAGCGGTTCGAGCATCTTCACGATCTTCTTAACATCTTCTCTCCAAAATCTATACTTTGAATAGAAGATATGGTTGTTGCAAAGTCATAGTCAGGTCGAAGTCATTCATTTGTGCAAAGTCTGCTTCAGGTTTTACAGCTGCGTAAGCATGCATGTTCGCTGATACAAGCAAGCACAATTATGTGCTTGCTCGTATAGCAATTAAGCACGATTATAACACGATTATAAAACACCATGCAAAATTGCAATAAAATAGATGGCAGAGGAAGAAGAAGCGAGCGAAATAGTGCGACAATAGTGCGCAAAAAAATCCCGCGCTGTGTATGGGTCTTGCACAGAAGTAACGATCAGCGACGCACAATTACGCACAAAAATCAAATGCTCTAAGGCATTACAAAACCATTCGCGCCACTCCGAGCTCAAACCTCCGACCGCCCCAACATCACGCCGATCTCTTCACCACTCCACCACTGAAACCGATTCAGTCTGTCCGTAAAGGCTATTGGAACGTATTATCACGACTTGAAGAAAGGGTATGAACTTTCCGCTTAATGGGTCGCCGGTGCTGGAGTAAGGCGCGGTGAGATCGACTCCGGTCCGCGTCGAGAGAGGTGCCCTGATGGGAGATTTACTACGAGCTATATTTTTCAAGAGAAAATGGGTCTAGATAACGAAGGACCACCTTTTTACTTTTGGTAAGTAAACAAAAAGTATTCGTGCCTTGCCACATAAATCTTAATTTTCATTAATTTGCATGGTCCTTTTTCAAAAATTCTTTGATTCCACATTATCGTATAGATTTGCAGGGCCTTCAGTAGTTTATCTGAACTTGTTGTTTCACCCGTAACAAAACTGGTGAGCCACAGAGCTGCAATAAAGAAATCGAAGCAAAAATCGCTTTAAAAAGAAAAGTTCGCCGAGCAAGAGTTCAAATACTTTATAAATGAGAGCCTCCCTTTAGGATTCAAAGCAAATTACAGAAAGAAGCGCAGCAGATAGAATGCCTGGTGTGCATCTTTTATTGATTGGATTTGGCATGCGTTGTGGCTAGGGATGCGTATATACGTAAGGTTTATGTAGTCAGTCTCGCGGTAGGTAGAGAAGCGCAAATTAGCTGTTCTTGATGGCAGGAATTGAAAATAGACATGAAGCTGGCTTAGGCTCTTAGGCACGTACATCCTCGCTGGGAGGGGAGGGAATTCGAAAGGGGACGCGTCATATTTCTCTGCTGGCACTCGTATCCTTCTTTTTTCGTTCATGTTGGAAGATTTTTTTATTATTATACTTGAGTGTGATGTATGATAGAGCGTTGCCATACAAGCTTGGATCTCCACTGTTTGATCCGCTTGAAATCCGCAGGGGATCACCCCTTGTTTTCAAAGGCGTTATCTCTTTAGGAATCGGTTGAAAACGTCGTAAAGTTGTACAGTAGATCTACGCACTGCTAGGAATGTTTTCGGCAGGACATGGATTGTGCAGGTAGTGTTTTTTGATCAATCTCAGCTCGCGAACAATGGTTCATCAAAAATTTGCGGTTTTGAAATTTAACTAATTTCTACTGTAAACATGTTTAGCGCTGAACCCTTGGCATCCCCAGGGGATCACACAAAACAGTGAAAAGCTCAACTTGTATGGCAATGTTCTGTCATCTATTGTACTCAGTTATTAAGGCATGTAAACCTTCATAAGGTAGATAAAAGCATAATGTAGATAATAAGCCAGCGAGATATGAAGCATCCCCTTTCAGATCTACTCCTCCGCGGGAACGTATGTGCTTACGGGTCTTAGTGCTAGATGTGAAATTAGGACATTGTGCGATCGCAGAATCGCGCATTCAGTTTTACGATTTGTTGTAATTACGGTAACAATCTCATTCACAAACCCTGGGCACAGAATCGCTCACCCTGACACCTCCTCGCGCTTGACAAGGCTCAAGCAATGTTCGTCTTTAATGCTTTAGTGCCCAAGCTCGGCACGTTAGTGACGGTTGTACCACTAAATCAACTTTCGTTGAGGCACTCAAACAGGGCTGTCTCGTTTCGTCAAACAGGGTGTTCCTCAGTATCTGTCACATTGCACTTATAAACGTTATCATCATGGCAACACGCTGAGCAACGTAACAATTTCAGCAGTCTTCGTGATTGTAATTGGCATGTTCCATTTTTGGAACTAGTTTGATGGCAATTGGATCAGCATGAAAACGAATCTCCATAGTATCGAAAGAGATGCTTTGATGGCATTATGGATAGGCGCTCTTAAATTTTTCTATACGCACAGGTTGTAAAAAAAACAATGGTTGTTCTGTGAGCTGTGCTGTGCTTTTGTTCTATGTTCTGCTTTTGTAACAAAACACCAGTATACATTTTGATCAATGACGTACGATAAGTATATTAAGGTAATTTTTGCCGCAAGGTCATCTTACTTCCGATCAGAATATGACGCGTACTGTTTTGTACAAGTAGCCATTTTTGTGGTATTATTTGTAAAAAGTTGAATACTTCTAGAAAATATATCAAGTCCGGCTTAGTGGCACTACTATGGCCGACAAGAAAATAAAGTAATCGATCCGAGCCAAATTCCATGTTTGAAAGTGGAGGTCAGCCCAGAGGTATCTAAGAAAACAAGTTTTTTGCACTTTGATTACAACACTGGCAATCAAAAGACTTGGCAGTCACCCATTTGTCTGAGCAAATCTTGTTCTCATAAGCATGAAATGTAAGCAATTTAGATTCAATATGAGAAAGTAAACCAATGTTTTGCACTATTCAAAAGGAATTTTGATCGCTGTGCTTACACCAGGCAAACATTCATTCCTTTCGAATGAATACGAACATGGTAAGCGTTTATATAGACGTAGCTAAAACTCAAGCTCAATTTTTCGTATATGCGTAAGAAGACATTGTTTCAATATAATCCATAAGGGCATTGCATGTGCCACAGCAGCGAGCAGTGCCCTCAACCGTAAAACAATTGACTTTGTTGTACTTGACGAGCTGTTCACACTGTTGCACTCCATCCCTGTCAGCACAAAGATGATGTGAAGGTGTCGACGTGTATCCTGGCGGAAGAGTCTTGAAAGCGAGTGGCTCTTCTGTAGTTGTGGGTACTCTCGCAAACGATGCACTTCCTAATGCTGCGCATGTACCACAGCACAAGTCCATGTATTTGTTGCAATCGAGAGTTCCGTTCTTATCCATAAAGTAGCAGTTCAAAAGATCTTTGTCTATGCATCCTAAATATCGAAATTGTATACGAAAGCATGCATACTATTTATTTCTTGCCAGGTCTGATCCACGTGGATTTACAACTACATTCTAAAAAACTCTGAATGCCCGAAAAAATTTGCAATCCAGCTAGTCTGGACCCGTGTTTACGATAATACGTAAAGGGTTTCCACTAGTATAAAATCAATCGCAAAAATCATTGGTCAGATCAATCAATACCTGGTTTCGAAGTCGTCACCATCGCCAGAATTTGGCCTGGCACAACTTTTTCGCCCATACAGACGGTACAGTTGTAGATCGCGCAAACTTTTGCCCAGTCATTCCTTGATGCCTCTTTCGCTGTTCCTATGAGATCCTAAATACGCTATGAAATTTAAGAGCTCAACAAAAGTTCATAACCAGCTCACCAAATACTTCTTGTCCATTGGTTCCATCGAGATGGTATTGGGATTGGCAAATGCAGTTTTTCCATAGTGCATGATAGACATGTAGTCATAGGGTACGCCATATGTGACAGCATCGGGAGCTTCAATCAAAGCGAATTGATTTTGATATCCTGAATCGTCAGATTTTTTAGTCATACTTTACATGAATATAAGAAACGTAGCTCCATTATAAGTGCCAAGCCACATTTCCTGAATAAATGGAAGCAACAATTTTCAAGTGAATTGAGAGATGATTATCATTCAGGTTTGTGTTAAAGTTCCGCGTAATGAACTACCAACCCAAATAGCGGAACACCTTCAACGAACAAAGTATGCAATCTAGTTTAGTTAGCAATAGATGGCTCCCTCTGCATGCAGATCATTGCTTAAATTGGGACTTTCTAAATGATAGATCTATCGCAGTATATAAATCAATAACTCCTTCCCTAACCTTGAAAAATGAAAATTAGCGCGCTACAAGAATAGTGTGGTCTTGCCCCTTTTCGAGAATAGCTACTTCGAGTGCTTATTTTGTTTATGAGAGCACCGCCGTTTGAAAGACCTCAAACTGTGTGCATCATCATGCATGCAGAGGGAACCATCTACTGCAAACTGAGTAGATTGCATACTTTGTTCGTTGAAGCGAGAAATGCCTATCTCTGAAGTAAAATCAAATTCTATGGAGATCAGATCACAACTAATGTGTCCTCTAAAAGGAAACATTTCAAACATTACGCAATCACGCAATTCTAAGTTAGCATTCCCAGCAAAGGCTCCGTTTGAAGGCAGACATGCCGAATAAGAGACAGCTACAGTTACACATAAAAGTTATACCTAGGCCTCATTTGACAAAACAGCTAGAAACTTCGAGAATAAACGCACAACTTATCGATTACGGACTTTTGATTCGTATGATCAATTCCCAGACGAGAAAAATCTCAGTTGAGCTCAAATTTTCGAGAAGCTTACAAGAGGCCTAATTTGATCCAAAAGCTTGAATTTGATCCAGATGTGCCACTCGAAGTTATGATTAGAGGATGTGGGTTTAAAAGAACATCATCCTTCTTGTTTTATGCAAAGGTGGACACAGGAAGCTAACATTGCCAAAAAAAGTCTCTGTGTCTCTGTCGAATGCAAAAATTTGTCGCTTCCCGGGTCTACAACCCGTAGTAATCCCCTCATCGTCTGAATCATAGGTGGATCTAAGTTGACTTTACAGCGCCTCAGTGCAGCATCCAGCAAGCTATCGATCCAAATACAGATCGCTTTGTGAACCTGATATTGTGCGCCTTTGCCAAACAAAGAACAGCAATACACTTGTGCAAGTTGGTTGGGAGTGAATGATGGTGATTCATAAGGCGCCCATGGTTTGAGATTGAGATAGTGACATCATTTTTGCTGCATCGCCGGGCAATCTTTTATAGCGACTATGAAAAACTATCTGGCTTACCCGGCTCCACCGTATGTTCCGAATAGAAAATTCCATTTCTTGACCGATCCGGACCAAACTTGGCACACATACACTTCGGGCCCCGGCGGTGTCACAGTCCACTTTTCGTTATCGATCGATGTCGATTTTATCGATTTTTTGCAAAATTTGAGCTAGGGGGCTGGAATTTGGCAGAGGGGTGTGATCGAGCATGCTGATCACCCCCACGGGGGTGATCACCCCCACAGTAGCCTATGACACCCACCCTGCCCCGAAGTGTATGTGTGCCAAGTTTGGTCCCGATCGGTTCAGAAATGGAATTTTCTATTCGGAACATACGTACATACAGACATACAGACAGACAGACAGACAAACAGACATTCAGCTTTATATATAAGATTAATGATGGTTAATATCAATGATCTCGCCTAGCAAACGGATGAATGAAAGAAATTACAATACTTTGACGTGCATTCCAGGAAAAAACAAGATTGTTGCGAAATAAACAGAACAAAAATTTTTCTATGCAGGTTCCCAAAAAGCAAAGCAAGTCCTGAGACAAAGAAAGAAAGTCCTTTGTTTTCTCGCTGCAAACGGCTATTTATCAATCCTTTCTATCCCCTAAGCTCTCAAAGTTGTGCAGTTTCTGCGTATATGGCCCGCAGTAAAATGTCGATTACGTATCCCTTACTCACAAGCAACTTAGAGGTTTATTTTTAGAATTTATTCACATTATTTCGTAAGATCAACTCAAACATAGCCGCACTTACAGAAATTGGGTTAAGATCGAAGTGGCCGGCCGCGGTCTCAGGTCACTTTGCATTCTTATAGCATGGGAGATCGCGCTATCGTACGATTGATGGCCGTCAGTTCAGATCATCTAAGACCGAGGTTCACTATGGACCTATAAGGCCTTGATGATAAACGAACGTTGACAGAAGCTCGGGCCAATAGAAATAGATAATTCAAGCTGGGTTTAAACTCATTTTACGTTCGCAGAGATGGTGCAGAATCCAAGGGAGGGCCGCGGGAGCCAACTACGAGTCGGCTGCACTGTCATTAAGTCAAGCACACTTAGAAGGAGCAGCTCGTTAAAACATATCCCAAAATTTTGACATGGAACGTTGCTTGCATTCCAAACATGAGAACAGAGCAGATCCGAGTGCACAGCATGCTGCCCTTGTCTAGAAAACTGCCCCTAAACCCGTTAATCGCACTCGTGCTAATGTGCGCGGAAGAGCTTGCGGTTCTTCCTGACCCATCAGAGACGGCATGTCGCAACGTTATAACTGCGAGGGTTCCTCAACGATGCTGCCTCCCTAAACTCCCTAATTTGGACGTGCTCCACTCGTCCAATTTCAAAATGCGAGGCCTTGGAAAGTAGTGGTTTTTACCATTTTCGCGCTCTTCAGGGTGGTCGGAATCAGCCCTCGAATAACCCCAGATTAGCAAAAAACTTTAAGTTGAAAATCTGCCGAGCCGCTGCCTTTGTACTTGGATTACATTGCTGTTAAAATCACTGTTGGTGTCTGTTTTATTTTTAAGCTACGCTGTGTTTGTTATTACGTATAGTATCCGCACCATATAGCAATGAATAAAAATTGTCACTGATACAAAAAAAGTTCTACTCATAGTAGCTTCCGATATACGTTAGCATTACGTTCGTTCTCTCAGTAGTATCGTAATGGGTAAGCTTGACTTTGCATTTTATGCGATCTTAGGATAGCAAGTCCTACATAACAGATGATTACGGCTATTTTGTGCACCATTTTCCGGCTTATGACTATCAGTTCCTGGTCAGGACCGAACACGAGGGTAGCAAATGTTAAGCTGGAAGCCGTTTTGAAAAAAAAGCCAAGGGGTCAACGTAAATACAGATAAACGCCTTAATGTATCTCTGGATAACAGGAAGAAATCATGGAAAACCAAGGAAAACTCCTTGATGAAAGGGTGAGGCAAGCTCACTAGGGTTTCTTCATCATTCAGAAGCAAGAAAGCCTGTTTGCGAGGCACACGATAAACATGATGTGTACGCATATAGTCAGAGAACATCTATGAAACCATATTAGGGAACTTTTGTTTTACATTAAAAGTTTTTTTACATTAATCCGTTTTGCTTTCATATTCAACAAAGTGGAGATTTAGTTCTGAAATGCCTGCTTTTCTCTTAAAAGCAATGTCCAGACTAAATGTACCCCCTCCGATTAAGGTCGATCCTGAATGTAGGCCCCCAAGAGGGGCATCTGCGTCGGTCCTCTAATGTCTCTGAACGGAAATAAAGGGCCTGAAACAGCGAAAGTGCTATCAGGCCCCGCCCAGATCCTATCAGACTCTACCCACCAAGACTGAAACCTGCCCGCGCCCTGAAGACAGGGTCCTCAGGAATCGGGTTTTTGGAGGTTCTGGACTGTTTGAACTTCATAATTGTAATCAGGTCTACGGAAAGGCCCCGGAATGGCAAAAACATGAGAGGCAAAATTTTGAGTGGACGCTGCCTTCAAAACCCAGAATAGCATAAGCCTTGACCTAAAAGGGTGAACGCGCTCTGACTACTAGTCTAGTGCAGCTAATCCCTTGAGGGGAATTTTGTTGAGTTCGAGTCACACAGGCGAAAATGTTCCTCACACGTAGAAGACTTTTTAGCAGTGTCACTCAGACACCTATCGATAATGATTTTTTGAACACGTAAAATCAATGAAACCAGTGAATTAGGAACAGTAAATAGAATTTCAAGGGTTATGATTTTGTAAGATTTTCCACTGCCGTAACTTTTTTCACAACTTCTTGAAGTATGTGCAAAGAGAGGACACTAGAGAAGATAAAAGGAGCTGTCACATTCGCATTTATTCTCAGACTTCGAGACTCCTCACTGATTTATGTAATACCTAGTCTCAGGACGCAGTATGGATTGATGAATTCGTTAGAGGCAGATGACGTGCTTGACACTTGCTATATCCAAAACATCTGCCGCTTACCTCTATCAATATTTGGCTTCACTAAGGCGAATGGGTGCAAAATCAACGAGTCGTAGGTACGAGATCGAGTATTAGTGTTACCGCACTTAGCTTATCACTCACGCACCAACAATCTAGTAAGGCAATAGACGATCTTAGGATATTTTGAGCATATGCAACTTTGTGTGGCTATTGCGCCGCTATACCACGTCTGGTCGAAATTTTAAGGCTTGATCTCCACTCAACCAAAAGCACCTTTGGTAAGTAATTCCACGTGGTCTCTTCTTCAAACCTGAGCATTTCGTGTTCTTTGTTAGTAATTTTATGCCGAACAGGATTTTATGATGGATCTTTATTGCCTGACATTTCGACAAGTATCGTCTTTTTTGGAAGCTTGAAAGGGAATGTAGTTTTGTATTTGTCTGTCTAAACGACCAAACGCCTCCTCAAACTTGCGAACCCAGACCTTGTTTAGAGTCGGCGTACTGGGATACGATCCGAAGTGACAGTCACCAACCTTCGATCCACCGCTGAGTCAGTCAGCTCGCGCGATTATGACGGACATCACTGAGGATTGCCCCAGTGAGTCAAAGATATATACACATAGTCTGCGGCTATAGTCGAAATAATGATACGAAGGGCAGGAGGTCACTTGTCATCGTCAAGCATTCATTTTTATTGTTCATCTCCGGATTTCCGGCGGATAGGACGCTGCCTCCAAGGTTTTTCGTGCCTTGATTTCGGTCTCATATGCTAGTGTGCATTTTGCTGTTGCTACTCACCTTTATGTGTCTCGACTCTATGTTTTCCTAACGGTGATGACATTGTCCCTCGTCTTTTGTTGGTCAGATGTTCTTTGATTTCTTTGATTCTAAAGCTTACAAGGGAACCGTGTAGAGTCGAAGTGGCCTTTCCAGATGAGACCCATACTGCTTTGAAGAGCATTAATCGGTGATTCCAAATCTGCTTTAAAAATCTGCCAAGCGCCTCTGGAGGCCAAGTTATGCTCGTGTTTCAGGTCAAAATAATGAACGCAAAACTGAAGCAAAATCGCCCAAATTTGCTCAAATTGTCCCGTATCAAGTATCAGAGCTGTTTATGCACTGGATACATTTTATATAATACTAGCTGGCTTACCCGGCTCCGCCGTATCCGGACCAAACTTGGCACACATACACTTCGGGCCCCGGCGGGTGTCACAGTCCACTTTTCGTTATCGATCGATGTCGATTTTACCGATTTTTATCGATTTTTTGCAGAGTTCACCTACAGGGCTAGGAGTTGGCACAGGGGGGTAATCGAGCATGGGGATTCCGAGTACAACATTAGTTTTCAGGATCGTCCATTACTTTTTCGATTTTATCGATTTTTTGAAAATTTGAGCTAGGGGGCTGGAATTTAGCACAGGAGTGTAATCGAGCATGCTGATCACCCCCCTGGGGGTGATCAGCATGCTCGATTACCCCCCTGTGCCAACTCCCAGCCCCGTAGCTCAAACTTTGCAAAAAAATCGATAAAATCGATAAAAGTAATCGATAATCCTGAAAACCAATATTGGATCGATGACGAAAAGTAGCCTATGACACCCGCCGGGGCCCGAAGTGTATGTGTGCCAAGTTTGGTCCGGATCGGTTCAGAAATGGAATTTTCTATTCGGAACATACATACACACATACAGACAGACAGACAGACAGACAGACAGACAGACATACAGACATACATACAAACAGACATTCAGCTTTATATATAAGATGCTAATACTTAGCATTGCTTTATCTGAGCGCGGGAAAGATTGTAACAATCAATTTCACCTGAATTCTGCATTCATTTTTCGTTCCGAAGAACGGTCATAACTCGGCGTCCAGAGGCGCTTGGCAGATTTGGAAGGCAGATTTGGTATCATCGTTTGATACCCTTCAAAGCAGTATGGGTCTCATTTGGAAAGGCCACTTCGACTCGACACGGTTTCCTTGTTAGCTTTCTTTGTTTCCCCTATATACGTCGCTCCACAGCATAAGCATCTCAACTGTAAACAGTACCATTCTTTGCGCAGTCACCTAAGTTTCCATATGGGCAAGCTGTGAGTTGTCCGTTAAGCATTCTGTGTTAACGCAAGCTGTTTCTGATCAAACGCTTTCTGATGCTACTGCTAGGAATGGTGGCCAGCATTACCTCGTTGTCCAACTGCGCTCGTGATGTGGATCGTTGATTGCACTGTGTAATAAGCTGTGTAGGCGGTCTCACTGTTTAAATATTGCGGTTTCAATAAAATTATAGCCTGACTATTAGCAAAGGTACCAGCATATTTGTTTAACACCCAACAATTCGTCAGGCGGCTACGATGCATGAGTTTTGAACTAAGTTTTGAACCAAAGTTTTGAAGTTTTGAACCTTGAGTTTTGAATCGTTCACGTAACATCACTCTGCACTAACAATGTTCATAACAATGCCGCTATGCAAGCTATTTCGAAATGTTAGACAAATACCACTCCAACGTGGTCATTTTTAGACTGAGCATTTTTGGACTGAGCATACTGACCCTCAATTAAAGAATGTTTGTACTGCTACATCAGCGGACTGGGAATTACTATTCCCAGATTAGAGGACTTGCGATGGGTCAAATGCTCGCCCCGTCCTGGCGATTTGTTTTATGAGTGAGATCGACGAGCCAGTATTAGCACACTTGCCATCAATGTACTGCCGCTATATCGATTAGATCGATGACTGCTTCATTGTCACCCTCAACACAAATGGATGAGTGTTTTAGAATTCTGTATCAGCAGGCGCAGTACATAGGACTTACACGAGAAACCCCGAATAGCGCTAACTTTCTTTTCTAAACACCCAGATATGTTTGTCCAATGGTGCTGTTCGAAGCAAGTGGTACAGAAAAGAAAGCTCTAAAAACATCCTTGTCCACGCCATGTCAGCATATCCTACAGTTCTACAGCATTCTCTCATCCGCGATATGTACAGACCCGCTGCAGAAGTCTATACGGGCGAAAACGAACGATTGGAGTGAACAACTGGCATTCGAATTTGCTCGCAGTTGGACAATGTATGCTAGTCAACATTCCTAGCAGTAACATTAAAAAGCGTTCGATCATAGCTTGCGTTAACACAGAATGCTTAACGGACCACCCACAGTTTGCCCATAAGGAAACTTAGGTGACTGCGCAAAGAAGGGCACTGTTTACAGTTGAGATGCCTATGCTGTGGAGCGACGTATATAGGGGAGACAGGAAGAAGACTAAGTTTTAGAATCAAAGAAATCAAAGAACATCTGACCAACAAAAGGCGAGGGACAATGTCATCATCGTTAGGAAAACATAGAGCCGAGACACATAAAGGTGAATATCAACGCAAAATGCACGATACTAGCATATGAGACCGAAATCTCGGCACGAAAGACCTTGGAGGCAGCGTCCTATCCGCCGGAAATCCGGAGATGAACTATAAAAATGAATGCTTGACGATGACAAATGACCTCTTGCCCTTCGTATCATTATTTCGACTATAGCCGCAGACTATGTGTATATATCTTTGACTCACTGGGGCAATCCTCAGTGATGTCCGTCATAATCGCGCGAGCTGACTGGCTCAGCGGTGGATCGAAGGTTGGTGACTGTTACTTCGGATTGTATCCCAGTACGCCGACTCTAAACAAGGTCTGGGCTCGCAAGTTTGAGGAGGCGTTTGGTCGTTTAGACAGACAAATACAAAACTGCATTCTTTTTCAAGCCTTTAAAGAAGACTATACTTGTCGAAATGTCAGGCAATAAAGATCCACCATAAAAAACCTATTCGGCAAAAAATCACTAGCAAAGAATACTTCGGTAATTTAGGTATATAGGTATGGCCAACCTCCAGCCCATCCACCTCTTCCCCTCCCTCCCGACAGATTTTTACAGACATTATTCTTCGATCAAAAATGCGGTTAGTGAGATACTCTTGGCCGAGCAATAATCACTAAGGCTGCGTTCACACTGATCCCGAAGTCCGGGAACAATCCCAGCACAGTGCTCAAACTGAAAGCTCTGCTGGAACTGTTCCCGGTTTTCGGGATCAGTATGAACGCAGCCTAACATTCGCTTATTTAACTCTGGCATATTGGTCATGCTCAACGATAAAAGAAAAATGGAAGGATAACTCGTTGAAGGAAACTGTGGCTGCTAAACTGAGTGGATTGCACTAATTGAAGAATATCTGAACCACGATAAATGCGCTATCTTTTTTCACTGATAGCTAACCGAAAGTTGTATTTGTCAATAAAACCACCTGGAAGTACGTATGCAGTTCGACCATCAACCACTAAATCCTTAGAAAAAATGTACTAAGGTCTAGTAGTTTGATGATTGTTGATAACGTAAATGGATAAACATAACGAGACGAATTAGGAGGAGCAAGTTCGGCACGAGTTTTCATAGTTACATGAATGATTGCCTTTTTGGATGTTTTCCCAGTGTATTGTAATGTACTTGTCCCTGTCCTCACGCATGTGTTCATGCCACAAACCAACGACGTGCAGCAGCTCGTGAAGCACTGTATGCTCTTGCATGCAACTGAACGAATTGTCGACTTCTATGTATTCGGAGATTATTAGAAAAACTCACGATCCTAGCTTGCTCGCTTCTAACACCATGATGCTCTTTCCTCCGTAGCGACCTACGGTTGAGTAACATCTTAAAAAATATCTCATCTTCTTAGAATTACGAAAAGGAAAAACATGGAGGTAAGTCTTCTTGTGGCTTGAATATCGAATACATTCAACTGACTTGAGTTGGTTTTTTAGCATTTTCAAAAATCGATTATTCATGAAACTTCTACTATATCAATGCATTCGTGCGTAGCAATTTTGATACGGTGTCCTCATATCAACTCATATATCAAAACTGGTATCCATAAGATTCTGTTTTAGCAAGTGAAATGCATCTCGGGACATCAAACAAAATGTTAGGCTAAGCCGTTCTAAAGTTCATACGCTTTCATTGTCGTCCTCCTTTTTCTGAGAAGTGGCTGCTTTGCGGCATATTGTTTAAATTATCAAAAAGAGCTACTATTACACGCGTTAAAATTTTTTTTGCACGTTAATGGCTGTGTACGGCAAACAGCAAAACCTGACAGGAGGATATATCAATGTCCACCGTTTTCCCAGACCTTCCTCATAACATAATCATTTGTCCGGCTCTCTTACGATATAAAACGGCGCTTCTTTTGATTCTGGAAACAAATTCAAGCGCTAATTAAATGACATTTTAGAACCAGACCCGCTGAGTTTTGGTACCATGGAGTTGAGACTCTGTCATCAAACTGGCAGAAAATTGTGCAGAACAAGAAAAATTGCACTGTCTGTTACCTTCGACAATCTTCGCCATTTCGTTGGTTTCTAAAAACGCTACGAACCTTGGAATCTAATTCAATAATCGTTTCAGTTTCTACTTTGCAGTGGCGCAACTCTTTCTTTGGGATTGTCGTCTTATCCTTCCCCTCAGAGTGTTTTCACAAACGTCTACGAAGTAACACTCTTTTGGAAAAGGCAGCATATAGTCTGCCCCAATCCCAATCAGGCCAAAAGTGTCAGGGCGGGAGTCCGCTCGCGCTAGGGTTTCGCGGCTATGCCCATGGCCTGCTTCTCTGCTCTCTCTGCAATCCTTTTGCTCTCTTTGACAGCGCGCACATGCAGCGCAGACCGCTAGCGCTGCGAGCGCGCAAAATTACGCCGACGGTTCGGCCCGATCCCGATGGAACTGTACATTTGAGGGTTCTCAGCAGCAACATAGATGCGAGGAGTCACAAAATAGAAGTGACCTCCGTAGTATCTTTTACTTTAAGAGATGAATAAAAAGTACATGTAAGCAATCTCCTTCATAATTCTTTGTTTTACTTTCGCGGGGTGAGGGAGAAAGAGAAGCATATCAGAAAGTGCGGGAGCGGTCATGACGTAGTCTTGCAAAATTCGCAAGGCGTTGCCGCACCGTAACATTTACCAGTTTAAGAGCCACCCCCTTCAGCATTCTTGGTGCAGTGCTATTTATGGCCTTGACTCATGTATCTGTCGCCACCCCCCCCCCCGCACAACCCCTCTCCCACCCCCCCCCCCCACCCAACCCCTCCTCCCCCTATGGCGCTGTGCCACTTTAGCAACGGAGACCTTTGAAGGGTCATAAAATGAGCGCGGCGTGCGCTGCAAAGCGGCCGCCGTGCGAGGTATGAATCTTGGTGGAAAGTGCACCTGAGTAAGACAGCACGTCAGACACATTGAGAGCAAACGTTGAGCTTTTACTTGCTTTGACGCCATGTTGTCTTGCGCGCACCAGTGTGCGCTAGGACAAGGTTGCGCAGCCGTTCCTTTTTTTGATGCTGTGACTAAGCGGACAGGAGAGGGGAAAGCCGTTTAGGAACCAAAATGTAGATTTGATAGGAAAACCTCAAGTAAATCAAAATTATTTGAGGAGATGCGAAGTACACCTCATACATTGTTTCAACTCCCTATTTAAAATTATACACCCTAAATTTAGTATTAGACATTGCCTGTTCGTTGCAAATAAGTCATTTGTTATATTGGAGCACAATTTTCAGAAGTAAGATTTGGCAGGAGCGTATTTCGCTCTTTTGTTGAGTATGGATTTGGGTGATGCAGTTGTATCTGAAGTGTGGAAGAGAAACAGAGGAGCCGAGGTAAAAGTTGAGAGGGAAAGGAGTATTACTTATATTTAACGTTGTGACACTGGCTGTGGCAAAAAAAGTGTTTGAAGAGAGGGGTTGGACGATCACCACATTTTGTTGGATTGATAGGTGTTTAGCTTCGCGATCGCTTTCTAGCTCCAATGTTTCCTGCAAAAACATCATCTCCTTCTGCTTTAATCCCTCAGAACGGTATGCGGGCCAAGTGTCGCGGCGAGACCTCTGCGCGAGCGCTGGCGAAGCGCTTACGATTAGAGCATTACTTGCGAGCAAACCTATGTTTCTCTTAAAGGCAGTGGACAGGCAGAATGGACCCCTGTCCGATTTCGGTAGCGTTGGGTAGTAGACCCCTCAAGTACACCGTAGCCCCAACTCCATCCTCCATTTTATGCGCTGATTCCCGAAAATCCGCTTCAAACTTCCACCAGCCCCGCCCACTCAATGGAAGTGGGCGGGGCTGGTGGAGTTTTGAAGCTTCATTACAGGACTCAGTGCATAATTTAGAGGGTGGGGTTGGGGCTACGGTGTACTTGAGGGGTCTACTACCCAACGCTACCGAAATCGGACAGGGGTCCATTCTGCCTGTCCACTGCCTTTAAAGAACGAATCAAGAAAGACTGAAAACATAAGAAAAAATAAAAGTTACCCTTCTCCTTCATTATTTTGAATTTCGATGTAATCTTTTTCATTAGATCTGGTGTGAAATCGAATGCATGTGTTTCTGTCCACTTTGGTCATTGCTCGTAGAATTATTTCTTTTTCAGAGGTCTCTGCAATCTGCTAGCAAAACTTTATTAGTCCAAGCACTCCAAGTTACGTGCTTACCGTATGTGCCTTTGATGACATAAGGGATGACGTACTTTCCATCGTAATCTTTGAGATAATCCCACTTCAATTCCGAAGTCGGTGGAAGCGCATTTCGCATCACTCCGTTGTCATCCCTATGTCAAAAGGTGGAGAGACATGAATACAAAGAATGGCTGTAAGTTTATTTCTTCGAATTGGAAAAGGCAAAACCTTACGTGTAGAGCTTATGTAGTTGTGCGATGTCTCCATTTGATCGATTCAGAAAGGTGATGAATGGACCCTTAACAGTCAAATTTTCGCTCACTTAGGGAATCGACAAGGATAGGTGGTTATGAGGTAAAAATCTTTGCCCCGCAGTTTAGCTTCTGAATACCTACTCAGATGTTCGCCGGGGGCAGGCGTACCGTAGACTTGCGCTTTTCTGCAGACGGTCAGCAGAATTTCGGGGCGTTGCCAAAACTTCAGCGGGCGGTTCTTTTGCTGTCGCATATTCTGCCACCTGATAGCAATACAAAATTTTCTGCAAGCTATTAGCAAATAATTTCTTCCAGCGCGCGCTGCCCAAACTACCAGCAAGTTCTCAGACTCTCAACACAGTTTCGGGCGTACGATGAGCAAAGGTAAGACTCTATATTGCAGAGGTGTCATCGACGGTTCGATTACCCGAATTTGGGGTACTTTCTCTACGCGGAAGGTACCTTTGGTTTGTGCGGTCCTTCACAAAAGATCGTGCGCGCTCAATAATTTTGCATATTCTCGCGGAAAGTCCGCGAGAATGCGACTACTGGGCCGCAACTAAGCCATGAGAATGCCGCCATTGATCTCCGAGCGTTTCTCTAAAAAATGGTCAATCCTCCGAATATCTGCAAACGGACCACAAAAAACCAGCGAACTACTTTTCCGGTGTCCGCTTGCTTGTAAATCGCATGGCCGCCTACCCCTGCGATTTTCTGAGTATATGCAAACTAACATAGAGGAGATCAATCAGAATGTCCACATCGTGCATCCCATTTTTACTGGTCACAAAAACTGAACGAGCTCATAAACAACAGATAAATAAAAAACCTCTAGATAAACAAAAAACCCTAAGGCCTACGCAGGAAGCTGCCATGCCAGTAGAGACAAAAAACAGGAGGGGATATGAAGAAAAGCCGCTCAGTGGCCTGCCTTTTGCACCACTCCAATCAGTACAATCTTCTGGGTCATCTTTTCTTTCTATCAGATACCCAATCGTTTCAGCCAACGGAAGCTTCTAATCTGCATAAAAAAAGCTGAATGTTTGCTTGCCTGTGTGTCTATGTGTTCGTCTATATGTATGTACGTATACGTCGAATAGAAACTTTTACCGATCCGGAGCAGACTGTGCACACATACTCTTCAGGAAGTGGCGCCGGGCTTGCCACCTAGTTGTAGCAGTGGAGAATTCTGGTTATTTGTGTGGCAAGAGTGTGAAACGCCTGTCAAACTGTTGAACTCCAGTTGCGTCTTTTTGTTTACCGTGGCAGAACCCTCTACCCCATTTTTACGCTATAGTTTCCTATGCTGCTTGCAGTCTTTTGAGCTTTCCATGTATTATAGAAGGAAGTACGACTATTCAAAAGTTTTTATTAAATTTGCGAATGACTGCCAACTTCGTATTTAGGACATTAATTTATCTCTGTACACCAATCACCGTCCATTTAGCAAAGTTTGCGATCAGCACGAGGTAAAAAAAACATATAGGTAAGAACATTTTGTTCATAATTCACCTTCGTGTTATAGTTCAAGGCTTGGAAATGTTCGTAGAGGCGTCAAACGTGATTATTGATTTTGTGATATGCTTTAGAATAATAATAATTACTTATACACGAATGAAGCTTTCTAAGTCGTAGCTTGGCACCAGCAGATTGATGCCGATCGATAACGGGAGATAATCAACTAACCTCTCCCCCCCCCCGCTTCCTCCGCCCCTTCTGCCTAGAACGTATAGGCTTATCAAACTCAGTGTCGCTTGCATCAGCTCTTCACTCCCGCGCTGGACTCTGCATCTCTTCCGCGAACATGCTCTCTGATCACTTCCAATCGATCGGGACTCCGCCTTTCCCATGCTTGCCTGGGAAAGTGATCAGAGAGCATGTTCGCAAAAGAGATGCAGAATCCAGCGCGGGAGTGAAGATGCTGATGCAAGCAATACTGCGTTTGATAAGCCCTGTATTTATTCTCTCTCATGATTGCACCCAAGGAGCAGAAAAGAAAAAAGCATCAAAAATCAACTTCGAACAGCGGCGGCGTAGCAGGAGGAACCAAAGGCCCTGCCGCCATATCCGCAGGAGGCAATTAAGAGCGCAAGCACTGTGGGGAGGATTCGGTAAGGATCCAAAACAACTTTGCAAAGAAACTTGAAGGACACCATATGAAAACTATTTCATAACTCTGCTTGGAAAAAAAGCACGAGAAATACGAGTAAAAGTTTTTAAATCCACTTTTTATGGCTTCCCTTAATGAAATAAATGTCATTCGAAAAAAACTCGCCATAAAGAATTTTCACTATTCGAGTTGGAAAATGGAGGGGAAGGTAAACTTAAAGTCAGCAGTCCAAGATGAAACCTTGAATTGATAAATTAAATGATTGCAAAATTGTTTTGAACCAAATTGGAAGTCTTTCAGAAACTGAGAATTTGCATCAAATTGACGTAAGATTTTCTGTAAGTTGTAGATTTACCATTATGGTCTTCAGATGGTTCTTGATTTGAATTCGAGCAAGATTTCGTGAACAATTTCTTAATCTTCAATTTTCTATTACCGATTTTCAGCATCACGATTTGACGACTTCGGTTTCTTGACATTCGATAATTCTTAAAAATCTTGAAACATGAGTGTAAGTACTTCGACGTAGCTAATGTTTTTCTGAGGATATTCATATTCAAAGATTAACTGTGAATGAAAAGTGAATTCCGCTTTCATTTCTCCTATAAATGCGGCTGAAAACGCAGATTACAAAACTGCCCCACTTATTTCTCTAGAGTTTTCCCCAGCAAATTTACAGGTAAGTTTTCTTAAAAACATTTATGGATTCCTGCCAAGTTTTCTTGGATCCTGGCCAAATCTCCGGCGCAGTGCTCGCGCCTCTAATTATCTCCTGCGGAAACTGCCGGCTAGGCCTTTGGTTCCTCCTGCGCGTCCTCCTCGAACAGCACACGAGAACAACCATTCCTCAGTCTGAAAGCTATAAAATTCAGGAGAATTCAAAATAATTTTCTATGAGAGCCCTCAAACGAACACATACAATTGATTCAACTGGCTGAGCTTCGGCAAAGGCGGGCTTCGTGACCTAATTAAGGCTAGGTAATGATCAAGAGCACTCGCGCGCGAGAGACGCAGGTGGTCGCGGGCGCGAGCGGCCTGCCCTGACGGAGCTAAACCAGTTGAATCAAAGATATATAGGCACAGACACACCATGGCGGCACTTCTAAAAATCGGGTTTTTCCAACTTAAGTTTAAAAATTTGACGAAATCAAGAATCGATGAAGACGACGAAAAGAGAAAACTATGAAGGGCAAGAGCTTTTTTTTTTGAAAAATGGAAGTGAGGTGTATTCCGAACACTTTCCGGAATTCTTATAATTTTTGCGTTGAAATCTAATGTTTTGAAATTTTATTTCTTCATTTAGCTTCGTTGAAATCTAATGGTTTGATACGTAATAGGAAGAGCAAGTTCTGCGCTTTCTGACGGCTCTTGAGCCACAATTGTTTAAGGGCATAGGGCAACGATACAAGACGAATAAGAAAAGTACCAAGAAGTGGTTTTTCGATAGCCACCAAGATTGCTGAAACGTCTACTAGGATTTGAATTTATGTTTGGTTTAAGTCCTATGACATGCTTTTTTTAGCTAAGAGAAAGTGGATGCCTCTGCGAACGTTACGAATTCTAATTTTTTTGAACTGACTTACTGATTTTGTTTCATGTTGATTTTTCAAAAGGTATTTTAAAATTCTACTTTTGATGTCATAACAAAGAGCCTATCAAGTAAGTTGATTAGTGTTCTGTTTGAGCATCGTAAAAGTGCATAAACCTGATATTTGCGTAGTACATGTATTGGCAAGTATATATCTCTCTATATAGGATTATTGACCTTGGACTGTTGCGCGTCCGTTTTATTGCACACTCTAAGGGCCGCATCCACTAACATCCCAGCGGGAGGGGATCGCAGCTTAAAAGGAAGCTTTATATTTCGAAACTCCAGATACCTGGATTTCACGTTGTGTTCCTATCTGTAAGTATTCCTACTACCCTTCACTATGAACATGTTGAACAGGAGCGAGAAGCTGTACAAACCGCATTTTCCAGCTTTTGTATGATCCCTGACGATCTCCGGCGCTTTTCTTTAAAGTCATTTTTCTTTCTCCGAAGTTAACAAAAAACTTCCAAAGTTGTACTGAACATCTAACACAACAGTGCTAAGCATGTTGCTGATGAGAACAAATGAGTTTTAAAAATGTCGAATTTTTCGGTAAACCTCAAATTTCGATCTGTGGATCATCGAAAATTTCATGACTTCAAAACATCATTTGGTTTTAACAGCAACATGCTTAGCACTGTCGGTTTAGATAATATGCACAACTTTGGAGGTTTTCCGTTAACTACGGAGAAAGAAAAATGACCTTAAAGAAAAGCGCCGCGGATCATCAGGGATCATGCAAAAGCTGGAAAATGTGGTTTGTACAGCTTCTCGCTCCTCTTCAACATGTTCATAGTGAAGGGTAGTAGGAATACTTACGGATAGGTACACAAGTGAAATCCAGGTATCTGGAGTTTTGAAATATAAAGCTTTCTTTTAAGCTGCGATCCCCTCCCCGCGGGGATGTTAGTGCATGCGGCCCTAAGTTTGATCTTGCCATACGCAGTTATGTGCAGCATTTTCTTTTCGTATGTGAAGATGAAAGATGTCATATGCACAATTTTTGCACTCTAATTCGTCAATAGAGACGAAAGTAATATATCATGCACTTGAAATTATATAAGGTAGTGTCATATTTCAGTGTTCATGCGGCAAAAATCTACGAGAAAAATTGTATACTTGCCCTTTCTACGGCTCCAATCACCACAACGGCAATTGCGTATATCGTCAAGATTCCCATCCTAGAGTGTGAATGTTTACTTTATTTGAGCTGCACAAAACACTAGGCATGTTATCCATATAATCTTCTATGGGAGAAAAATGTTATCAATTCAAAAAAACCAATGAGAACAGAATGCATAGATGCGATGGTAAACGTAAAAGCTAATGCAGCTGCTAAGTTTTGATGTATGTTCGCAGCTGCGAATTCTTTTTTATGGATGGGAAAGCTGTAAAAGAATGCATTGTAAATTTGTCTACCATAGACAGGTCTACGTTTGAGGCTGTATCTTCTGCCCTAATGCACGGTATAGTGTTCTATGGCTATTACTCCATCTTAATAGTTTAACAACCCGTTTATTGCCTCATTATGATACCTTTCAGCATGTAGTTGAATGAATGGAGATAACGTCGTAAAACAAATTTCGTGTCATATCCAGCTACTTATATATCTCCGAAGGCCGAAGCATGAACAATCTTTTCCCCGGGGAAGAGAAGTAACGTACAGAAAAATCATGTTTTTATGTTGTTGTAGCTAATTTTAAAATGTTTTTATCTAATTTTACACCTGTTTGTAGCTAATTTTACATGTAAAGCTGAATATTACTTTGCCTGTCTATGTATATACAGTCGAGTAGATTTTCTGCTTAATATAGTCTGTCTCCCTGCAGACGCGATACACTTTGCGTCAACAGTTTGTGAGTTTTCGAGTGAATGTTTTCTAGGTTTTTTTTGCTTAGTCTTTGCCTTTTATAATAGACTAGCTGGCTTACCCGGCTCCGCCGTATGTTCCGAATAGAGAATTCCATTTCTCAACCGATCCGGACCAAACTTGGCACACATACACTTCGGGCCCCGGCGGGTGTCACAGTCGGAATCATGATGGCAGCCAGATTGAGCAAAACCATCAGCGACGACTCAAAAAATAGTATAAACGAAGTGTGCCTAGTCAGCGACAGTGAAATCGCGTTATGTTGGATAAAATCTAACAAAAAATTACCAGTGTTTGTCGCAAATCAGCGTGATAGAATAATGAAAATCAAAGCCCATTTCGAAGCTTTGAACATAAAGATTAAATTCTACCACGTTGCCACTGACTTCAATCCTGCCGACGCAGGTTCCAGAGGGTTGTCAGCCAAAGAAATCGCTACACACGATTGGGTCATAGGTCCACAGTGGCTTAAAAATGATGCCAACCGCCGGCCAATAAGGTCAATAGACGCTCTTTCGTACGAAGAGACAGCAGAGCAAGAGATTACTATTGCTTCCAGCAATGTAGAAACCGTCACAGAAGCTGCAAAACATGACGATTTCATCGATCTCAGTCGCTTCTCCAAACTAGATAAAGCGCTCAGAGTGACAGCTACTGTCGGCAAAATTGCTCGAAAATGGGTGGATTCCACCAATGAGCATCAAAACACTCAAATCAAACTTGGTAACACAAACATGTTTGATAAAGAAGCAGAGATTACAGCAAATGACATGAATCTCGCCGAAATCTTGATACTCGTACACGAACATCAACAAGTGGATATCGCTCTTCTACAAAAGCGCTTTCACGAAAAACAAATCATCATCGATAAAAACGGCATAATACGTCACCACTCTCGTCTCCAAAACGCGGCGATACCGTTTGATACAAAATCGCCGATTTACATCCCAGAAACTTCAGAGTTCACAAAATTATTGCTCGATAAAATCCATTCCAACAATGGACACTGTGGTAAAGATCACACCCTTTCATCGTTAGACAGAGATTCTGGCTACCACAGCCTTCTCGTGCATTCCAAACTATAGTAAAACGTTGCGTGATTTGCAAAAAGTACCAAGGGCCACCATATGGAGCCCCCATAATGCCTTCATTACCAAAAGATAGAGTGGTTACATCTAAACCCTTTCAAAATGTCGGTTGCGACTTCATGGGACCTTTCACAGCAAAAACCAGTGAAAAAATGTATGTCTGCCTGTACACATGCCTGACAACTCGGGCAGTGCATCTGGAAGTGGTAGAAAACCTATCGGCAGGCGCCTTCCTGAACAGTTTCCTGAGATTCATATCTCGCAGAGGAACTCCAGCAATCGTACGCAGCGATTGCGGCACCAATTTCAAATTGGGAGAATTGATCATTCAAAAAATGTTTGAAAAACAAGACCAAATTGGTTCATCACTAATGTCCTATTGCGCATCAGAACGAATACGATGGATATTCAACCCTCCAGCTTCTCCTTGGATGGGCGGCTCATGGGAAAGGTTGGTTGGCATAGTTAAAAAAGCCTTCAATAAATCAATCGGGCGGAAACGCCTTAGTTTCGCGGATATGTGTACCGCAGTAGCGCGTATTGAAGCAATAATCAATACCAGGCCACTAACAAAGTTAAACGCTAGTGACATCACACAGTTACCGCTAAGACCTATCGATTTCTTGAGAGGCAATCTAATGTATTCCATACCCACAGGTGACATACTGGAAGATTCAGATGATCCCAGCTATGATCCCGAGTTGATTCAGACTGAAAAGCAAGCCAATGAAGCAATTCAGTCATGTGAGACCATTGCCAATAAATTTTGGGAAAAATGGAACACAGAATATCTTACTTCTCTGAGAGAAATGCAAAGACTTCATCATAAACAACCACGATCGATTCTGCGATCAGATCCACAAGTCGGTGAAATAGTACTGATTGAACAGGAGTTACTTTCCAGAGGATGTTGGTCGTACGGTAGAATCGTGGATAATGTGAAGAGCGCAGATGGATTGATAAGATCCGCCATGATCCTTCTACCAAACAAGAAGATTGTGCAACGTCCAGTTAATAAAATCTTTCCCCTGGAAATCCGCTCCGTATCAGAGGAGCCCATTACCCAGGTTGAAGAAGCGTCCGCCGAACCTTTGCAAACGGTAGAGAAAAATGTAAGAAAAATGCCTGAAAGAGCATCCAAAATGAAGGCTTTGAATGCCATCAAAGAATGCGGAAATAGGCTTAATCAGTCTGCACATATCCTCAAACCCTCATACTTTTCCCGATCGCCATATTGGCATTAGCATCGCCAATCAAAGCGCAAAACTCTTCATCGGCGATCAGCTGTTATGAGGGCAAGGTTCAAATCCCATGGCAAGGCGCGCCTTAATCGCTATGCATCGATAACGATTGTAAAACGATCGATAATATCACGCACGGCATGCAATATGCGTTGCCCATATCACCAATCAATACCAGCGCCTCAGTGCGTTTCAGCAAATAACAGGCGATAGCGCCCATGAATCGATACTGATATGCGAAAGACCACAATTCTGTGATCATCAGAAAATTTTGTCAAAAACTCTGCTGGGAAACCCCCATTGCTGGCCATTTGGGGCTATCGTTACCGTAGCTATGATTCTTTACTTCATTACAATGCTAGGTATCGTCATCATCTGTTCCATATCAAAACTGGGCAGAAAACGACGAAACACCGTTAAAGAAACACTTCCGGTACAACATCAAACATGTAAAATGCTAGATCCCTCTTTCAAACCAGCCCCTTCCCGGAATGAGTGCAACAACTATTTGCCTTCTAGTTAGCGCATTAATCGTCAACGCACATGCTTGTCAAAGAGGCTACACAAGACACGCTGCGAACCTTGTCTGTACAGATCCAGACAGCTGTCACTACGAGTACAGTAATAAGTTGCTATTCAATAAGGTAATATCAGAGATATGCATTGAAATTATGCATGAAAATGTGACCGTAGGTATGGTAAAGCTCACTAAAAGACCGACACAGTTCACTTGCTCCAAAGTCCTGCACACCTTCACCAGAGATACCAAAATTCGCATCTTCCATGCAGAAAGTTGTGCCCAAGCAGGATCGTGCATTCATGACAAGTGTCATACTATGCACGCGAACGAAACTGTCAAAGAACTGCGGAAGGCCTACAAATTTCCAGGATATTCCGGCTGCATCGACATTTGCGGAGAAATACCCTGCGGATGCTTGCTTCCTCTACCAGCATGTCAGTTTTATCGAGTCGCTCATAGACCAATCTCCGATCACGTATATGAAGTGATATCCTGCTTAGAATGGATGCCCAGTGTGCATATACGCATGGAATACACAAAGCTGGGAAAAACATCTAGGAGCACTCGCTTGATCCAGCCATATGTTACGGAAAAGATCAATAATTTCAAGGTAACGGTCATTTCTATTCAGAAGTTATCGCTGTCACTGCTAAACAAGCGTTTCGCCATCTCTGGAAGCGAGTCATTTGTCTTACCAGACAAATTCCAAATTCCAGTGGAATGCAGCAGTGAGTTGCAAGCTAAACACAACTTCTCATCATGCACTACAAGTATGCGCTGCCATTGCGACAACTCCGTTCACCGATGTCTGTGTCCGGACGACTCGATCGATGCCCTCAGAAATCGCTCATCTGCGAAACTACCATTGGAAACCCCAGTTTCCACAATAACAAGATCAGGTAACGACGTGATAGCACTTTCAGATGAAAGCGAATTCACGTTGTCAATCGCGTCTTCAATATTAGCTGAATCAGCAGAAGAAATATTCCTAATGGAATGCGAAGTTCGTCTCAGCAAGCTGACTGGATGTTATAGCTGTTTACATGGCGCTAATGTCGTTGCATACTGTCAATCTTCGTTTGAGAGAACAGTGACGGTCTCATGTGAAACTCAGAATTTTAATGTCCAATGTTTTTCAAACAACGATTCTACCACTGTTAACCTAGCACTCGAACGAGCAGTGATCAGTGAAAAATGCAATGTACAGTGTCACCACGGACCAGCATCTATTATGCTCCAAGGCACTCTTTATTATCACATAACAGCTGATCCAGTGTCGTTCGATGAAGATTCCCACGCTGTACCCTTGCACCATCAATGGTTCGCCGATATCAGCGTGCCAGACGTCGCGCCGATCATAGAGATCATAAAAAAGCATTGGAAAATCAGTTTAGCGGCTCTCACGTCGGTAGCGTTTCTCACGCTTGCGACCTACCTAGCAGGCCCAATAGCCTTAGTGTACGCTGCCAAAATTATGATCTACATCATCATGGCCATCATAAAAATTTTTACGGCTCCAATAGTGTTCTGCTGGTCCCATTTAGTATGTAAGGGATCAGCTGATAACAGAAACTGATTTTATATGCATATCTGGATAATGTATATAACAACTAGTCATGCACGCTATCAATCGAGCACTTAGCACCGGCCCCACCAACTACTTCACCCATCACATAACCTCCAGGCAGCAATCCGCTATGTCAAGGGCAACAAACCTACTTCAAAGATATAAAGCAGCATACAGTCAACTTAGGCTATATAGCATGGGCGGAACCTAGATAGGCAGTAAAAATCTGTATAAAAGCAGATGGACTATACCACATTACCAACATGTCATTCTCGCCAGATATGCAAGCTGCTATCGACGAACTCGACAGATGTGACGTTCCAACTCTGCTTCACCACCTACTGCCCGAGATGCAAGCCGCTAAGCAGGATAGGCTGGCCCTTCAACAACAAATGCAGGCCCTCGAGCAGAAAATGCAGACGATACTCGACCAGCAAGCTGTGCTCCTAGAACGCAGTGCACCCAAGTCTAGCTGTATTTTCTGCACGGTTGCCGAAAACCGTGACAGCCACTACTCAGCGGATGCCTTCGTTACCCGGATCCAGTATCCAAAACGTCACAAGCCACTCGACTAGGACTATGCCTTCAGTGCCTGAAGGAAGCCCATGAAGATTCATATGCAGTCAAATGTAATGTTCATGTCTGCAGGAGCACTATATTAAGCAGGGAAACTCGACTATAAGTACGTATGTTCCAGTATTTTTCTTCCTGAACCGATCCGGACGAAATTCTACACATACACTTCGGGGAGGACGAGTGTCGTAAGCTACTTTTCGTTATCGATGGACATCAATTTTATCGATTTTTTGCAAAACTTGAGCTACGGAGCTGAATGCCGGCACAGGTGGATAAGTGAGCATGCTGATTACGAATATTTTATTGACAGGGGCCGGGCGGAGCCGGTGCCAGTTAGTCTTCTATAGAAAACAAGCGAGGTTTGTTGGCATCGGTATAGCTCAAATATAGGACTGCAAAACATGAAGCAAGCATTTATAAAAGAACAATTCTGTACCAGTTACATGACTAAACTCTCACAGATAAAATTAATGAAGAGCACCAAGTGTGCGTTTCCGATGTTTCCGTTGTCGTAACGTGTCTGTTACGCTTAACCTAAGCTTTTGATGTCTTGAATGGTGCTCTACCATACTTGGCCAACTTGGCCAAAGCTATGCATGTGCCACAGCACAGATGCTTATATTTAGCACAGTCAAGGGTTCCATTTTTGTCCATGAAGTAACAGTTTAAGAGATCCTTGTCTATGCAACCTGAAAGTCAAAAAAATTAGTAAAGGCACTGATCTGCGATTTTTGCTTTAGTTTGCAAAATTTCACCCTTTAGGTTATTGTCAATTGAGGGTGAGGAGGAGGGAGGGGGGAGGGGGGGGAGAGGGTCAACGGGGATAAATATGTTCAGGATATGGAAAACATAGTTAAATTCAGCATTGAAAAACGCGTTTTTCACTATAGCCTATCAGCTAGACAAATAAAACTGTCTCGCTATAGCTCTACGTTTATTTTAAAAAAAATACTGGATTGTCCCATAAGTCTTTTCATATTCGGACCTTCAATTCGATATTTTTCAAGAAGTAGGGCACCTAATAGGCTGAAAATTTGTGGCAGTAACTCTGAGTGAATAAGTTATACAATCATCTGTTTGCGGGGGACACAGAACTTATACAGGCAAAGTTTGAAAATTGAGTGCATTATTTATTTCTTGATTCTTAGCCATCAGAAAAATGCAGCAAGTGCATGTATGAATATCCGAAATTCGGAAATTTTCTTATTTTGGCTTGGAACTTGTTGCGGAATAAGCTTGTTGCAAACTATGAACGCTATCTTGTAGAGCTTGCCTTGATCTGTCGAACGGTGCCCCGCATTTTATTAGAAGTTTAAGACGAACTGATTTATATCGCTGAAAGTCAGGTATGAAAAGACTTTTGGGACAACCTAATAGTACAGAAGAAATGAGGTTTGTCAACGTAAAAAAGTCGAGAAATGGCAAGTGTAATGATTTTGGAAAGATTACGAGTAGACTTTTCGGTTTTTCTGGGGATGTGAAAAGTTAGAAGAAGGTGATATTAGAAAATATAATTTCACCCAGTTGAAGTGTAACATAAACAATTTGCTTAGATTTTACATTCTTAAGTATTAAGTTCATTATCCGAGCGTATGAAAAGTCTCATAAAGTTGCAAAATTTAAAACTAGAACAAGCTCTGAAGTTATGGGCATCCGAACTGCGTATTGTGTTTTTACTCAAGTCTCTAAAGTGTATTTCTGTGACATTTCAGCTACAATTCGAGTAGTATAGAAAATATTTAGAAAAATTTTGTTTTCGGAAAGTTGAAACCTTGAAATTTGTTGAAGCAACTGACTATCATTTTTTACAAGGAAGTTCCTTTCTTTTACTAGAAGGGCTCTAAATATTTTACCCTTACACTCAAGCGCTTTTGATTTTTCAAATTCAATTCCAAAGTGTTTTCCTTATCATTGAAGGGTTTCGCTAAGCAGAGTTATGACTATCTGTTTCCACAGATATTTTAAATATGATATCTGAAAAGACGACAAAATCTTCTCTACTTCGCCCGTACCTTTGTTTATCTCTCGCGGTTACAGGCGGGTGATGAGTGAGAGCACCAGCAAGATGGACTCCGCCCCATCCCCCACCCCGCCTCTCCGTTTACGGGTGCCTTCATACCGCACTGGCAGCCGCCTCTGGCAGCCCGTAGCAGCCGTTGGCAGCCCATAGCAGCCGCTGGCAGCCCGTACCAGCCGCTGGCAGCCCGCAGCCCCGCTGGCCGCTTTTGTCATAGAAGCGCAAATTATCAAATTCTTAGTACTTTGCGTGCGCCTGCCCATACTTTCCATCTTCCATGCCGATGTGATATGATTGAAGCAGAACATATCTAAAAAATTGACAAATAGCAACCTGCACGAACTGGACGCATCAAAAGTCAGAAGAAATCACATTGCGAAAAAGCTTTGGCGAAATATGTTTCATTTGCGAGATGGAAACTGAGCATCATTAGGATAATCAACTACGGTAACAAGATAATAACAACAGTGGACACAAGTATGATAATATATGGATCAAATTGCTGCAGCAGGAAGGAAAAAGCGTGGAGGATGGAGGGCGTAGGTGGTTGCACTTAAAATTTTGAGAATTTGATGATTTTGCGCTTGTATGTCAAAAGCGGCCAGCGGCGGCTACGGGCTGCTGGCGGCTGCTGTGGGTTGCTACGGGCTGCTACGGGCTGCTAGCGGCGGCTGCCGGCGCGGTATGAATGCACCCTACGGCAATTAAAACACCTTGGATTCAAAACATTTCTCATGTCACTCATTAGTCTTACGTAAATCGTTGCGGCAAATCATTACTTATTGATGGTTCGGTGCTGCACTTTTCATGCGGAAAACGCAAGAACTGTTGCACATCGGTGCCGATTGTTTTCGAATTATGTCTTTATGAATCAAACTTTTGAAAATCGGGGCAGCGACTGAAGTTGTTTAGGTTATTCCAAAAGAATAGAGAAAAGCCTCTCTTGCTCTTTTTCTACAGCAGTCTCTCACTATCCTACTTCAGCAGTCTCTCACTATCCTCTGTCGATCAAAGGTATCACCGCTCCCTCCGTGCCCATTTTTAGGTTTCCTTTACTTCCAGCAAAAACACTCTTGGTTGTAGACTTACGCTCTTATGCAAGCTAAATGTCATTCCGCCACGTAGGCAATTTCCAAGGCTTCGGCTTCACTAAACCCTATGTCTTCAAAATAAGGAAAAAACATGCGATTGCACATTTTCGAGTAGTAAATTCGGCGAATAAAAGATACTTGTACTTGGCTGTTGAAATGCTGGCCTCCTCGTTGTCGCACTTGCTTGAATGTAGTTTTCCTGCTTAATCCTTCTTCCCATACACGTTTTGCACTCGTATATCGCGCACACTTTTATCCAGTCATTTTCCGATGGCTCCTTCGCTTTTCCTATGAGATCCTAAATATTCGAGATTCAAGATGTATTCGATGATTTCAAGTGAAGGTATCACCAAGTATTGCTTCTCCATTGGCTCCATCGAGATGGATCTAGGATTAGCAAATGCAGTTTTTCCATAATGCATTATGGACAAGTAATCGTATGGTAAGCCGTACGTAACAGCATCAGATTTTTCAACCATAGCAAATTGATTTTGATAACCTGAACAATTCTTGAGAAAGTGACGACATAGTGAGGTACCGCAGTGTCGGAATAAAAATTTGCTCCCTGACAAGTTCAATTTTATCCTTTCCGCAAATGGTGATTACAAGAAAAATCTGATTGTGAGAGAACTAAAACAATGATTTGGTTATCAACATGCTCAAGTTATCGTAAAGATTCCATACCAGTGATTTCTCTTTAACCAAGATGTAAAATGTTTGCACAAATACGCACGGGGTATTGAAATGTCAAATTTTTTATCCTTTTTTCAACAAAGTTCTTAGTCATCTTTCAAACATAGGAACCATTGCTTGATTAAGCGTCTTATTAAACAAAGAACCCCACACTGCAGAATTTTTCTTTAAGTGTTTAAAAATAAATTTAACAGAGCAATGATACCGGGAACTGCCTTTGAAAGGATTGATGCACAATGCATGGATGAACTTCCTTCGCAATAGTTAGACCTGAGAATGCATTTGAATGTCGTATATATTCCATTATATGAAGCTTATAGGCAGCTTACAGCTCATGACTAGTAGCTTTGATGCAGATCATGTATATATTATTCAGTCTAGGGTACGATCTATGGATTTTTCACCATAGTGTTGCGAAAATTCAACTATCTGAGGTGTGTAAAAAAAGGTTGTGCTCACAAACCAAGATGTATGAGATTCGCTTGAAAGCTCTTAATACCGAAACAAGAAGACTGACCCTTTTGAATGTTGTCCCAGTGGACTACGATGTATTTGTCCCTATCTTCACGCATATGCTCATGCCATAAGCCGACGATATGCAGCAGTTCGTGAATTATTGTATGCTCTTGCATGCACCTGAAAAAGTATATATTGCAAGCCCGAGTTCTTCGGTCCCCTTCATAGCAGAAGCTTGACGAGCGCTGGCCTACCTTTGAGGAACCGTCTCTCCAATTCAGCTATACAAATTTCTTTTGGCAAAATATGTAGGCTCTTCCCTTTTTCTTCGTTTCCTCATGTCAGGACTAATCAAGTCTTATGCCCCGAGAGTTTCAAAGAGTCGTTCTCTGTTGACTACGTTGCGGCATTCTTAGAACAAACTAGCTGGCTTACCCGGCTCCGCCGTATGTTCCGAATAGAAAATTCCATTTCTGAACCGATCCGGACCAAACTTGGCACACATACACTTCGGGCCCCGGCGGGTGTCACAGTCCACTTTTCGTTATCGATCGATGTCGATTCTATCGATTTTTTGCAAAATTTGAGCTAGGGGGCTGGAATTTGGCAGAGGGATGTAATCGAGCATGCTGATCACCCCCACGGGGGTGATCAGCATGCTCGATTACCCCCTTGTGCCAACTCCCAGCCCTGTAGCCCAAATTTTGCAAAAAATCGATAAAATCGATATCGATCGATGACAAAAAGTAGCCTATGACACCCGCCGGGGCCCGAAGTTCGGTTCAGAAATGGAATTTTCTATTCGGAACATACGTACACACAGACATACAGACAGACAGACAGACAGACAAACAGACATTCAGCTTTATATATAAGATCAGATTGATGTCTCTTTTCTTGAAAGCTCTCTCGAACATTCACGACAATGCGAAATTGGTGGGTCGTAAGCGTTCTGCCGTTTTGGACAATACGACCCACCGGTAGCTCGTAAGGTTCTTGGGACTTCAGGTTCGCCAGTTTACGACTTCTGGCACATGATTGGGGACACCTAGGCGAAGTCCAGCCAAGTGGTCCGCGCTCTAATACTGTAATGTAATGTTACGGTGGGTATACCGTAGATAGAGATAAGGCACAGACTCTAGCTCAAATCATTCGCAGAATGAGCTGTTTCTGAAAATTCAAGTGCACATGCACGAGAAATAGGGAAGGGAAAGAGACTGACATGAGCCAAAACATTATTGACTTATTGACTTTATGATCTTTTGCATTGCTCATCCCAGAAAGGTCAAATCTTACTTATATATTAGGTTGGCTCGAAAGTTCTGGGACATTTTCGAACTAGTTCTGCTATTTCTTGAAACCTAATGCATATACGTCAGATTGAGATACCATTCGATAGAGCAAAGCAAGCTCTACAAAACGCTATGCGAAAGTTCGCACCAGCTTCAATCCACCATGGGTTCGCACCCAAAATCTGAGTCGTACTAAAGTTCAAAAAATCGCAAAAAATTCATATATTTGTTCAAACAAATCCTACGGATCTCCAACTTGCTCACAAATATTGCACACCACATCGGACACTCATATGCACCGTTCCTGTATTTATTCCTCATCTGAAAATCGAGAAAACGAAAATTTTCGTACTTATATAAAAACGAGGCTGTGCTGTTTCCATTCATGGATACAAGCCCTTAGAAGTATAACCGTAAATTTTCAGCTTTCCGTAAGCCCTAGTTGTAGAAAAAAAATTGATTTTATCATGGAACGCCCGAGTGAGGAGAGTTCAATTCGGTTACTTCCGGGAACTACGGCCTGTAGAAAGCTGCAAATTTACGGTTATACTTCTAAAGGCTTGTATCATTCAATTACAATTACAGCTTCGTTTTTATATAAGTACGAAAATTTCCGTTTTCTCGATTTCCAGATGAGGAACAAATACAGGAACGGTGCATATGAGTGTCCGATGTGGTGTGCAATATTTGTGAGCAAGTTGGAGATCCGTAGGATTTGTTTGAACAAAGATATGAATTTTTCGCGATTTTTTGAACTTTAGTACGACTCAGATTTTGGGTGCAAACCCATGGTGGATTGAAGCTGGTGCGAACTTTCGCATATGTTTTGTAGAGCTTGCTTTGCTCTATCGAATGGTACCTCAATCTGACGTATAAGCATTAGGTTTCAAGAAATAGCAGATCTAGTTCGAAAATGTCCCAGAACTTTCGAGCCAACCTAATAGTTTTGTAGTATTCCGATTGCGAAAATAATAGTCCCACTTTCTAGTACCACTTTATCCATAAGTTTCTTGGTCTTCACGAAAATTTTACCGCACTGCTGTCGTAGCCTCCGTGGTACAGTGATAAAGAAAGTGGAAACTGTAATCGTGATCAGCACCTGAAATTACCCCAAAACAATTTTTCATGAAAATCCATGATGTTGGTGGTTCGTACGGAATGATTACTGTGATCTTACCGTATCCAAAAAGTGAATTAAATCATATTTTGACAATCAGCGCCTTCGATAACCTCTCTGGGGAAGTTCTCGGAGTATGTTTTAAATTTTTTACAAATGCTACCGTTCCGGACATTACGACCCACTGGTGGGTCGTACTCTACCATTCACGTGTTATGAGAAGCGATCCTTATGCCGCACGATTTTTTCAGGCAATACGCAGCAGGGATAGGGTTCTTTAGTTGGAGATCCTTTGATGTGTTCGGGCTGGTCGATGAAAGCTAGGACCACCCCGCGGCTTATATTCCTGAAAATAGGGTAAGTTTGACAAAGCGAAAAAGGCTCTGGTCCGCAACGGCAGCAATTGAAAAATCAGCCTTGTCGTGGATGTATTTACGATCTCATATCGGATCAAATCAAACGCAGTCCGCAATGTGTGGAAAGCCTAAACGGAACTTGCTGTTTGCTATTCTGCTTGATTGTTTTTGATCTTTGAAAAACTGAGTAAGCATCCACTTCTTTAAATGCCTTGCTCGCCAACGCCTGCACAGGTGCAGGTTGTTATCGGGAGACAAGACGTATCAGCATCCGCAGCATGTAAGATTCACCAAAAAGTTACTCAAAGTTACTAAAACATACGTTACACTTTCACATTTAGAGGTAAGGATTCAATAAACGAAAAGGAGTTAAGAAGAGATTATACCATTTTGTAATTCGCTGCAGCAAAGGACGAACAAGAAGCAGACACACAAAAAGATAGCACCGGTGTAAAACAAAAAAGTACAAGTCAAGGCTTGGAGAGACGGCATCTCAACGGCCATATGAGGGCTCTCGTTGCTAAAAAAAACCTTTGAGAAATATATGAGAAGGATCCACGATATACTGTACGCAGTGAGAGGTCGATCAAACTTACGATCCCATTCTGCTTGCTTCAAGCATCAGAATACTCTTCCCACCATATCGACCCACGGTTGAGAAACATCTAAGAGAACATCGAAATTAAACTTCCTTCTGAGAACATTGAAGATGAGGCAAGAATATTTGTATGCATTAGCGAGGAAGTGTGTGTTCAAAGAATTATACAGTCAACGATTGTTGCCGATGAGCTTTTGAAATGGAACAGTAAGTGAGTACAAGATTGTGATTGTATCCACTCTGGTGTCAAATCTAAAATGCATAGAAAATTTATGAAATCGTTAGAAGAACAATTACAAAAGCCTAATGTTTCCTCCGAGCAACCTCCACTCAGATAATCGCCGGGGGTAGGCGACCATGCAATTTTTGGGCAAGCGGGCACCGCAAAAATAGCTGATTTCTTGCGGACCGCTTGCAGATGTTTGTAAGAAATTTGATGGTCAGACGAATGCTTGGAGAATAATTGCGGCTTTTTCACAGATAGTTGCGGCGCAGTGGCCGCATTTTCGCGGACCTTCCGCGAGAATATGCAGAATTATTAAGGGCCTCACGGTCCTTTGCGGAGGACCGCACAGCCCATAGGTACCTTTCCCTAAGAGAAAGTACCCCAACTCGGGTAATTAATCCAACGGTGACACCTCTGCCACATAGAGTCTCTTTGCTCGGCGTTCTCCCGAAACTGAAAAGAGTCCGAGCGCCTGCTGAAAGTTTGGCCAGCGCTCGCTGAAAAAGATTATTTGACGAGCGCTTGCAGGAAATTCCGTATTGCTTCCCTCTGGCAGAACATGCGACGGTAAAGGAAGCACCGCTCGCTGAATGCTTGCCCACGCCTCAAAATTTTGCCGGCCGCTTGCAGAAAAGCGCGATTTTGCGGACTGCCTGCCTTCGGCGATTATCTGGGCACTTGCGAGTCAAACCACCAACAACCAAAAACAATGGTGGTAATAAGCGAAATCGTCAGGAGTTATTGGCAGTGCTACATTGCCTAATGTGCTCCTTTGCTCGCCCTCGGACCAGGTTTCTCGCCTATGTAATCAACCCCCAATGACATGCAAATTTGTGATAACTTGCAATATTTACAAAATCGTCTCCGATAAAGGAGACGTTGAGGGAGCAACAGACAAGCAAGAAGTCAAATCGTAAGTACGAGACCACAATACTCCCTTCAGACTTCAAAAAGGTTGACAATGTTTTCACAGCTTGAAAGATTGACTATGTGAAAGAATTTTTGGTTAAGAAGAGAGCTGCCGCTTCTAACAACTTGAGATCAAGCGCATGTGCGAGATGGATCCGACATGCCTTGTAATCAAGCGTTTAGTTCCCTCTGAACGGTGACTTTACACTTATGGTTAGCTTTGCCTCAGCTTGTTTCGAAACGATGGTAGAACCGATGGCAACTCCTTACTTGATCAGCGAAATAAAGTCAGTTATGTTGAATTCTCGATGGTAGACGTTTTGCGTATGACAGTGCAAAACTTAATTCTGGGTCTGTGAGAGGTCCTGACTAGGGCCTTATACCAGTTGAAACCAGTTTTTAGAACGAAGTCTCTTTTGATTTTCAAATCTTACGAAGTCTCCATTCACTTTTTTGAAACCTCCTCAGTACTTTCTCTTGTATTTTATGTCTGGGCTTTCGCTTAACATCGAGACAGTAAGAAAGCGAGAACCCCTTCGTTTACCATTGATTTCGCATTGATTAAATGTGATTTAGTTATCCTCTGCTGTTCGCCAAACGCTTTATTCCATGGTTGTTTTACTCCAATAAACGCTACCTCATAGAACATGGGATGTTGTTTTCATATCTGCTATCGTTATCTGCAAAGCGCTTCTAGGGGTGGATTATGGGAATTTTATGATGTAAAAACTTGAGCGCGACGCTACATTCGCTCCGCGTAATCTTTTCATTAATCTCAATATGATCTATCCTATTGCAATCTCCTTATTTACTATTCCCATTTACCTCTTATATTACTCCTGTATACCTGTCTGTCCATTCACCTCTATATACTCAATTTCTATAATGTCATGTCATAAGGATAAACTTTAGTAATCGTTCATATTTTGTGGAGATGGGAGAAGCTGGAGAGAGTCAAAATAGTCATACTGGACAAAGTCCTTACAATAGCAAAGCATCCATATATATAAAACTCAAACACTGTACCTTTGTTTGTAAGGATGTTTGTGGCTTATAGACTTCTTCGTATGTGAACCAAGGAGGTTGAAATCTGTCCTATAAATGAGTCACGGCGCAGAAGATAGGCTACTTTTCGCGACTTTTCGCTGGGTCCTTCTATCGATTTATTGATTTGTTTACTTACATCTAGAAGAATGAAAGCATATTAATCATTTCTCCAAGCTAAGTAGTAGGGGCGGTAGAGATCATTTACATTTTGCGGTAAGGGGGATGCGGTGTCACGAAGCAGCCGGTCATGAAGGAAGGCAATTTCACCACGGATGCTACAGGAGCGCTTCAATTCGAACATCGGAGCAGATGCGGAAGAGAAAATGAAGAGAAAATACAAGTCAAAGGAAATGGAGGAATGGTAAGCATAAGACATTTTGGAATAGACCCTTTGCTGGGCCACTTTGGATCCTCGACCCGGGCGAGACCGGGGACCGCAGCTAGTTTAAAATATTACACGTTAGCAGAAGGTCAGGTGCAGATCAGCTGGTACCCAGCAAGGATGTCCAACTAGTAAAGGTGAACACGGCCCATCCTTTTGAGTTTTCGTAAACTCTTTGATTTAGCTTGAATTCGCTCACGGGCATGTGCATTACAAAGTTTGATTATCGTTGCATTTTGTTTGTAAACGTGGCATTTATCTTGTGCACAACTTTGTAATCCCGCATGCATGTACAGGAGAGTAGAGCATGTACAGACTTATCAAATGCAGTGTCGGGTGCACAGTATCTCCACTCCCGCGCGAAGCTCTGCACCTCTTTCGTGAACATTCTTTCTGATCGCTTCTCCACCGCGAGCATGGGAAAGGCGGAGCCTCAACTGATTGCATGTGATTAGAGAGCATGTTCGCGGAAGAGGTGCAGAGTCTTGCGCGGGAGTGGAGATGCTGGTTCACACGACACTTCAATTGATAAGCCCTGTACGTAATGCCCTTCTTGACTGTTCAAGTCGTGAAGATGTCTGTGCAAACAGTCTCTAGAGTAGGGTTGTGAGGATGTCTGTATAAGAATCCTCCAAAAAAAGGGTTCGGTCATAATGTTTCTTTGCTGTTTTTCGCGGCCCAGTCTCAAATTTTGTAGAAATAATATCCCTTCGCCTTCTTCTCCAAATCGATACCCAATTTGATGCGATTCCAACTGTGCAAGGCCTTGGTTTCTTCTGGTTTTTTCTTTGAACAGGAAGATAGAATTTACTAGTAGCACCAATCAATAAAAGAAATATTCTTCAGTACTGCTGTGCCAGACAGGTTTGGTAGGTGTTCTTTATTCCAATCAAGGCCTAACGTTTCGACGCCTTTCGTCTTCCTCAGAGGCCTGAAAATGGCTCAAAGCGTCATCTGTGAAAAGAGGCCATCAAGCACCATCCTCATTCCTGCTAGTTCTCGATCTTCGCTCAACATCCCTACCGCAAAAATTGTCAGCGCCAGAAAATGAACATACCGTTGAGAACACCGCTATGTCAGTTTCCGCACCGGAAGTGATGGTCTTGGCGGAAGGACTAAACTATACTATAAATGCACATATCATGTGATCTATAGATTGCATATCGATAAGAATGGAAGGAAGTCGTTGGTGACTGACAAACATTCATTCTTATTGTTCATTGCTGGATTCTTTGAAGAAATCCAGAATGCTTCCAGCGCCTTCCTAGCCGAGGTTTCCTTCTCATAGGTTAAGATTTCGCACTTTATATCGAAATCAGCCCCACCATGCGCTTCGTTCCTATGCCTGCCCAACGGTGATAACAGGGTTTTACGCCTTTTATCTGCCAGATGTTCGTTTATGCGAGTACTAAGTGATCTTCCAGTTTCGCCAATATAGAGAGCATTGCAGCTAAGGCATTTCAATTGATAAACCACTCCCGCTTGTGCACAGTCACCTATTCTACCGTACGGACAGACTACGCATCTTTCTGTTATACAGTATCGATCGTAAAGTCTGTTTCGAACCAACTGCTTTTTGATATTGTCGTTTGGGATGTTCACTAAGACAACATCGTCTTGCAGTTGTGCGCGTATAATGCACTTTCGAAAAGCCGTACTGATGTTATCGGAAATAAATGGCAGGCACAGTGGGAGCTTATTATCACGAATGTGGTCACCATTTGCGTGATGTTGGATACGCGGTAGACAGTGGTAACCATTGCTGCAAGCAATCTGAGAGGCTAAACTTCGTGACTCGCATCGTTCTCTTTCTCCGGAGCACATCTGCATAGCTGTTTTGAACATATTCCCAATCACTGCTCGTTTCGTAGATGCAGGATGCGCAGATCTTACATTGATAAGGATGTTCTTCGAGCTTTCCTTGCGGTACCACTTCATGCTAACAATGCCATTAGACAATCTGACCTGTGCGTTGAGGTAGGGGAGCCATCCGTCGTGCGGTATCTCTCGTGTGAGCTTTATGTACTGCGACTGCTGGTTGAGAATTTCGAAACACTTGTCCATTTCGGACTGTGTGGACGTAAATATACAGCAATCATCGATGTAACGGCAGTACATCAGCGGCATGCGGGCTAGCACCGGTTCCTCGATTTTACTCATGAAGCAAATGGCGAGGACAGGGGCTAGCCTCTGACCCATAGCCAATCCGCGTATCTGGGAGTAGTACGTCCCAGACCATCTGAAGATATTACATTTCAAGCATTCGCTCACTAGGGTCATCGTCCGCCTTTTGCCAAGCCCAAAAGTATTGATGGTAGTGGCATATTTATCCAACATCTCTGAGAGCGCTTGCAAAGCCTGGTTGTTCTGCACATTAGTGTAGAGCGAAGTCACATCGAATGACTCGACTACAGTGCTCGAATCAAACTTGGCGCTTCGAAGCTTTTCTATAAAATCACGCGAGCTGGATAAATGTGCTGGTACTTTGGGTAGCAGTTGGCTCACAATTTTGTTCAAGAACCACGAAATTCGATCGGTGGGACCACCTACGCAACTAATAATCGGTCTAATTTTGTAAGTGTCCGCTGACATTGAACTCATGTCCCGCAAGGAAAGCTTGTGCGTCTTAACAAGGCTATAAAACACTGGACAGCTTGGAGACCTGAGCTTTAACCTGCTTATAAACCTGTCGTCGAGTCCCGCAGATTTAGCTATTGTGGTCCAAGCGTCATTCAACTTTCTATACTGTGATTGAAATTCTTTCGCAGAGACGACTCTATACGTGGTGGTGTCCGCCAGATGAGCTGCTGTTATTCGTCGATCCAACTCTTGAGGCATTACTACGAATTCGCCGCCTTTATCGCTTACAGACAATCGCACCGAACCGTTAGATACGAGTTCACGTATCTCTTTGAAACCTTGCCACTGTCTAGGTGTCAGGTTAGTCTGATGTTGATGTTTCGCTCTATTTAGAACTTCGAGAACACCAGAACATAAGAGACGGAACTTGATGTCTACCTCAGGGACGGGAGCAGGTTGTCTGTAAAACGTCTGCGGGAAAGGAATTGAGGGTAGTAAGCTGTTGGCATCGCGAGCTGTTGCTGTTGGACCATCTTTGCATTTGCTGCGTAGTCTTAGAGTGTCTCTGAGTTTGTGCAGGCTTCCTACTATTTTGCGACAAGTCGCGGAGTTGACATTCTGCGCAGGAGAGAAGGAAGGGCCAAGGCTAAGAAGCTCGATGACATTGGAAGATAATGGAATGTTCCCAATTACCGTGACCCTCGATGTAACTTCATTCTGATATGCATGTCCTTGAGAGCGGTGGTCGGTAATGTTATTTCTGTTACATGAACAATTTTTGCAGAGATCAGTCAAAAGTCGATCGTACTTTGCACGGAGTTTGATTTTGATCCTAGATCGAATCGAATCACAGATTAGCTTTGAACTTTGAACTTCGAGATATGCAATCTATAGATCACATGATATGTGCATTTATAGTATAGTTTAGTCCTTCCGCCAAGACCATCACTTCCGGTGCGGAAACTGACATAGCGGTGTTCTCAACGGTATGTTCATTTTCTGGCGCTGACAATTTTTGCGGTAGGGATGTTGAGCGAAGATCGAGAACTAGCAGGAATGAGGATGGTGCTTGATGGCCTCTTTTCACAGATGACGCTTTGAGCCATTTTCAGGCCTCTGAGGAAGACGAAAGGCGTCGAAACGTTAGGCCTTGATTGGAATAAAGAACACCTACCAAACCTGTCTGGCACAGCAGTACTGAAGAATATTAGCGATGCCGAGGTTTAAGGAAAGTGGAACTTTTAAACTAATAAAAGAAATATTTTCTGCTTCTCTGGGTGGATTTTGGCTAAATTACAACAACATGCCCCATTTCTGCATTTTTGACGTCCAAAAAAGTTTGCAAAGTCTTCACTCAAAGTAACAAGCTCTAAGGCAGAGTTTTAGTCTTACAACATCAACTAGCATTACTTAAAAGACTTCGAGTCTGCTTTGTTAGAGAAGGACTGTTGCCGTACACTCAACATCATGATGATTATGCACTCACATGCTTATTTGCAAAGCATATCATGCATTAGCACCCTAAAAACTTCACACTTCTAATTGCTCATAACTTCATACACTGAACAGCGCAATAGATAAGAAAAGCAGATTTGGAATTAGCTCAATAAGACAAATCTATAGATATGCTCCCCTTCTGATTGCTACTACTTGGGATCCTTCAATTCAGTCAGTTCCGTGAGAGTTTATGCACGGTTTCATAATTCCGATAGGGATTCAAATATGAAGTTTTGAGTGAGCTGTAAAGCATGTTTAGCCAAAAAGGCAGCAGCAAAGAACATATGTCAGGTTTTCAGATAACGCGAACAACAACTCAGATGGAGACACGAGGGCTATGAAGCGCCATTTAAAATTATTTCTTACCCTTCGCCTTCATGATTTTGGATTTCGACGTAGTCCTTTTCGTAAGATCGAGTATGAAATCGAATGCACGTGTTTTTATCGACTTTCGCCATCGCTCGCCGAATTATTTCCTTTTCAGCATTTTCTGTAATAAATAAAACTTTTCGCTAGACTAAAAATCCCAAATGTACTTTGTGACAGCTAATGCTGTATTATTTTGCCATGTGCTGAGATTACCTCACGAGGAAAATGATGGATTCTCCACCAGAGATTATTTGACTGTCATGGAGGATTTTCTCAAGTCCAAGTCACAACGTTTCGTTAAAGAGAAGAAATTGAAAGAAAAAGAAGAATTTGATTGATGAGCGTAGAATTTGCCGTACTTCGGAGTTCATTCAAATGGTAAACTCGATTTGCAGAAACTTAGCTAATAATTCTATACCAGTTCGGATGGCTATTATGAAACCCTTCGAGTGCCGAAAACTCCGCAACAACATCCAGCTTGACTGTGTATCACCTTTGTCGGGGTCGGGCTTTAAATGCAGACAATCAGATTTTGTTCGCCCTTCGCGAACAGAGTCGGTGTATAAGATGATAAAGATAGGGTTGTTTCAGACTGCCGCAATGACTGCAGCAGACTGCAGCAGACTGCAGCTGACTGCACTGACTGCAGCAGACTGCAGCAGACTGCAGCAGACTGCAGCAGACTGCAGCAGACTGCAGCAGACTGCAGCAGACTGCAGCTGACTGCAGCTGACTGCAGCAGACTGCAGCTGACTGCAGCTGACCGCACTGACCGCACTGACCGCACCGGTCGCAGCCTCTTTTTTTAAAAGAAAAAACAACCGCGATTATCAAAACACCGTGATTTACGCATAAGAAGATCATAAGTTCCATCAGAATTCTTCTCGATCAAATTTTGGCGACAGTTTTCTTTGGTATGTTCGTATTTGTTCTAATTCCTCCTATCATTGCATATACCTATTTTGTAACATTCTAAACCGTGTTGTCTTTTTCTTTTACGTATATAGTGTTGTTGTTTGTTTGAACCACAGCTATTTATCCTCTCCGCCTGCAGGCTTCAGCCGCTGCGGTCGTTGCGGTCAGTGCGGTCAGCTGCAGTCTGCTGCAGGCTGCTGCAGTCTGCTGCAGTCAGTGCAGTCTGCTGCAATCTGCTGCGGTCAGTGCAGACTGCTGCACTCAGTGCGGCAGTATGAAACAACCCATAGGTGAGCCTGCTGCTGGGAGACTTTTACTCAAGGCTCGGCACGAGCTGGCACCAGGGAAATTTCAAAACGAAGCCCCGTTTGATCTTAAAAATTCCGTACGAAGTCCCCTTTAACTTGTTTGAAGACCCGTCATTATTTTCAGATTATGTAGAAGTATGTAGTAGGGTTTTCATGCATGCTGATTTCATGGAACAACTTTTCACAACTTTCTGAGCCTTTTGAGTGGTTGAATCACATTTTGAGAACCAGAAAAAGCCGATTTTTCGACTGCTGAGCACTGAGCAATTTTCAGATGGCTATAAAACGCTGAAAAGAAGACATTATAAGAATGTTTCTTCTCTGTATGTAAACTTTTACAATGTAGATACATTTCATGTAAAAAAGTATGAGAACTTATGTGAGCAAAGTGTCGGTGCCAGCTCAGCTGGCACCCAGCTGGCACGGTGCCAGCTAATTCAGGAAAAAGTTCAGCACAGCTTTCATTCACATAAGTTTCCATAAATTTTTGGGACATAGTCCGAGTTCCCCAATGCGCATGAACACACCAAAGTTGGTGTCATACTATTGCGTTTTGGCTGAAAACAACGCCTTTGTTTGTTTGATGGGCAGCATGCCGGTGGCAAGCCGGCGGCATTCTTGCGGCTCTTCTTCGCCCCGGACCCCGGAAAAACGGAATTCCCCTTGCTTTCTGCCTTAAAACGATATCTAGCTTGACCCGGTGCCAGCTGTGCCGAGCCCTGCTTTTATAGGTTGTCCGGAAAATAATGTCGCTTTTTATTTTAACATGCAAAATTGTGGCCGGGTGAGCACGAAAGTAAGTAAATGGAGTACCAACCGATAGCAAAACAAGCTCTACAAAATGGATCTCGAGCCTTTGCGACAGGTTCGATTTGCATGAAGTTTGAAGCCAAATTTCACAAGGCACTAAAGATCTAAAAAAACGAAAAAAAGTCGTATCTTTGTTCGGAAAAGTCCTGGGAACCCCTAGCTTGCTCACGCGTGGACTCCCTATACGAGACACTCGTATGCACATTTTCGCGGTTTTTCCTTGACTGAAACTTGAGAAAACGAAATTCGGCACATTTTTGCCAAAAAAAAATCCTGAGCTTCTCTCACATGGATGATCTGTAGCGTGAACCTTTAGGAGTATAATCATGAATTTTCAGCTTTAGAAAAGCGCTAGTTTTCAAGAAAAATCAAATTGCTTGCAAAAAACCCGAAAAACGCGACATATTCGCACTTTTGACCTAGTTTTATTTCTCGTACTGTAGCCAAGGAAAAATACCACAAACTATACAGGTGAATGTCTAGTGTAGAGAGTACAGTCTGCCTCAATCGGGATTAGGCCGAACCGTCGGCTGAATTTGCGCGCTCGCAGCGCTGGGGGATTGCGCTGCATACGCGCGCTGTCGCAGAGAGTGAAGAGATCGAGGAGAGAGCAGACTAGCTAGCCGCATATGTGGCGCGAAACCCTTGCAGCGCGGATTCCCGCCATGCCGATTTTGGCCTGGTTAGGATTGGGGCAGACTGTACATGCCTGTGCAAATTGGAGATCCATAAGACATCTATGAACCGAGATACGATTTTTCGGATATGTAGAATTTTTTACATTTTGGATTCGAACTTCAGGTGAAGCACGATTTCCTCGTAGGTTTGTAAACTGTCTTGTAGAGGTTGCTTTGCTCTATCTAAAGATACCCTATTCGCTATTTTTTATGGTCACTTTGTCGCGGTAGGATGCCATGCGACATTATTTTCCGGACAACCTAATACTTTGCAAATCTTATCTTACTTGGGGAAAAGAAGATCGAGCAAGTCATATTGCGTTGATCATAAACGCTTGACCAAAAAGACGATAAGGGAATTTTTTATCACGCAGAAATACAAAAATTTGATGGAAGCCCTGCTTTTGTCAAAACTTCAAGAAATTTTTCGACAGAGTTAGAGTGCACGAGTGACTTAAAATGTTCAATGAACCTTACGATGTTCAGGTTTGTTAGGTTCAAAATCCAAGAGTGGTGCGAAATTCAAAGAGACACAACGAAATCTTCTGTGCCTTAAATCCACTGTTGAATGGAAACAATAATTGCATCATTGGAAAAAGTAAAAATGCCGGCCAATTCTGCTGCCTATATTGAAAAAATGATATAACTTGGAAGATGTTTGAAATTAGCTTGAAGAAAACATCGGAAGGATAGTTGATTAGTTGACCGCACGAACTGGACATCACTGCGGAGCACGCGCCGCATGGTAAAACGCTTGCCCCAGTGCAATTTCGCTATTGTACAAGTCGTGCTCTCGCAACAATTTAGCCGCGCAGCGCGTGGTCGCAGCTTTTGAGCAGTCCGTGAGGTCAACGAACAACGATACAGCTTATCGTTTGTTGTTTCACTTCTTCAAAAGTGTCTTTTAATTACCTATAATTATTTTTATGACAAGAAGGAATTCTTTGAAATTTGAAATTAGAGAATGCAAGCAGGCGTATCGTAGGTTTCATTTAAGTAGGGTGCGGAAAAAGTACTTCCCTGTTTGGCTCCTAAAATACATACATAATGAAATCTAAGGCTTATTCTTATGCGAGACCTTGTAGATTAGACTAAGATAAGTTTGATTTGAAACAGTCTTCTGCTATCCATTCAACACATTGCCGACCGCTTGTCACACACTTATGTCAAGCGATGACTACCACGTGGGATGCTTGACACACTTGGTGTGTCAAGAACAAGTTCAGTAAAACGTCCACTTAACTGGGAGGAACCCACTTTTCCTTGCTTTGGACCTAGAAATGAGCTTCATCTATTTTGTAAGCCTCACAGAGTCACTAATGTAGGTATGCTGTAGATGGCAGTATGCGTAATTTTATTCAGCAAATATTGACTAATCCGTGACAAGCTTTGCTCCCAAAGGGCATGAGACTCAAATTTGCATGATCGTCGATGTCGTGAAGGCATCGTCCACCCGTATACTTGACTTTTATGTTTTTTGTCTTCCCGAGGCCTTCTCATGTCTCTGATTCCGACAATCACCGTTCCTCAGATTCCGCAGAGCAAGTTCCCGAAAACGGTGATTGATTGTGTGCGCACAGATAGACGGAACAAACGTCATGCCCATTCGGGAGAAGCCGAAGTGGCGCCGTCATAAGCGATTTTTGAGGTAATTTCCTGCCATTGGAAGCAACTTTTGGTAGCGCGAGTTGGCCAAGAATACAGTCGGGGGCTCTACTAATACTAGGCATCAAATTTTCATCGACATCATTACGGGTAAGCGGTGCCTTTAAAGACCGAGAAAACCGACGCGACCATCGCATCGATTCTGCGAAAAGACAAGTGTTACATGAAAGCATGTTCGCCTATTGCACGTCGGCCGTGCTAGTTGTCCGACGCCACATATCGCTGACCATTTTTTCCAAGTCATACCTAGCTGAGCTAAATCGCCGCGATTTTTACTTATTTCAGCGAATTCGGGGCGCTCATTTGAGATGAGCAACGCGATGGCATCGATCGCGATCGTTCTTTACTTTATGAAGCTGGTTTCTTCGATTGAGAAATTGTCCAAATTGTCGAGTGCATTGGTGTCTGCGAAATGCTCTTTGCACCCGACCTAACCTTGTCGTGTTTTTTTTTATTGCTAAACGATCGATTCGATTCGTTATAACAATTCGATCATTGAATCACACCATCACCGTTGACAACATATTACAAGCTCACAACAAGGAAGGTAACTACAATAAAAAATGTTTGCTAGCACCAGTTGGAATACATCAGTTTGAAGATCATATTAGGGCAAGTACTGTAGGTGAGATAGCTAGAAGCTTTGCCTTCACTACACTGTGTCATTTGCATTAAAGCGCGGGGAAGGGATCATCTGACAAGGGTATCCATGATTCTTAAAATGTGCGCTGGATTGTAAGAATGCACAAATCGCTTCACTGTCATGTCCATGTCCCAGCATTTAGCGGTCCCGTCGCTGATTTCGCCGCTACTTCCTAGTGAATCGCGGCGATTAGAATTCGCAACGATTTCACCGTTTGCGGTACGCTCGGCCCTTCAAACGGATGACAGCAAGCAGGATCATCGACTTTGCGTAGCATGTGAGCGCGTTTTTGTCCATGATCATACCAGCAGCAGCGATACAAGCTTTCAACTGAGGTATTATATAGCGCCTGACTTCTTCTCCAACAATCTATACTGTTATAGCTTAATAGCGTCTTGTTTTGGCTAAACAAGGGAAATCGCAGCCCGGACGCTCGCAAAAATTTTTGGAAGGCGGTTAGTCTGATTTTTTCTTGCTGAATGGAATAACTCCAAACTATGCTTCTGTTTTCCAGATATTGCACCAAAAGTAACAGAAAGTATAGATGAACATTCTGACTTTGTCTACATCATAACTTTGGGTTACTAAAGGATTGTACAGTTCTGTGCCATGTTTTCTGACCTTATTCTTTGCGCAACAACAAGTTTTGAATTCATAACTCTACTCCAAATGCAACTACAAATATGCTATCTTCAAAATATTTCGAAATCATTGCCATATTCCTCAAAAGCATCGTCCACTCAAATCCTCGATTTTGTTTTTTGTCCTTTTCGACACCTCTTGCGCACGCTGAGTCCGAATCCAGGCCCAAAATTGAACGAAAGTCTCAATTGTTGAGTTTTGAATGTCCTTCAGAATCCGCAATAGACAATCCTTGCGCCTGCAAGCTAGCCGCGGGCCAGATGCGGGCAGATGCGCAGAGGAACGCTGTTTCACTTACAAAGAAATGGTCAGAAGTCGAAGTGGCCAATCCAAGCAAGCTGCTGTCAACCATTCGATGCAGCATTCAGAGCTGATTCCAGATCTGTATTTCATATCTGCTTAGCGCCTTTGTGTAGTTATGAGCAGTTTTATTGCAAAAAAAATCGTACATGAAAGTTGCAAAATTGAGCACATTATTGCATTTTCAGCTCACCTTTGGGTTCTAAGAATATAAAGTAACTTAGCTGCATGTTCTGGCCCAGCCTTAATCCGAATATGGCTCTATGCTGCCAAATCTGCGCTTTGCATGCACGATTTCTTAGCAAAATAGCGGCATTTAACGGCTCATAACTTTGCCCGCATAGGCGCTAAGCAGATATGGAATACAGATTCGAAGTCAGCGTTTTATGTTGCATCTGATGGTATGCAACTTGTATGAATTGGCCACTTTGATTTCTGACCATTCCCTTGTTAGCACTCTCGCATGATTTGATAGATTTTTGACCTTTGCGCCTGCTAGGCGAAATCACTGAGTGGGCGGAACAAAAGTCATGCCCAGTCAAAAGGGAAGAGCCTAGACAGCAAATCCGTCTTTCTAAGGATTTTCGAAGGATTTTCGAAGCTTTGGAATAACTTTACAAACGCGAGTTGGGCAGACAGTTGAGGGCCCCGCAACTGTTTGACATCAAAATCTCATAGACATCATTTCGAGTGAACAGTGCCTTCAAGCAGTACAAGATTTCACAAATGATCGTTAAAAGCAAATTCAAAAATCTTCGTAATTGTAAAAGAAAAATGCAAGAATTGTTATGGGATGCGCTGTTAAGAATCAGAGGCTGGGTGAGTTTGCTAAATTTTAGGACCAATTCGTGCTGTGCTAGAATGTATTCTTACCATGGAATGCCAAACTTGCCAAATCATGGAAAATTTGCCGTGTTTTTGAGTCTTGATAGGGACAGTGCTTCCCCCTCCCCCCTGTATGATTTCTGCCCCTATCCATTTGTTAGCTACCCATCGTTGATTTCATAAATCACGCTGCCTAAAATAAATACTTAAATGGCTATGAAAACCTAACGGCTTCATTGCTTTGATTATAAGTTTTGCGATTGATTTCAACGTATTCATTTAAGCCTCCATGGGTACACTAGGAAGAAAAATGCTCGAAACTCAGTCTATGAGAAAATTTATCTGCCAATGAAAGCAGATTCATCGCAGCCTTTTAAGGCAAAATCGATCGCATAGGTCTCACCCACAAAGGCTAGACGTGGTAATAGCACCTCTCATATCATTGAGCGCTACTCACCGTAAGATCCTCCGAAAGCATAAGGGATGACGTACTTTCCGTCATAATCCTTGATATAATTCCATTTCAATCTAGAAGACGGCGGAAGTGCATTGTACATTGTGGTAACCCTGCGCGAGAAAAGTAAACAACATGAAGTACATGAGATTTTGAAGAGTTTCATTCACATCACTCTAGAAATTATGGTATCAAAACCTACATAGCTATTTGATGGAGTTGTGTGATATCTCCGTTCGATCGGTTCAGACAAGTGATGAATGGTCCCTCAAGAATTGCAAGTTTAGCAATAACACGTTTAGATAAGAGTCCTCCTATTTCTCTGCTGATTTCCACCCTCCCATTACTGTTTTTGGCTTTTTGGGCTTTTCTGTGGCTTGAAGAGGTATGCAAGATTCAAAAATCACCAAGTGGATGAATATATATTACACCAGAAACGTGATCAGGGGACAGCTACTCTGCGTTCGCATACCCAGCGAGTATGTGATCAGGGCGTGACACAAGAGTGCCAACTGTCTGATTTGAAAATATCTCGAGTTCTTTTTTTAGACCAGCTGTGCTGTAAAAATCAATCAGAGTGTGTGTTATTTTTGACCGGGTATTTTTACCCTAATTTCAATCCTCTTCCCAACATATACATACATACATACATTTGTTCATCCTCAGCGATTATATACAATAAATACCGCGATGATTCCGTTTATGGCTTGAGTTGAGCGACTTCGACTTCGATCGTCTTCGATGACAAGAATTCATTTGTTCGTGCCACCCAGCCAGTCTCGTGACATTGCGATCTTGGTCCATGACTTCTCGACCAAGTAGACACAGTGGACCAGCCATGGTTTCTTCACCTTGTCTTCTTGATCCTATCCTTGATGGACGGTATAGGTCAGAGCTAAATCTAGCCGACCGTTTGCGGGAAGAATGAGGAGAGAAGTTGATTCCCAACACAAACACTTTCTAATCGCCTTAGCGAAGTGCACGATAAAATTAGATGCTTGTAGAATTTTTGGGCATGACTTTCGACACCACTTCTCTTATCTTTGTTGACAGAGACGTCAAGCAAACTACATTTGATTTACTCCTGGAACATCCTTCTTGTTATTTCATGGTTTGAGCATCGAAGGATCGTACTTTAGGCAGTCTCTCAACTGTACGAGTTTCTGCTAGTGTGTCACTACCACAAACTGATTAGAGGCTTTGCCACTGAACGCGATTGACGTTTGGCAACATTAGTCGTCGTCTTTATTTCTGAAAAATCTCCTCTGCTGGCTCAAAAATTATTCTCGTACTTCTACTACGAGCTGATTAGTGCACAATGTGCCCTCATGAGACTACCTCAAACAGCAGCACTCTCGTGCCATCAAGCTAAGAATATTTACAATACTGCCATTGGTTAAATATAGGACGATCACTTCAGAAGCATAGCGAGTCAAGTAGCAAGAACTTTCCGATGCAGTACTCTTCACCCTATACAAATCAATTAGTTGGCTCTGGAAATGTCGACAGAACCGCTGTCAAGATTTCCTCAGGCACAATAGAAAATTTCACCGCAGTACGATAGCAGTAACAAGTTTGAATGGTTCAGTTTCTAGGCGCACTCCCACGAAAAGCCACAAGCCTAGAATTTGGGTTGTCATGGATATAATGCCTTTTTGTACCCATACAAATATTTTGGAAGAGCTTAGCGAATGGTCAGGTAGTACATCAAGCGGACCTGGAGGATTAGACGAGGGGGATACACATATGCTTGCACACCTTAGAGGCAGTATCCAGGCTATATCCACCCCCGCCCCCATATAGTGCCGATGCTGAATGTAGGCCCTAGGAGAGGGCATCTGCTTTGGTCCGGTTCTCTGAGGTTGTCTCTGAAGAAGATGTATAATGGGCCTGGAACAGCCAAAGTGCTATCAAGCCCCGCCCAGATCCTACCAAGCTCCGCCCACCCATGTACTAAATAGAAGCCGTCCGCTCCCTTAGGACAGGGTCCTCAGAAATCGGTTTTTTTTAAATTTTGGACAATTTGAACTTCATAATTGTAATCAAGACCACGGAAAGGCCCGCAATGGCAAAAACATGGTTTTGTGTGGATTGCTGCCTTTAAAGGCCAGCTAAAACGTGATGGGACACAATATCGGTATTGGACTCTAGAATGCACGGCATGAGGACCATGCGCACCAACAATTCATGAATCAAGCAATATCTCCTAAAAATGTAAACTCGCTCTTTCCACTGCGCTCATCACATCGACCAGCAAAGCGATCACTACGCATGTTCCAAGGCCTTGCATTCCTGAAACTATGCAAAACAAAGTCAAATTAAACGATGCTTGTGAAGAAACAATTTTTTCGAGAATAAAAGATTTTATATAACAAAAGATTAAACACTGTAAAAAACCATGGAGTTGCATGCAACGAAAGTAGGCTCGCAACCGTAAATTTCATTGAAATGAATTCAAGCCGCATTCGATTTTATGGATGAGAAAGCTATAAAATATAATGCATAACGTCTCACCATATCTTAAGAAAATAGAAGCTTTTGGTAAGCGTGTCCAAGGTATGTAGACGACGTGCAAATGTTCATCGCCATTTTATCATCTTAGGTGGTTATCATTGGAGGAAGAATCATAAGTTTTTCTTATTTCATTCTTGCAATGTGTTGTCAGAATAATGGCCGTAGACAATGGGTTCTTAAAGCTAAAAATGACTTTTCTCAAGACTCAAAGCAGACACCAGGCTAAAATTTCACGCTCATGTTTCCGAGCCCTTGTAGTACAGAATACCTGAAAGGAAAGGGGCGGAGTTAGAGGCGGAGTTTGCCAATTTTCGATTTTCGTTTTTTCCTAAATTCTGAATGAGAATAAATTACAGCAAGCGCATAAATGAGCGTTACTGTGTGTCTACTACGTGATGATCGACTGGGAGATTTGTAGGATTTTTCCGGGTGAAGATCAGATTTTTGAGCCGGCCAAATGCTCACAAAGCTAAGCATCATACTTTACCTAGACTAAATTAGGTGGATTCTTAGTAGTCACTTTACTTTGGCATGCTATGGACATTATTTTTGCGTCAACCTAATAACTTGCTTTTTCCTGGTTCGAAGGAGTAAGTAATGCTTGATGGGATAGACTACAAGCGCAAACTTGTCAACCACTTAACTTTGACCTGGAAGTAACAATGAAAAAGCGTTGAAGATGAAAAGCGTGGGCGGATTACCCAAAGTAGTAGGAATCTAATGATTTGCGCTCACTGATAACAAAGGTGGTCAGCGGCGACTACGGGCTGCTCGCGGCTGCTACTGGCTGCGGTTGGCGCGGTATGAAGGCACTCTTAAATTCTTTTTCTCAATGGTGTTATTGGTGACGCATGCAGGGGCATCGACATTGGTCCGGATTTCACAACTAATGAAAAGCTCGCTGACTGTGCAACTATTAATATGTTTTACGACCGTCATGGTCCTTCATTTATTGGGCTTACGGTAGAGTAGAAAACATCCAACTTCCTTCATTTCAAAACCAGAAGTATTGATGGACAACTATCAGACTGTCAGAAAAATAACGCACGTGCAGGATGAGTTTGATTCTCTTGTTAGTACAGGGCCTGGCACCAGCTGGAACGGGGCAAGCTGGATATCGTTTTTGGGGCAAAAAGCAAAGGGGGTTTCGTTTTTGTGGGCGAAGACATACGGAAAATTGGCGGCGGCGACCTTTTTTTTTTTTTTTTTTTTTTTTTTTTTAGTCGACGTTTCGTTTTTTGGGGGATTTTGGGGATTTTTTTAGGATTTTAGGGGGGATATCGTTGAGGATCAAAGGGGACTTCGTAAAATTTCCCAAAAGTCAAGGGGGACTTCGTAAAAATTGGCAAATTTCAAAGGGGACTTCGTTTTCAAAATTCCCTGGTGCCAGCTCGTGCCGAGCCCTGTGTTAGTACCCTTCTTGCGAGCAAAATCGCATGCTATCTTAAAGCGCCATTCATGCTGTTTCTCAAAATTGTTTTGCATCAATTGTTAGCTTTACCTTTTCAGATTTTCCAAGAATCCGCATAAGGAGCTTCGATTAAGAAATTTCTTTAAATACTATTTTCACGAATTAACTGGGCAGAAAAGATAGCCCCGTGATAACATAGCTAACATAAGGTGCTGAAGACTTACTATGTATATAACAGCAAGGCTTTTTGAAGAATGCGGTAGCGAAAATACTGGAATTCAAACATGGCCAATGTCGCGGCCATTCAATGGGTTATAAAACTTTTCTGAACAGAGCTATCGTTCTCTTTATTCTATTAAAGAAAAAAAAGCTAACAAAAACTAGTCGTGTTGGAACCAGGGCCCGGCACGAGGTGGGCAAATGACAAGCTGGAAATCGTTTTGGGGCCAAAAAGCAAAGGGGATATCGTTTTTGCGGGATTCGGGGCGGAGCCCCGGAAGAAGATTCCAAGTGCAGGCAAAAGAAGGTCGAATCATGCTTACCTTATACATCTAATTCATCGGAAAATAGTTTTCATGAACCTCAACGCACAGCAGACTTCGCGCGCACTACGCTGCGTTGCCGCTAATTGCCGCGTGCGCGACGTCGCATGAGCGATGCCGTTGAACAGCATGATTACATGATTTCAGTTCTCAATGCAGGCATAACGATATAGCACCAAATTACGTAAGCTAACGAAGAGAGGCTAGTAGAAACAAAGCATGAAATGTTATGAAAAAATTTTGTGAATGGGAGGTGTAATAAGCATTTTTTCCAAAAATTTCGCAAAACTGGTAAATGAAGATGTGAATTCAAATGGCTCGTTTGCAGAGCAAGATGACCATACGGTAAATGGAAAAATGGCTCGTTTGCAGCGCAGAGAAAATGAAAACGAGCGAGACTTGGTGTGTATACGCGCAGTAGGACTAAGGAACGGTGTATGAAAAATTATGAAAACTTATGTGAATGAAGAGCGTGCTTAACTTTTTTCCATATTAGGTGGGCAATTGCCCACCTAATGCCCACCTGAGGTGGGCAAAACTTTCAATTCACATAATTTTTCAAAATTTTTACATAAATCTGTTGTTCACCTAAAGTTTACTATATGGTAAGATTTTGGTTCAGAAACTCCTTCTCTTGTCTTTGTTAGAGCCCAAGATCGCATCAGCAGCCTAGCTTTCTAAGATGGAAAGCGCGCCCCAGTCAATCGATACGCGCGGGAACGGCGTCTCTCAGTCCTATGACTGCTTTCCTTTGATATTTTTTCATTCCTTCATCATTTTCCTTGCTTATTCTTTTTCCTGTTTTCTATCTTGATACAGGTGAGGAGTAATTAGAGGAATTTGAGCATTTTGGGCGCTTTTGAGCGCTTTTAGGCGAAGTGTGGCCGGTGCTCTCGTTCCACAAGCACAAAGCGTCATTTTTGGGCTCAAAGGGGTATTCGTAAAAACTATTGGGGTCAAAGGGGAATTCGTTTTGAAAATCCCGTCTGCCCACCTCGTGCCGGGCTTCGGTTGGAACTTCCTAGTCTTTACAATCAACAAAAAAATTAAAAAATTCAGAATTTCCGGTATCACAGCCCTTCAAAAGTTGTGCAATTCTGAACCCACAATTTTCTTTTCTTTCAAAATAAACCTGGAAGATCTCTGGGTCACTCATGTAGACACTCATGCCTTATGGCTGCAAAGGCCAAGAGGACAGGAGGACAAGTGAATAATCGTGAGATTGGTAGTTTTTTATTACATTGGTTTTTATCACATCTGTATAAATAAGGCTGGATATCTGTTTGTCTGTCGGTGTCTGCGTTTACGTATGTTTCGAATAGAAGTTTTTAGTTCTGAACCGATATGCACCAAACTCAACATACATACACCTCGGGGCGCGGAGGTGTCAGGTGCAGGTTACTTTCAGTTATTGATCATTACGACTTCATCAATTTTTTGCAAAGTTTCACTTACGAGGCTGGGAGTTCGCACAGAGGGGGAGTGAGTTAGCATGTAACTACGAAATTATTAGGGCCGCATGCACTAGCATCCCCGCTGGGGAGGGGATCGCAGCTTCAGAAGAAAGCTCATATCCTGAAGTTCCAGATGTCTGGATTTCACGCTGTCTACCTAACCGTAAGTATTCCCAACATCCTTCACTATGAACATATTGAACAGAAGCGGAAGATGTACAAGCCGCATTTTCCAGCTTTTTGTAAGATCCCCTGATGATCCCCGGGGGACGAACATCTATTCTTTAAAGTCATTTTTCTTCCTTCGAAGTCAACGAAAACATTCTAAAGCCGTACTGATAATCTAACCCAACAGTGCTAAGCATATTGCTGATAAGAACCATTGGGTTTTTGGAATATCAAAATTTTCGATAAACTCCCCAACTTTCGTGGTTCATGGAAAATTTCATGACTACAACTTTGGAATGTTCTCATTAACTCTGAAAAAAGAAAAATGATTTTGAAGGATAGATGTTCGTTCCACGGGGATCATCAGGGGATCCTACAAAAAGCTGGAAATTGCGGCTTGTACATCTTCTCGCTTCTGTTCAATATGTTCATAGTGAAGGATGGTGGGAATACTTACGGTTGGGTAGACAGCGTGAAATCTAGATATCTGGAGCTTCAGGATATGAGCTTTCTTCTAAAGCTGCGATCCCCTCCCCAGCGGATATGTTAGTGCATGTGGGCCTTAGATAAGGGAAAAGCCGGGGTTTGCCAACTAGTCTTGAAATAAGATCTAACTTAATTATGACACTTTTGAAGAGGTGCAAAATGTGCTTCAATTTCCGGACAATTTGATATTTGTCAAATTTCAAATTATTAAAATGTACAAGTGCTTTAAATGCTTCTAGGGAAGGACGAAACAAATTCTAGAAAACATTTTACACTTACACTCAATGTATTACTCTTTGTAAGTTGGTGACAACACTGAAAAAAAGAATTTGCGTAATCTGAGCATTTGGTTGCACCTTGAAGACAGTTCTATTATTAGCATTCTTGATCTACCCCAAGGTGGTGGTTAAACTCTTATCAGTGACCTACAGAGATATTTATTAAAGTGTCAGGTTTTCAAAATATTCAGTTGCTGAGTAATATTCATAAAACTCGATCACTTATACCAAAAAGCTGTAAAGATTTTCTTATAGCTTCCTGTGAAGTTTTGTCAGCACCGATTGCTAATCGCAAATCTTCTTCTAGAGTATCGTAAGCGTCAACAATTTCCTTGCTGGTTTCGTGATCTTCATTATAATTCATTGCCGGGAACTGAGCAATGGATTCGATTACAGGTTCATTCGCGGATGAGAAATCAGCGATGGATTTGGCGTTGGTGCCGATTTTAGATTCCCGTGAAAGGCAGTCAGCATTTTGGCTGCTAATAACTTCTTTGGTGTTCGGTCTACTGCTGATAGGTCCTTTCAAATATCTGGCTATTGGTAGAGGTGGCAAATCTTCAACGTGAGAGGCATGGATCAGCTGCAACAATTGATTCAGAGCAAACTTTTCGACGTCGATTTTATCCATAGTCTTCGCTGATTTGACGACTACTTTCTCTGCCGCATTCATATCGATGATGTTGACGTTTACGCTAGGAGAATAGGTACATTTCGAAGTGCCGAATGAATTTGCCGCTGTCACCGCGCAGAGCAGGGCGAGATGTCCTTGCGGTAGTATGAACTTTTCGTTTAATTCCGTCACGTTGTCCGAAATAATTCTATCAAGAAGTGTGATCACCTGAATATGGAACAATCTGTAAGAGTCGGTTAAATGAAGATATTACCTCATTAGTCGTGTTTGCTTCACAGCGCACTCGATATGAAGCAGCATTTCGAGCCACAGTCCAGCTGATGTGGACTACATGTACAAGCTGAGGTGACCGTTGTGTTCTGAAGCCATGTGATCGGCGTTGAATCGTAATAAGCATAGAAGTTGAATAATGTCAAAGAGGAAAGCCAAAACCTCAGCATTTCTACGGGTAGAGGACTAATTTCGCCGAAAGGGGAAATCCAATTTTTCTATCGAGCAGTTATTGCTGCCATTTTTTTATCGCCCTTTTTCTGCTCCCTTGGCATACTTTGCTATAGTGTTAGTCATTGACTTCAATTAACCATAAATGCTCTGCCTCTATTTATACAAGGTCGTCCCGATGGTTGTTCGCACCATTTTCAAAAATCCATAACTTGTGATTTTGTTAACGTATTTGACTGCTTTTGCTTTTGTTCGAAAGGGAAAAATTATCATACCCTTCATAACGCTGTCTTACTAATTGCCAACGTCCACCTTTTACATAGATAGGAGCGATAGAAAGAAACTCAAATGTTCTGCGTCATAAAAAATCGGAAACTTGCAACAAAAATCCTTGTTCAATCGTTAGGTATCCACCGACCCAACAGACTAATCCCACATACATCTTATTACAATTCAAGCAGAATTAGAGCGTCAATAAACATTGCATTCGAATCACGCAGAAAAGTAGTTTATGAAGGGCAACTGGAAGTATGATAGGCCAGTAGGAACACTAGTGGAAGTTAGTATGAAAAACATCAAACAAAAAAGTTAGTGGACGATTGTATCAACCGTCACATCCTAAACGTCCAGTGCGACTAGCGAGAGGAAAGCTACCCGCGGTCTAAAAAGGAAAAGAGCAAAAGGGGACAGTTAATAGCTTTCCTTTCTGTATATGGTTATAGCATGATTTCCTTTTTCGAATAAAAGCAAACGAAGTTAGATCCGTTAGAAAATTCAAAAGTTATGAATTTTTGAAAATGGCGCGAGCAACTTCCGGGACGACCATATATATCGTCCATGATGCCTCTTATTAATACCATTATATTTGGCTTAGCCACTTTTGTATGTTCGCTCAAAAAAGATAGAAGGAGTGATGGAATCTGTACCAAATTTGGCAGACATAATGCATGAGGTTTGATAATTAAATTGATAGTTTTTAGAAATTTGATTGAGAGGCCAAACTGCGTCCTCGATCATTCTCCACATAGGTTAAGCCGAAGTGTTTCGTGCAGTTAACAAGTTCACTAGCAAATTCTCACATTTGCACAAACATAGTGGAACGAAAGATATACAGGGAAGTAAAGCTGCCGAGTACTAGCCGAACCTGCCGCGTAGCGGCAGAGATGGTTAATGTATATCAATGCTCCTTCTGGAACGAAACAAAAAATTTTGAAATTAGCTGAAGTTGGACAAGGTAAAAATAATGATTAGGGAACATAATAGATCATTTGAGCGTCTGTCAAAAGAAACGCGTTGTAGATATCAGCGAAGAATTAGGTTTCAAGCTCAAGACTTTCCTGCGAGCTTCGTATCCCCATCCTTCTAGCACTTTGGCATTTGACACTAGCGCTGCCCTGCACTCTATATCATCATTACCGCGTATGCGCTTTCATAGTGGCTGCAAAGGCTAACTATCTACAATTATAATAATTTACGAGCTAGAATGCGAGGCCAAGTTGCGTTCTGCTTTCTACATACTTTGCCTACAGCTGTTGTCCATCCCTCCACCCTTCTCATACATCACTGTAGGCTCGAATCCATAGGCAGCGGGTGTGCGTACTGTTATCGCGGTCATCAGGGGTGGCGGTCTCTCTACCCAGCAGCAAGTCCAGCCAGCAGTTCGTTTCATCCCGACGACGCCAGGTCCGTTAAAGTCGACCTCGTGATAAAACGCTCAAAAGGCTTTTAAAAAAAAATCTTGGTTGGGAAGGTAGAATAAGCCTATATCACAGTTTACGAATTTGAAAACCCCTCTCTTCAAGAAAAAACAAAGAGAGCAGGGGATGTTGCCGGCAAACTCCCGACATATTCTGCCGACATCTCGTCGAAATCCGTCGAAGTATCAGCTGTCGGCAGGTCAGAGAGCACAGAAAAGTGTATTCTTTCAAGAGAGAAAGGTGCAGCATTTCGACCTGCTCCTACAAAGTAGAGATGCTGACGGCTTTTGTGGGTTAGGGTCTTGCGACAACATCACGTAATTCATCTCAGCGAACAATTTCAAAATTTCTATTTGCTTGCAAAGATGATCATTTCATCAGTATTTGGATTTTTCTTACCCTGTTCTCAGGTGAATAGGCCGCACAGTCTTCACTCTAAAGGCGAGCATACTCAGGCGTGGAGCTGCGCATGTGTCTCGCGAAGGGGTCGCTTTCTCGCGCATAGCTCTCACCTAACGCGCCTACTTAACAGGCAATCTTTTGGCGTGTTCGCCTTCAAAGAAAACGAGGTGGGGTTATACACCTAAAATAGGGTAAATGATCTCATTGTCAGGTATGAAAGAAGTGTAGTCATCGGTTCATCGCCCTATCGTCATCTTCTTGCGATTGCTTCGATATCTCTTCTGGAAAAAGCTCATTTGTTCTTTCTCCGCGTCGATCAGCTGTCCTTCCAGGGCTTAAGGTCTACCACACATCAGCCACTTGCCTGTGCCTTACTGTTATCGTTCTTCGAAAAATTGAAGGAGCACGCGTGGCCGATTGACTAGCGCGCCTGCGCCCGAGCTCGATACAGAGAAGTTTGAGCGGGTGTGGAAAACTTTTGCGACGGTGGCCGTCAATTCGTATGAAAAGCAATTTTGCCGTCAAAACTCCTACACAAAGTGATTGCGGATTAAGATGTGGTCGGAGATGGCAACTTTTCGTGATATATGCCAACTTGCAGACATCTACGATGCCACAGATAGGGTGAATCATTGCAGACCCCGTGGTCAGTACTCTAACGCATAAATATTTGCGAAAAGCAAGTCAGAGCAGTGTTCTAGACAGTCGTGTCTTTATCTTTAGAAACTGAGGGGCTTTTGGAAAAGGAGTACAACGTTCCGATTCCACTTGAAACTGAAAATTTTGAACAAGTTTGTGAAATGTGAATAGTGAATTATTTGTGCACGGTGTTAATGTGGCCCTAAACTCAAAAATGAACATTAGAATTTAAATGGCCTCATTTATTTTTACTTTTCAAAACACATAAGCTGCTACAAACTGCTTGACACTGATGGAACTTACGTTACTTTTACAGGTGTTATCAGAAGCTGTACTTGCTGTATGTCAGCTGGAATCCTGCTACCATCAAATTCGTATGACTTGTCATTTGCGAGCTGAAACTGTAAATATATTAAAAAGTATTATAAAAAGAAAGCGCAAAATCTTACATTGCTTTGTGTATGTGCAGATGCAGAAGAATAATTTACAGAAGAAAATATTAGCACCACGAGTAAGTGCAAGGGAATGGAACACATTTTCACGCAGCAAATCTCACTTTCGAGCTCCTTTATCTTCTGATCGATCTCATCGACGTTCATCGGATTGTACGAATGAGTGATAAGATATTTGAATGAAACAACAGATCGCGGCTACTGTTGACCTTGGAACTTGGGATAATTTGGGAGAAGTTATGTCTTTGATCAGCAGCGGCGGAGGCATACTGTCAGAGCGCAACTTGATATTTTTCTTATTTCCAGCAACGGAATTTGATTATTTCACGATCCGAACTCAAATTAGTGTAGTAGTGAGTTTCAAATCGTCAAAATTTCCGGAAAATATGACAAGCGATAATTTGCTTACAATGTGATAAAACTAACTCGTGGAGATAGTAATCTGCTTCGAAAAAAATCTCGTGTATTATTCGAAAAAATTTCTGGCCTTTTCAGCTTAAAGATTAAACTCGGTGCTTGCACTACTCAGAGCGCATTTCAGACTCTGGATCAGAGGTGCGATAGTCGGAGTCGATTCTCCGCCTACCTTCACTTTTGAGCTGGTACAGGGTGACCACCTTCACTTTTGGGTTTGTGAAATTTTTTTGCTAAAGCTCAAAAGAAGGAAAATAAGCAAAAGGAATGTAAAAGAAAGTATTAAGAGCATATATCCATGTAGTAGGTCGATCCAGGCAGTAACCGCCGAGAACCAGAATTTCGAATGATAAAATAATGAAAAATCGTAAAAAATAATTCCACTTTTACAAATCTTTTGGCTGAAGACCTCCGCACTTGCGACTTCATAGGTTTTGAAGGGTAGATGCTGTTCTACCAGACAATGAAAGAATCAGTTTGATTTGAGGAGTGGCCGCCGAGAACGAGAATTTTGGAAACCCTTAAAAATCTTCTCAATTTTAGGTTGCTTAGTGACAACTGACATTTAAACTCTTATAAATCCGGACTTTGAAGGTGTGTGATGTTGCGACTTTGTAGGTTGTAGGGTGAGGTTTGCCCTATCAGAATATGTCTAAGCTGTACCGATCTATTGAGACATCGCCGAGATCCAGGCTCTCAAAAAAGCAGGTAAAAAACCGTTTTTCAGCTCATAACTTCTTCAGAATTGCATAATTCTTGGATTCTCCTCATCAAGAGCTTTCAAAAGATATATAATATGTGGGGGATTTACGCCTCCCACGGCATATGCCCGGGGGTGGAGTACCTCTCTTCACTAATTCTCCACTGGCGGCCTCCCGCCAATATATTGATATGGGCGGGGTGGAGAATTAGTGAAGAGGAGTACTCCACCCCGGGTTAGAGCCGCAAGAAACATTAAATCCCCCACATATTATATATCATCTGAAAGCTCTTGATGAGGAGAATTAAACCTATGAAGTAGCAACATGAATTATGCAATTCTGAAGAAGTTATGAGCTGAAGAATGGTTTTTTATTTGCTTTTTTGAGAGCCTAGAATACCGCTCATAATTCGTCAAAAAAGTCGCCGGACTGCGGCGCACTCCGCCACACTCCGCACAGTGCGCCGGAGTGTGGCGGAGTGCGCCGCAGTCCGGCGACTTTTTTGACGAATTATGAGCGGTATTGTATATCTCGGCGATGTTTCAATGGATCGGTATAGCTTAGACATATTCTGATAGGGCAAACCTCATCTTGCAAAACCTACGAAGTCGCAACATCACCCACCTTCAAAGTCTGGATTTATAAGAGTTTAAACGTCAGTTGTCATTAAGCAACCTAAAATTGAGAAGATTTTTAAGGTTTTTCAAAATTCTCATTCTCGGCGGCCACTCCTCAAATCAAACTGATTTTTTCATTGTCTGGTAGAACAACATTTACCCTTCAAAACCTATGAAGTCGCAACTGCGGAGGTCTTCAGCCAGCAGATTTGTAACAGTGGAATGATTTTTCACGATTTTTCATTATTTTATCATTCGAAATTCTGGTTCTCGGCGGTTACTGCCTGGATTGACCTACTTTATTCGCAGTACGTCATAACAAAATGTACTTAATGAAACACACAAAGTCTAGCTGAGTATCGCTCACAAATGCACTATTTCATTAACACCTTTATCTAAAATATTTTTGCAGTTGTACTCATCGTATTTGTGGCCCTGAAGAGGGCCGTTGGGTCACAGTTATTGGCCCTAAAGAGGGCCGTTGGGTTAGAGCTCTTCAGTTATCCGAAGTCATCATGAAGCTTTGCTCTATCGTAGAAAGTGGAGACGTATATGCGTCCGTGCCGGTGATGGCCTCCAGTTGCTCGCAGTAGGCGACGGCGATTTCGCAAAAATAAACTACATATATGCTCTAAATACTTTCTTTTGCGTTCGTTTTGCTTGATTTCCTTTTTTTCAGATTCAGCAAAAAAATCAATACCCAAAAATCCGAAAAACCCAAACCAAAAAAACCCAAAAAACCCAAACCAATCCAAAAAAAAACCCCAAACCAAAGTCCGTCCTGTGCTCCCCCCCCCCCCTCTCTACCCCCACCCCCGGTCAACGTTTTTGAGAGATGAGTGTCCGGCACTACCACCTTCACTTTTGGCCTTTTGGCCGGCCAGTGGTAGCTGGAACCACCTTCACTTTTGGAGGGCCCGGCTCCACCTATCGCACCTCTGCTCTGGATTGCAATCATAAACACTTGCAAGACCTTAAATTTTAGAGGAAGTGAATAGCGAAGCTGATTTGTGGTCACTGGAGTAGTACTGGCAAAATGATCATCATTCTGAGCATTGTATAGGTCAATATTGCAGTGTTTTTACTGCTTTACGAGTATGAGGTCCCCAGGAAGGTTTGTACTATAAACAATTGTTTCATAAATTTGTCTTTGGACATGATAAAATAATTGGAGAAAATAGCTGTGAATTCCAGTTACCGATGCAACTTATCTTTGTTCAGTTAAAGGCAGCGTCCAGGCAAATCTGGAGCTTTGGGGATTTTACGGGAAAAGTAATTATGTGGCTCTAAACTAAGGCACTGCCCAAGCGGCAGCGCAGGTGACTCACTAAAGGCTGAACATAAGCCTCCAAACTGGATCTCAGGATCGTATTCGTATGGATTCATGGCGCAACCGTGGAGGACCCACGGATTGCGCCATGAATCCATGCGAAATGTTAGGTTGAACCGAAAGTTCTGTCGCACCATTCTTAGAAAATCGTAGCTTCTTCTTATTACTATAGTTTTCCATTACGAAAATATGTTTAAGAGGGTAACTCATGTATACGAAAATATTTTTAAGAAAGGTAACTCATGTACTTTCTAGTGACACTTTGCTTTCTCTCTCCCATGCTCTGAATGCAAAGATAAAATTGTGAAAAGGAAATAAGTTTAATTTCGGAATTTTAAGGCAGGCCGGTTAGAAATTCCAAAGCTGTGCCATAAAATCCAAAGGAGCCAGTAACCTAGGTTTTCTGATCCCCTCTTTTTAGCTGAGTAAATTTCGCGCTGATTGAGTTTTTCTTCAAAAAGTAATGATGTTTGAGGAAAAATGCCAAAAAATCAGTTTCTTAAGAAAATTGATTTTTCGCCATTTTTTCTCAAAAATCATAGCTTTTCAAAGAACAGATCGATTAGCGCGAATATTGTTCACCTAGAAAGAGGGGGTCAAAAAGTATAGGATACTGGCTGTTTTGGATTTTATGGCGTAGTTTTGGAATTTTTAACGGTCTTGCCTCAAAATTCCGAACTTGAAGTGATTGCCTTTTCCCTTTTTTATCTCTGCAGTCAGGACCTATGGGAGAGCAAGCAGGAAGTCATTAGAAAGTGCATGAGATCTCTTTCTAGATCTAATTTTGCCATGCAAGACTAAAGTGACAGGAAGATGTTACGATTTTTTGAAAATAATGCGACAGAACTTTCAGCTTAACCTGAAACAACCCTGGAGTCCAGTTTCGAAGGAAATCTTCTCAGATTGATGAGCTATCTGAGCTGCCGGCTTGGCAGTGGCTTAGTTAGGGCCCAAAATTACTATCCACGTAAGATCCCCATATGTCCAGATTTGCCTGGACGCTGCCTTTGAATAATTCACACCTTGTGCTCTTCATCAGGACGGTGGTATTGTAAGTTATCGATTACATAACAGAAAATTTACAAGACTTTGCAGGGTAAGTCTTATTTCCTCTCCATTTTCAACAAGACACTTTTCCAAAAAACAAAAGTTTTCAGCAGGTCAAGAGCAACTTCCACCAGAACCCATTCTATGCTGGTATCAAATCGTGGTGGACTTGTTGTGCCGATTCGATGGCTACACTGACTTATTTGCTCAGACGAATCATTCTCGCCCTGCATCCCACACAATCCAATCCATTTGTCGATCTGCTTCAAGTGTTCGCTATTGGTTGTCCTATTCAGCAATCATTTTCTGTTAAGATCTTTCCATACAAAATTGCACTGTAAATATCTCGAAAACTTAGCTCTTGAGCTATTCATTTGGGCGCAACTGGCCTTTGTGCGAGTTTTTGAGGCCTAATCTGGAGCTTTTCCAAGTCTCCGCCCGATCCTGGACCACGGTTCCGAAACAGTCTCATATTATTTTCGTTCTTCTGTGTTTATCGTCATAGCGTAGTGACTAAGGCGATGACGAAGCAGAAGATCAACAAACAAAGCAAGGCAGAGTTTGTAAGGATGGACAAGTTCCAAATAAATCTGAGTTTGTTAATCAATAAGCGAATTTTGGAGTATTAAAGGAAACCACATAATTTTGCGCAGTCGTTTCCAGTTTAGCAGTGATTTTGTGTAATTGCACCACGTTTTGGATCTGGGCTAAGCTTTCATAGTGCTATTGCAAAAATTTTGTAGAGCTTTTTCTTTAATTCAATACGGTTTCTAAAATCATTATAATAACTCTATCAACACCAACCGTATTCCTTCAAGAATTTCAAAAGTTGTGCAATCGCTTAAAAGCTGCTGAAATGGAGGCGAATATACTCGAGTTGTAAAAGAATGCTCACCGAAATGCGTAAAATAAAATTAGGATGAAAAAATATTAGAAAATCTAGAATATTTCCTAGCGAAGTAAATCGAAAGTAACAACTTTTTAACTTGATTATATTGGTGATTATTCTGCAAAATGCTGATAAATGCATGCAGACGAGGGGGGGGGGGAGAGAATGCGAAGCCCATAATTTCTCACTTAGGAACTTTAGCCATGCGTGATTCAGGTGATCCTGACGTCATCAAGATTCTAGATGTTGTCATCGATGTCGTCACCCCCCTCCTCCTCCAAGTTTACCATTCAGCTTAAAAAGCAACATTCATGGCAAGTGCGTGGTATCATAGCAGCTAACCATAGTGATCTTCCCAACTCTTTTTTTGCACTGAAAGCTCTAGTTGGGTCCAATAGCTCTACCCGCCAACTAAATCTTTTTTGTCGTTTTCGGTTCCCATCCTCAATAGCTTCTGAGAGATCAGGGCTTGTTTGATTTGGCACTGTCAGCACGGGATCGCCGATCGGCTCCTTTTGCAAGTCAAAGTGTATGATTTTTAACTCAAATTTCAAATCGCTACAGTATCCTACCATTACTGTCGTTGTTGTTGATAACGAAGAAGACTTCAGTTTTTATGACTTTGTCCGTCGTCAAAGTGTTTTGAAAAGGAGAAACGCTTCAAAACAGCATACGTACTATATCATCATATCGTAGTCAGCAGCTGCTTTGATGAAGCTTTAGCTCCACTTTTTCTCCAATTATCAGCGTTTGTTTTACAAAGCAAAATTTCCGTTGGTATTTGCACAGATAGCAACAATCCCTACATTTGTGCACTGGCATCGATTAGAAGAGCGATTTTGCAGAAATAAACTCTTACTTTATTTTCACTTTTCCATTTAGTAAGTCTCTAAAGTATGTTATCGGGACTGCATTATCAATTTTTCATTAAATTCATCGGCTTCACTTCCCATTGTTCTCAAAAAATCTCGATGATTTTTTTGAGGGGGGGGGGGGGAGCGGAAAAGCTTCAATACAAATTCTCATATAATTGGGTAAAGCATTGCAGTATTTTTTGAAGATTTTCTAAATTTTTCAACATGATTTCCTAATTGTAAATTGAAATAATACCTTATGATTTTATGACCCACAAAGACGATTTTCAAAAAAATTCACATCAGGACCTTCGTTTCCCCCCTCCTCTCCCCCCCCCCCTCCTCGATCCCCCAATTTCTCATAGCGCTATCTCTGCTTTTCAGGGGGAAAGATCATCGAACTTTTTTTAATAGAAAGGGAGACTCTGGATTTTTTACAGGCAATCCTAGTAACTAGCTCTCTGATCCTCCCACCTCCTCGTTCTCCAGCTCCCTTCCCCCTCCCTCAGCAATCACCACAATCAGTACGATTTCTTGAAATATTCCACGACATTCGGCAAGTTTTAAGCCTGAAGCCGACAAGTGCACCGGTATCGTGAGAACAATGAAACTGCGACCACGCCTTGGCAAACTTTTCATAATTCCATCGTTCCAACCCCCCCCCCTTTTCCCCTCGGCATGGAACCTCATCCTTCTTTACGCGCTGAAATCAAAGAAACTCATAGAAGTGGTGGAAGCGCTCGTATATCTACTACGGCTAATGCGACGAGGTAAATCATAGGTTAATTTTGGAAAAAAGGCGTCCCATTTTTACCTTCTTAGATAGTTCTTACGCTGTACCAATCCTTTACATCTTCAACTTTGTCCCTAGTCCCATATTTTCTCCTTTCAGAATGGTATTTGCCGAAATTGTTGGCACACTTTCGTTTCTACACCCACAAGCTGATGATGACATCTCAGATCGATTACATTACTACTACACGACGACGTTTCTGCTTTTAACGGCGGTAAATTTTTTTGATTATTTTCTACTAGTAGGCAAAGGTTCTGTTTCTAGGTACTCATCAGTATAAAGATGTTCGGTGGAAGACCAATAGAATGTTGGTTACCTGCAGAGTATAAAAGCAGTTGGGAGGATTATACAGGTATATAAATCTTATTGTACTCTAACTTTATTCAGGGGAAATGAGAACAACAACTTCAAAGGGTGTAGAAAATGCTAGAAGAAGCTTAAAAGATAACTAAAAATTCAAGGAAAACCGTGGTTTTTTCGCTGCCTTGGAAACTTCTCTCAAGACAGCAAGAAAAAGTTTGAAAAAAATGTTTTTTAATGAAACTTGTTGTAGCAAATCAGCATGACTTTTGACAGAATATTAATGATGAACTTCAATGACTATTTGATTTTAGAAATGTATTGCTGGGCTCGAAACACCTACTTTGCTTCTTTCGACGACGAGTTGCCTGAAGTGCATGAAAGAGGGAAAACCATGGTAAGCTTACCTACGACAGTATAAGGCGGTTCCCTGGGATTCATTTCAGTAGTCGATACCCTCCGAAATTTTTGACAAAAATGGGAGACTTTTGCCATGCTGACGCAGAAAAATGAATTCAAAATTTATTTTTTTTATGTAAAGAAGACTGAACTTATTCATTTTACTATTTATTCATTCACGTAACGCACACATAAAGATGCAGAAAATACAAGAAAAAAGCACAATAGAAGTTAAGCTGAATCAGTTTTTGCTTTTTAAGAAGTTAGGTTCTATTTTTTCTCTGAACTCAGATAACCTAATTTCTATACAAATAATCCAATCCATAATACAGATACATATAGTATTTGCTTGCTTTAGGTCTCCTACTACCAGTGGGTT